ATGGATTCAGAGGTTCCCCGCTGTTCAAGCCAGCCATTTCCTTGCATGCCTTCCTGTCAAAAATGCATGCTGGGAATAGATCGACCCAAGATGTTCAATGGACCTACTGTTGGCTAGTTCAATTCTGCAATGTGCATGTCAACATGATCAGGGCCATGTTGCTTATGTTATTCTATGTTGTGATTGTGATATTAGCTATACGCTATGATGGATACATATATATATATAATACACACATGCAGCAATGATATATATATAATATGTCAACATATATGTCAACATATATGTGTAATTACAGAGATATGTACCCTCCGGTAATTTAACATAGCTATTGAAAATGGTCATTTATAGTGATTTTTCCCATGAAACATGGTGATTTTCCATAGTTATGTTAGTTTACCAGAGGGTAAACCTCCATTTTCCTATGGTTTTCCTATGGTTTTCCCATTTTCCTATGGTTTTAACCAACAAACGCATACGTCGTACGTCTGCCGAGCCGAGCTCCGCCTCTCGAAATGCCATCAACACCTTGGTCAACAACAGCCTCGGCCAGGAGCTGGTCAGCACCAAAGGGGATGTATCCAGGTCATCCCCCATAAAACCAAATCCATGTAATATAATATACATATAATAATACATATAATTATAGATAATATATTATATATACAAGATTGTAATATAATACATAATTATACAAGATTATAATATATATATATATATATTATAGATAATATGTTATTTGTATACAATGTAATATACATAGATGGAACATGATGGAACTGTTCGGTCGCCTTGAATTTCACCTTCTCCCTGCGGTCCCTGCGGGCCGCCGCACACGTTGGCGAAGGATCGCCCCAAGGCCCGTCCGATGATGCTCGCGTGGAGACCTCGCCCGGCGGTTCCGGTTAAGGCGGAAGGGAACGGAAACAGCTGGAGAGCTCCCCCTGCAAACCATGGGAAAAACATGGGAAAAACATGGGGAAAACATGGGAAAAACATGGGAAAAACATGGGAACATGGGAAAATCATAGGAAAATCCTGGGAAAATTGTGGGAAAATCATGGGAAAATTCTGGGAACATATCGGACATCCGCCTATAAAATGGAGGTTTTGATGGGAAAACCATCTAGAAATGACAGTTTTTCCATTGCCATGTTTGATTACCGGAGGACAATACATCGGATTGCATTTTGATTATATCAACCACCATATGAGTTGTATACCGTATACATATTTACAGGAAGTTTAAAACCAAGTATAAGCTACTGCAGTACATATGTATATTACCCCATATCATTCATTCCAATGTTTGTTCCCATTTCAAGGGGACCTTGCTTTTAAGTGGAGATATACTGTAGTTGATATAATGATATATAATGCAAAGAACCCAACTATATCATGTCTATAAATTGGAGATGTCGTGATTTTTGGGGGGTCGTGTAGATTTTGGAGAATGGCTGTCCGGAATTCAAAACCAGGGGAGGGTGACAAGATCGAAAAACATGCCACTGGCTTCACTCCGATAGTCCTTGAAGCATCTTGATTGAGCATCGTTTTTATGGACACAAATATATATATAATGTATATTATATATATATATCATATATATATATATAGTATGATATATATACATATATATATATATATTGTGTGTGTATGAATCTTGTTCTCATCTCTTACAGATCTCCCATGCGTCTTCATAGAAAACTCAACCAGTCCAGTCCGCCCCTGCGTCCCAGCTTGGCTTCGTGGGGCCAGGAATCCCCTACGTTCCAAGGATTCGGGGCTCCGCGGGAGGAACTTTTGCCGCGAGCTCAGGACGAAGTTCTTCCTCCCAGGTGGCGGAAGGACAGCTGTGCTCATCCGGACAACATGGAGGCTGCAGGAAGCAGAACATCACATAACATACATAACATCACGCAGAAAAAAAAATCTGGACCAACACCGTTGAAGAAAAACATGTTATATATTATATATGACTTAATTATTACATATTATTACCTACTCACTGACTGGGATGTCCTGAATGGGCTTGGACTGGATCCTAGCTCGTGAAGCAAGGAACAGCTCTGCCACTTTTTTCAACAGCCCTAATTTGAGTGTGTCTGAAATGTTGTGTACCCCTTGATCTGCAGGTGAATCATCATGTTCCCATACATGTTCCCTATTGTTCTGCAACATGCGGGGGTATACCCTAGTTTCAGACACTCCCCAAGCTTATTTGTAAGTTGGTTATATATATTTATATATCCCATTATAAATCCCTGGTTGGTGGTTGAGTCACCCCTCTGAAAAATATGAGTGCGTCAAATGGGATTCTTGTTCCCAATATGAGGGGAAAGTCATCAAATTCCATGGTTCCAAACCACCAACCAGTTATATTCTCCCATTATTAACCATTATCAACCACTATTAACCATGATTAACCAGGATTATCCCATATATAAAATGGAAAATCAACCATATTATCCATTATTAACCATATATTCTCCCAGTTATCCATTATTAACCATATATTCCAATAAACCAGCCCCGCTCCATCGCCATCGTCGCCATCCGATGTCCGCCTGCGATCCCGTCGCGTGGCAGAAATCCGCAGCATGTCCGCAATCTCGTGCAGAGTGGTCGTGATGACCCCCGGAGGCCTCGGAGCTTTGAAAAGCCAACCGCGACATCCTCTGAGAGACTTGGGAAATGTTCCACAAAACCATGAGGGGAAAGCTGATCATACCCTCTGGTAATTTAACATAACTATGGAAAGATCCACCATTATTCATGGGAAAATCCACTATAACTGGCCATTTTCAATAGCTATGTTAAATTACCAGAGAGTAAACCATCATAAACCATCATAAACCATTGGATTTTGAGGTCGATGGTTGTTTTCAGACCGCCACTTGGGAAATGTTCCACCCACCAAACAGGCAAAGTGTTTTTATCTCCGCAGAATTGGATATATCGGTTCAACCAATGGGCCTGACAGCCTGAGGCATCTCAGATGCCATGAAAAGAATCACCACGGTCTACCAGCGAGGTCAACGAATACATAGTCTATTACTGGTTGGTGGTTTGAACCATCTTGAAAAATATGAAAGTCAATGGGAAGGATGACATCCCATATATGAAATGGAAAATAAAAGTCATGTTCCAAACCATCAACCAGATTAGTGATTCCTGAAATCCTCCTGTGAAGCCGCAGACTTTGCCTTTCTCTGATTTCACGAGGTCATTACCCAAAAACTTCTCCGTTTGATCCCTAGCGGCCCTAGCTTAGCGGGGTGAAACTCATCTTTTGTTGATCCGGAAATTGCAATGTGGTGGATCCCAGAATGAAGATGATAGATATAACCATCATGTTGTTGCTTGTACTCCCACATCATACTTGGCTATCAAAAAATATAGATATGTATATAAATAATCATAATTGGCTATATGATGATTGTACTCCCATAGCTACTGGTTGGTGGTTTCAACCTACCCCTCTGAAAAATGATGGAGTTCGTCAGTTGGGATTATTTATTATTCCCAACTGAATGGACAGTCATAATCCATTCATGTTCCAAAGCACCAACCAGATAATATATGTATATATAATTCCATTAATGGTGATTCTATGGTGATTAATAGTGGTTAATGATTAATAGAGTTATATGATGATTCTACTCCCAATAGAGATCAATCCTTATTTGATGCTATTAGCCAATCATCATTCGCCAATAATAGGTATATTGATATAGGTATGTAACCGGTACGTATATATATATATATAGGTATATAAATAATCATACTATAATTGACTATACTCATATATTTAGCCAATAATCATCATTAGCCATAGCGAATATCACCCTCAAACGATCACAGTCCCACAGTCGGCCCCCAGACGCTTGGTAGCAACAGTTGCCCCACGGGCCCAGTAGAACTGGCCACAGAAAGGCGCTCCGGAAAGTGAAGCCCAAAACCATTGGTTTACCAAAAATAGGGAGAGATATATGGGAAAATTATGGAAAGCGGGAAATTATGGGACATTATGGAAAATTGTGGGAAATTATGGAAATCTGTGGAAAATTGTGGAAAATTATGTGAAATTATGGAAAATATGATGATTTTCAATGGGATCCTATGGGGAATACAGCAATCTGGAGCTTTCCGAACTAATATTTCTTAGACCATGCCTTAGTATTGAAACAGCCATGGTGACTTTGGGATCCCCCATAACTAATTTTGGATGACTGGGGGGTCCTTCTAAGAAACCCCCAATATGGGTATGGTTGATTGGGAATATGATTGGGTCATGGGGATACAAAAAGGGGATGCCATGGGGATGCATCATTCATGTTCAGCAATATGAAACTTGACGGGGTGTGTCTGAGAATGGGGTCTACCCTCTGGTAATTTAACAGTTTGCTATTGAAAATCGCCATTTTTAATGGGAAAATCTACTATAAATGGCCATTTTCAATAGCTATGTTAAATTACCAGAGGGTACCCTGCACATGGCAATTCAAATGGGGATGAAAATGATGAACCGGAAATATTGGGATACCCTTCAAACAGCCATATCGAGAAAATCGGCATGGTAGCACGGGAGAGGCTCGGCTCAAATGGGCCCAAAGCATCATTCAGATTGAATATTCAACCTCAAATTCTGTTCTTTTTGTAATTTTGAGCCATGACCATATTGGATCTGTATGGTTACGGATCAAACCCTTGCCTGAAAACCATGGCCCATGGCTGGGGTCGTATCCCAGTTTTCACGAGTTTTTCAGAAGATCACATCCTCATGTAGTTTTTGGGTGAGGCTCCCAATTACAAGTTGGGTGTTATAATCACATCTATGGTTATATGGGTTATATGTAACCTATGATAATAATGTTATAATCATGTTATATCCTGTTATAATCATCCTCATCTATGGTTATGTCTATGGTTATATCCTCCAACCCAAACAAAAAACAGCAAGTTAAACGTGCGGAAAAACTGTGCGTCATCGTTTTTTTGGGGCACCAATTTGTCCATGTCTGTTGCACCGGTCCATGTGACTTGATCCAGCAGATTTTCTCGGAAGCCACGGGGATCTTCCCCGCAAGTCGCGAGGAGTTCGCCGGGTCCGGGAAGAGCAGCGCTCAGCTGCAGATTTTTCCACCTCTGACGGTCAATGCTGAAAGGTTTTGGTGACTGGCGGCCCTATTCAGGTAGATGTTTAGTTTGATGTAATGGGGATAGAAGATGATATACGGATACAATGGGGATAGAATGGGGAGAATCTCATGATGGAGTTCTGCAAATAAATGCAAATAATATATATATATATACATATACATGATTTGGGTGTCTCGGAAATCGAGGTTTCCCAAGTCATGGCCTATTTTTAGTGAAAATTCATGAAAATTCCAAGCATAAGTTTCCGGGGAATTTTCCATCCAGAGATATCCACCCACAATCCAGCCCCAGTTAAGGATAGCCCCAGTGAAGGATAAGACTTCCTATCTCGGCCACTCCGTTGAAGACGTATCAAGCATGCGTATCAGTGGCTCGTATCTAAATCCGGAACTACAGATACTGTCAGGTACTGTCAGATACCTGGAACTCACAAGACCCTCAGCTCAGCATGTCTTGTGTATGGCTTCAGATAAATATGCACATGGCTTCAGTATGCAGTGCACAAAGAACAAAAAATACTCATTTCAGAGTGCATGTTGTGTATGAACACGTCTATTGTGTCTATTTTTTACTGCACGTAATTGTACAGCCTGTAGTGGGTATAGGACAATATATTTCAGAAAACATAATCTACTACAGTTGTCGCATTTTACCTCGCAGGTTTGCTAGATGCCCCAATACAAAAAAAAAACATGTCATTATATACATTACACATATAAAACAAACATAAACAAACAAAAAAAGAAGCATTATTCATGTGTTTCTGCTGCTGCTTCTAACTACTGCCACGGTGCAAAGAAAAACAAACGTGGCTGGCGGACAGCAAAACAGCATGACAGTGAAGGACAAAAGAGGTACCAAACAACACAATTTCTCCTCCATACTGGAAGCGGTATGTCATTATGTCATGCTGATATATTATCAATTTATCCAATGGTGATGTCAATATGTATTATATCCATCATATCACAGTATCAGAATGCTGAAACTAGGACACATACAGTACATAACATATAATACACGCATATACACGCGCAATGGTATGTCTTTGTTCTGTTTACACACATATCATATGTATTGAATATCGTTCATGCATATATATCATATATAACTATGTCATTATGTAGGTAGACCTTGGCAGTACCTACGTTGCCCAGATCCTAGATGAAAGAGTTCCTTGCACTGCGGTTTAAATTTTGGGCTTCAGTTTCATCCCACTTTGGCGGCTTCATGTTGGCGCTCAAGCCGCATCATATATATATAATATATACGTGTATATATATATATGCCATATATTACAGTGTTTTTTTCTATTTTGCTCTATGGCATACATCGATGTATCCCGCAGATTCAGCTTCCCAGCTTCCAAACATCGTGGCCTTAACTAGTTTGCTCAACCAAGAAATCGGCGATGAGGTTCAAGTTGGGAAAATCAAAGACCAGCGTGGACTGAGGCCTCAGTGCCAGCCATCTCCACCGATGAATCCGTTGAAGTCTGCGAGACTCTGCGAAACTTCCTTTCCGACATATAAAGAGAGGCCCGGAAGGAAATTCATTGCCAGAAGGACATCCCGATTTTCATACAGGTTTCATGATGTTTTAAGTATCTTGGAATATCTTTTAGAATATCTTTTAGAATATCTTAAATCTTCTCATCACTGAACACGGAACCGAAGTAAAAAGTCATGCTTCAGCCATGGCTTCAGGCACAGGATTTCACCTCCCGCAGCGGCTGTTGTTCAAATCAAGGGACAGTTTGATACCGGACTCACGCGACAAGGTGTTGGCGAAGGAGACTGCGGCCAAACCTCAGTAGCATCGACTATCCGACTATCCTCCACCTTCTCCTCGTCATTGTGATCGTATTGTTCTCATCATTGTCATTGTGATCATTCTCATTACCATCATTACCATTGTATAGCATTTGTATAGCATTTTCAGGACCAGTACCATCATCAGTACCATCATCATCATCATCATCATCACCATCATCATCATCATCATCATCATTATAATCATCATCATCATCATTATCAGCAGCAGCAGCATCATCATCGTCATCATCATCATCATCATCATCATCATCACCCATCAACCCCACGTGAGCACGGAAAATTTCGGCCTCATGGAAAACCCGGGTATGCGTTTCTTCTAAGGGCTTAACCAACCATGCATAGTGAGAAATCTTGTATCCATGGGAGTACTATTGGTATGCACTTCCGGGAAACCATCATTGGAGACGCTCCAGAAACTCTGCACTTGGATCACTTGCTACGTGCTATTCATGGCCATCAGGGTGGGATCCATGAAGTGCGATGATACGTAGCAAAAAACGCATAGCATCACGGTACAACATGTACTCCAAAAAATATGGAAGGACTACCCTCTGGTGAACTAACACAGCTATGGAAAAATCACCATTTTTAATGGGAAAATCAACTATTAATGGCCATTTTCAATAGCTACGTTAAATTACCAGAGGGTATGTTTTTTTTTGCTGCTGGCAGTGAAACATCCACCCCAGGCCACAAAGTGGTACTAGCCATCTCTTTCCGAAAAAGGCATGGCGCCGTGTACCCTCTGGTAGTTGGACATAGCTATGTCAATTCACCAGTTCGAGAGGTGAATGATCTTTAAATGGGCCAAAGGTCCATAGCTATGTAAAATTACGAGATGGTAGTCCAGGAAAAAAATATTGTCCCATAACAAACTGTCTATGGGTCTCATCTGGTATCTTCTTAACCGCCACATTCCATATCATTCGATTATGTCATTATGTCCCCATCATATCCTCATAAAACATCCCCAATAAATCAGGTATACACCCAAATAGAGGCACCAGCCATAGAATCTTGCTTCAAATATCCCTATTCATCTATTATGCCATTATGTTCCCATTCTATCCCAGCAGGTTTGATTCGAACCCAGCTAAGCGCCAGGATGCTATCAAGGCCGATGTCCATTAGGGGGTCCTTGCCATGGTGGACGACGCCAGAGGACCAGGTTGACCCAGTTCCTATCCCATGAAAATATCCATCAAGTCGTATTGCTTTGAGATATCCAATTACATAATGTAATACATATATATAAAGTCTCCATCATTTTCCCTAATGAACCAGGTACCTAGACCCTCCAAGTACCCATAAAAATTGTGTAAAGTGCATAAAACGTTTTTACAAATCGGCTAAAGTCACCATGGTTATGGGTACAAACGTAGCTCCTTGCTGTATCCCATTGCATATGCATATATATATATATATATGTATATAAGTATTATTATTAATAAGTATTGTTATTATCATTATTATTGTTACTATTATTCACTATGATTGTTATTATTATCACGATTACTATTATTGTTATCATTACTACTAGTATTAATATTGTCATTATTATTATTATTGTTGTTGTTATTATTTTTTGTATTGTTATTATTATTATCATTTATACACAATCTTCGTCATTACCCCTAATAAACCAGGTATCTCTCCAATGAATCAGGTATACCCTCTGGTAATCAAACACGGCAATCTTAAATCCCCAAAGTATGGTTTTTTACAGCTGGGAAAATCGTCGAACTAAATGGAGGAAATTTGAGCAAGCCATGTTTGATTGCCGGAGGGTATCCCCAACCATCAAAGTGAATAATTCCAATATAGATAGATAGATTAGATTAGATTTAGATTTGGATTTAGATTAGATTAGATTTAGATTTAGATTAGATTAGATTTAGATTAGATTTAGATTTAGATTTAGATTAGATTTAGATTTAGATTTAGATTAGATTAGATTTAGATTTAGAGTAGATTTAGATTTAGATTTAGAATTAGATTTAGATTTAGATTAAGATTAGATAGATATACATATATATATATATATATTCATATCAGATCCGATGAAATATCACCACGAATCCCCCTAAACCAGGTTTATAATGGATTGTCATTGCATCATCCCCAATATATTGGTTAGTACTATCCCCAAATTTATCATCAACGAGGTGTAGTTGGCTCTGGCTCCCCAATTAACCAGATGTAGTTAATCTAATTTTAATTTATATATATATATCCAAGTTAGTTTTATATTTTATATAATTGGGTAAAACATGGTAATTCACTAATCTGAAATAAGGATATTTTGGGATAGTTACCCCGAATCCTAACCATCATTCCAGGGTTCGGTCGCAACTTGAGGTCGTCATCAAATTTGTCTAGATATGCATATATATATATATCATATATTAATGACCATGAACCATGATATTAAATTCCCCATGAATAGGGAGATCCCCTATTCATCCTATGCATTCCTATCCTAGTTGGATGGTTCTGGCTCCCAAGGCACATCCCCAAGATAGTTATATATATATATAAATACAACCTAATAATCTCCCATTATCCCCATTAAGATCGATCTGCCTATTTAATCCCCAAGTTACTTTTAGTAAACCATTAACCATTATATCAATATAGACATCAATTCCCATAACATATGTATATATATATACCCAATATATATTATATATACAGTATATATATATATGTACGTATTATATATATACAGTATATATATCCCCAAAAGGATTAGCAATAAACATCGAAGATTCATTGGGGATTCATATCAACCATGCTGACATGCTATAAATATAGCCATTTTCAATCTCTGTCAAGGCACGTCCAAGGTGACATTCTCATCCTCACCAATGGCCTCCTTGGCCACGTTCAGCACCATCTCCACCGCCTCGCAGACAGCCATCGATGGAAATCATCGGAGATAAAAGGGGCTTGACGTACTCAAAGCTTGACTTTTAGACATAGACAACCTGGGGCATTTCAGCTACCATTTTTTCATTGAGCGACTGCTTTCTCTCCGGACGTTTTTTTTCGGGTCGGTGGCAAGAAGTTGTTTCAATCCACTGAATTTCACACACTCAAACTACCCTCTGGTAATTTAACATAGCTATTGCAAATGGCCATTGAAATAGTGGATTTACCCATTGAAAATGGTGGATCTTTCCATAGTTATGTTAGTTTACCAGAGGGTACACGGTGGCTCATTTGCGATGGTATTGTCCCAGATAAATCTGAACAACTCACTGGCCCACCTTGGCACGGCTCAGGGCCGGCTTCTGCACCATTGCCACGCTCTCGGCCTATCGTTTTTGTGGGAGAATGTCCTGGGGAACTGGGTAATTTGACCAGTGAAACATAACCATCATTGAAAAAGGTATAAAAACAACATAAACCAACCATGATTGGAGGGTATAATGGGATATTTTTGTGAGAATTATCCACTTGTTTGTTGGAGATATACAATATGATATCATGTGGGGATATAATGGTATATGTGAGACCAAAATTAAACTCACAACAATTGGAGGTAAAGTGGGGATATAATGGTATATGTGACACCAAAATTAAACTCACAACAATTGGAGGTAAAGTGGGGATATAATGGTATATGTGAGACCAAAATTAAACTCACAATAATTGGAGGTAAAGTGGGGATATAATGGTATATATAACCAACAATGTTAATGTGGGTTTGTCCAGAAATGAATTTATGGAGATTTACACCGATGTATATTAATTATGTCCATCTACAATCAGAATTCAGGAACTTCAAGACAGTTGCTGTCAGATAGTGTATCTCATTTTCGGGTTCCATCCCACATGTGATGGCACAAAAAAGATGGCACCATGATGATGGCACCAATGATCTCCGGGGATGCGGTCGACCATGAGGGATACCTGTAAGTTGGTCATTTTTGATGAGTTGGGAGAGTCAGGTTCCGAAAAATCTTGGTAAATTATAATATTGCCATGATCATATTCCCATATTCCCATTGATATTGTCATAGAATCTAATTATAATAATGTGATCATTATTTTAATGTGATCATTATCATCCATCTGGGTAAATGAAATAATATTTCACTAACCTGAATAGTTCGGCCATAGAAGGGGATGATTCCCGAATCCTAACCATAATTCCAGTGAGGGAGGACAGTGAGGTCGTGATGAAATTGACCCAGGAAAATGCTACCCGGTACCTTCCCCCAATTTCGCCTCCTTCGTAGGCGCCTGTCTTGGGGCAGCAGGCGTCACCTGCCAAGGAATCTCACGGATGATCATCCCATCCGGTGATCGGTGATGGGAACTGGGCCGCAGGAAATCCGGCAGGAAATCTGGGGAATGCCCCAACGAAAAAAGGCACTTTGATGCCAAAAACATACATATCATACATATCATAAATATGTGTTTTGGGGAGGGATTTTCATGGATGTTCCTATTTTATCGATTCCCCTGAAAAATATCATGATTCACCTGAAATCATTCTTGAGATGATTCCCCTGAAGTCAACAGCCCCCCAGTAACGACATGTCAGGACTGCTGGCGCTCCCAGAATCTCCTGGATCTGCTGGAGCGTCTTTTCAGCCTCTGCTGGGCGCTAGGCTCATCCAACAAGTGGGTTAAACATGGTTAAACACCAACTGTTCCCAAGCACTTACCAGAAAAACGGGTGGTTTCAAGCATCTGGAGCAACCACTAATTTGATTTGGGTTTGGCGGGTTTGGTGGTGAAAATCTCCGCAGATATGGAGGGTCATAATGACATTGGAGCTTTATGGCGCACTGCATTGACAATCTGCTGATATCCCCAGCAGAAACATGAATGTTGGTCGAGTGCTGAATGGACCTGTTCATTTCACCAATATGATTTCAACATTCAGGGGATTTAAATATTTTGCTAGCCATAGCAAACAGTTCAGTGCTGGTTTGGCGTGCTGCCTTTTCCGTTGGGTACGCTAAGCAGCGTTTTGCATGGACATGCTGCATGACGACCCATGGTCCCGCAGCACCAAGGGGCATGACCAGGACACTGCCTCTTGGCTGAACTGGGATAAAAAAACACGCATATTTGAAACCACCAACCAGTAATCCCATTATATTGATAGATAGACATATATAACATATATATAACATATATCATATCCACATTTACTGCTTGTTATACACCCATTGACTACCAGTCATGAACCCCCCCATGCCCCGACACGGCTCGGCCTTATCAATGCCTTCATGGTCATCAATGGAGGCGAACAGATCCTGTGCCTCCTGCACGACCGCGACATTTCGCAGCAAAAACAAAGAGGTCCAAAAATACGCACCCTGGTCTTAAAGTGTTTTATTTTAGTGTGATCATTATCATCCATCTGGGTAAATGAAATAATATTTCACTAACCTGAATTAAGGCCATTTGGGGATGATTCCTCTTATTTACCATGATTCCCAGTGAGGTCGCAGTGAGGTCGTTATAATTTACCCAGATCCATGTATATCCATCTTTGACATTCTCACAATGTGTGGTTTTACATGTGATGTGTGGCTTTGATTAATCCATCGAAAACATATTGACCGAGCAACAGACCTTGACATTTGTTCCATGATCCTAATTCGCAAACTGTCAAACTACCAAGTCGTCCCGATTTCTTGACATGGTTCTACGATAATATGAAGCCTATACATTCAATTTCGCCTTCTGAAACTGACTTTGGGTTTGGTTTGGGTCAAAATGAAGCTCAAGTTTGTGGCGGTTTTCAGAGCTCCTTGGCCGTTTGTTTCCCCTTTTCCACATCGCCGTCCAGGACAAGGCTTTCCTAAGCCAGTCAGGGTCTCCCAAGAAACACTCAGCAACCATCCATTTTTTTTTTCTTGCAACAATTTTATACAATTCATCCAACAAAAATATAGCACATTAATATCTGTCATAATGGCGAAATCTGGATTTTCGAGATCCCCCATAAAAATTTCGACATGCCCACCTTGGCCTAATCCAATTCTCCGTGACTGCTCACCGCCCAGCATCTCCCAACATCAAAATGGCCATCGCTTCGCCTTGCCTGGGAAGACGCGCCACCCGCCAGCCCGATCGGAAAAAAAAAACATTGGACCACCAGCGACGGGAAAAAAAATCGAAACCTGCAAAGTGAAGCCAGTGAGGTTTACCTTCGACTTTGGATACATTTGGGATGATTTATACATGTTTAATCATCAAAAAATGAAAAATAAACATGTATAACATGGTTTTTTTTCTAAACTGTTCCATGTGGATGATTGGTTACATGAAATATCTGGTTGGTGGTTGAGCCCTACCCCTCTAAAAAATGATGGAGTTCGTCAGTTAGGATTATGAAATTCCCAACTGAATGGAAAGTCATAATCCATTCATGTTCCAAACCACCAACCAGTTATATTCTCCCATTATCAACCATTATCAACCATTATTAACCATGATTAACCAGGATTATCCCATATATTATGGAAAATAAAAAATGAAGTTTATACCAAGAAAAAATCGACAAATGGAGTCTGTACCATCCCCTTGGCGCCTATCCCAGGTCTGACTGAAGAGGTTTCGAGCCTCTGTCGCGGCCTCTCCAAGGCAGAAAGCGTTCTGCTTCAGCTTCAAAGATTTTTTTTTGGGTATGTTTCCTGGTTCAAACATGTCAAAACATGTCAAAACATGTCAAAACATGTCAAAATATGTCAAAACATGTCAAAATATGTCAAAATATGTCAAAATATGTCAAGACATGTCAAAATATGTCAAAACATATCCAAATATGTCAAAATATGTCAAAATATGTCAAAACATGTCAAAACATGTCAAAATATGTCAAAACATGTCAAAATATGTCAAAATAAGTCAAAATATGTCAAAATATGTCAAAACATGTCAAAATATGTTAAAACATGTCAAAATATGTCAACATATGTCAAAACATGTCAAAACATATCAAAATATGTCAAAACATGTCAAAATATGTAAAAATACGTCAAAATATGTCAACATATGTCAAAACATGTCAAAACATATCAAAATATGTCAAAATATGTCAAAACATGACAAAATATGTCAAAACATGTCAAAACATGTCAAAACATGTCAAAATATGTTAAAACATGTCAAAACATGTGAAGACAAGTCAAAATATGTCAAAACATGTGAAAACATGTCAAAACATGTCAAAATATGTTAAAACATGTCAAAACATGTGAAGACAAGTCAAAATATGTCAAAACATGTGAAAATATGTCAAAATATGTCAAAATATGTCAAAATATGTCAAAATATGTCAAACACATGTGAAATTCCTGTGAAGAATGTTGTGAATACAACTGGTTGTTTGCATCTCATGGATTTGTTGACTGCTGATGCCATTATTGGCCTGCACGGCCGCAGCAGTGCGGCCAGCAACCGCATGGCACTGCGCCACCGAATACCTGGTGGCCACAAAAGCCGTGGAAGTCCCGCGGAAATGGAAAATTCTTATAGAAATGGATAGGAATAATGAATAATAGTCCATGAATAGTAATGAATCTTGATTTTTGAAATCCATGAAAATCCACCATATTTGATGCTATACCCTCTGGTAAACATACAAAAAGCTATTGAACATGGCCATTTATAGTGGATTTTCCCATTAAAAATGGTGATTTTCCATAGCTATATGTTAAATTACCAGAGGGTAGTCCAGTTATCAAATGTGTTCCAACTATTATTGATATTATTTTTCCAACCATTATGGTATTATTGATTATAGTCTAGTTGGTGGTATACTGGTATACCTACCCCTCTGAAAAATATGAAAGTCAGTTGGGATGATGACATTCCCAACTGAATGGAAAAATAAATTTCATGTTCCAAACCACCAACCAGGTAATAATGAATAAGAGTCCTATTAATAGTCCCACTACTATAATTTTATAGAAATCTATCTGAATGGGACATGTTTTCATTAATAGTCCCTTTCTGGATAGCTGGATAGTAATCATGATAACTATAGTAGTGAGATTTAATTGGATCATCATCCATTATTACTGTAATGATTATCGATATATTTTTTTTTGAGACTGTAGAATTGACCGTCAAAATTGTGATAGAAATTATAGAAATTGATGAAATAGACATGTTCAATTATGAAATTTAGCTGGTTGATTCTGAATGTGTATGGGTTACTGGGCATTTTCTGGGACAACGGGTGAGTCTGTGGTTGATTCCTGAACCAATCCATCTGAAAATTCCCCCAGTTGGGCAGCTGAAATATACCCTCTGGTAATGTCCTAAAAACAAAAAAAGCAATGGCTGGCTTCAGATACCCTCTTGTAATTGATAGTTGATCTACCTATCATTGCCAATCTTAGATACCCTGCAAAAAATTATTTTTTTTGCTGGTTAGTAGATATTCCCATTAATACCAAAAGACTAAAGGATTAAAGTATGTATGTAAGATTGACCTAGCTATATATATAATTATGTATAGATGGTGATTTTCCCTAGCAAACTCTTAGTTTACCGGCTACCAAGCCACCTCCAAACCCCCCAAAATTTACGCACGGCTTGTCCCCCGACGCACGTGGCTATGCCTGTCATCCTTGGCTGTTTGATGAGCCCAGTGAATGGTCGTTCCGTAGCCACCGGGCCAAACATGGCAAAGCCGGAAACCCCAGAGACGATGTGACTTTTTGATGGGTCTATAAGTTACCCTCTGGTTATGACTAACATAGCCATGGTATAGATGGCCCATAGAAATAGATGGTTTACCGAAGTTAAAAATGGTGGATCTTTCCATGGCTATGTTAAATAACCAGATGGTAATTATCATGAATTGCCTATCAACTGCAGTAACTGGGATACTTTGATTGCTCAGACTACATAGTACTTTGCCCGATTGTCATGGCAGATCATTCCGATGTTACCTCCACAGCTTTCCAATGTCTCTGTTGAAACTCGTTCATCCACAGTTGGTCAGAAACCAGAGCTTCATTGGTGATATCGTCCAGCTGGCAATTCATCCCATTCAATATGAACCATTGGAAAACCATTGGAAAATTGTTGGTGATATCCCCATACATTTCCACGAAATCCCCTGGAAAACCTCATTAAATCATCTTCCCAAGCTGCCAAACACATCTCGAATCTTGGGTAAATACTTGTCCATAGACATGTCTGTTATTTTCCACACATGTTCAATTTCTTCCTAATAATTGTTTCCTAATATATGTTCCCATTAAGTCATACTATACCCCCATAAATTCCCGTAAAATCCTCATTAAACCCCTATAAAATCACCATAAAATCATATTTCCAAGGACAATTATTGGAAAATGGTTGCTTATAGTTATATCTCCATAAATGTCCATTAAATCCCATTTTTCACTAGATATGGTCCAATGTTTTCCATATATTTGCCCACTAAATCCCCATAAAAACACCAGACATATGACATCCCCACCGCCAGGTGTCTGTTTGTCTCCCATCTTCCGCGCCAGCGCGGCGGCTTCGCGCGCTGGGCGGACCGCCTGGTCCTACGTCATGGACCTTTTTGGGGACCTTTTTTTGGGACCCAGAATGGGACATGAAATACCAGGGAAAACCGATGGAAAACGATGGAAAACGGATGAACGTGAAGGATTTGACCATTTTGAATGTGGGTGATTCGGACTTCACTAGCAACCTCAGCCATTCGAAATGGTGGGTTTTTCGATGTTGGAAGATTGGTGACATTGGTGTCCGCGTCGATGTGTCCAGGAGGGTGATCCTTCACTTCTCCAAGACAAGTCTTCTTGAGTCGTCATCCCAAATATGATCTGATTCAGCCAGAATTGACATGCTAGTTACAATGATGTTTGACCCAGAACCACACGCAAAAAGGAGTCTCCATCACCGCCCCAAACACATCCTCATGCAAGGAGATGTGGTTGATGGCATCTTCATCGCACATCTCCTGCGAACAGGATTTCATCGGTGGTTTGTGATGTTGTTTAACACCTGAATCCTGTGATCACATAATTACTCAGAATAGATGTACAACACTTTCCCCTATTCCTATGACTCCAGCTCAAGCCTAAGTCCTCCAGATCTGTTCAAGTGAATTATATATATATACCCTCTGGTAATTTAACATAGCTATTGAAAATAGCCAGTTATAGTGGATTTTCCAATTAAAAATGGTGATTTTCCATAGTTATGTAAACGTTTACCAGAGGGTATATATATTCCTAGATCCCATGATCTATCCCATGGTTTGTCTTGATGTCCGCCACTCAAATTGCCATAAGCTGGTGGTAAATCCCAAGAAAATCTGGGTGCCGAAGCCACAGGGTCCACATCCCCATGCCATCCCAGGGCCTCATATCCACAGATCATAAAATCTCCAATGAATCAGGCAATATTGGCTTCACAACCATCCAAACATCTCCAAAACCAGGTTCTTATGGAAAATCCCCTATAGAAATAATGGGGAATCATAGGAAAATGTGGGGAAATATTGATATTTATAGCTGGTTGGTGGTTTTAACCATCTTGAAAAATGATGGAGTTTGTCAATGGGAAGGATGACATCCCATATATGAAATGGAAAATAAAAGCCATGTTTGAAACCACTAACCAGAAAATAATCAACAACCATCCGCAAGATATCCGTCATTCGAGTATCATCATTAATGTGGTGAACCTAAACAGGGGTATACCCAATTTCATAAACCTCTATTGTGGATGATTTATTGGGTTTGCCCTCTGGTAATCAAGCATGGCAATCCAAAATCCCAGATTTTGTATAGATTGTATATATATATATACACATATGATATAATATATATATATACTAATATATATATATATATATGATTTTCCAATGAAAACCTCCACTGATGGAGCATTTTCCAGCCATGTTACACATTTTTGGGTCCTGAGAACGCTTGATGATGGAGTTCAGAGTGGCTTGAGCCACCAAGTTCAGCATTTCAACCTGGCGCCGCCACAACTCCAGATGGATATCTCCATCGGCTTGATTTTGGATCTGATCTCGGCAAATCGGCAAATCATCACTACTCGATATACTGCTATTATTCATTAAAAAAAACAACATTTAAAAAAAAATAAATAAAAAAACAATATATTAATTGGCAAAAAAAATACCATGAATTACTGTAATTGGTGCTTTCCCGTGTGTAAACCATCATGTATTGTGACTTCGGCCGATCTTCATGACCTGATGGCACATCATGTGCGCCTATTCACATTCTTCATCACCGAGTTAGTAATGATCATATAGAACTGAACCAAATATGTAATATTTAACCAAATATGTCCTATAGAACCAGGAAATACCAGGAATATCTCATATAGATTTGGGTTAAGAACCATTTGAACCAGGAAAAATGGCCCTCTCCCATCTCATATGTCTCATCATAGTGGTTGGTCGGTTATCCTTGTTGCTTCTGTTGTCATCATCCCCAATAAATCAGCTAGTGCAACCCCCTATGATACGGTTAAGAACCATGCATCGAGCATGTTGCCCATATATTTTCCTATATCACCACATTCAACCCATACAGAACTGAGTTGAGAACCATTTATCAGAGATTTGGTATACATAATATGATAAGAAACCATATCAAGAACCCTTTTTATCAACAATTTTGTAATCACGTCTTATCATATTATAACTCCCATTGTATAACCATTGTTTAATCAACCATTTATATATCATTGGATTGGTTTACGGGAAAATTTACGGAAACCCCCCCTTTCTAACCCCCCCTTTCTTAAATGGTAAAAACGATGGTTTCCGGTTAAGATTTTCCCTTAAACCAATCCATTGATTTTTTAAATCCATTAAAATCCACCATATTTGATGCTATACCCTCTGGCAAGCTAACATAGCTATGGAAAATGGCCCATTTATAGTGAATTTTCCCATGAAAAATTGTGATTTTCCATAGTTATGTTAAATTATACCAGAGGGTATATATATATATATATATAATTCACTTGAACATTAAAACCCATTTAAATCCATTAAATCCATGAAAATCCATTAAAATCCATTAAAATCCATGAAAATCCATTAAAACCCACCATATTTGATGCTATAATAATCCCCTATGATCCCATTTCCCACCCGCCGCGCGCAGCGCCCGAGCACCTCCGCCTTGGAGTCCCCGGCCGCGCGCGCCAGCGCCAGCGCCTCGTGCGCCTCCCTCACGGCCTGGGACGCTTCTTTTCATGGCCGTGTTCAAGGGGACAGTCGTATACCATGGCTATGGTTATAGTTATCCGCCGACCCCTGCCGTCAGCAGGGGGAGCGCGTCAGAGGAGGCCTTACTAGCAACAAGATGCCAGAAGGGGCGAAGAGTTTGTGCAGAACGAAAGCCGGCTCCAGAAGGACACGAGCAGGGTGGCAGTTGGCAATGTAGAAACGCGAGAAAAGTCAAGGTTTGGAGCTAGTTTCTAGTCGGTTCAGAAAGTGACGTTTGGCAGTCTGGGATACGGGCCGCGGGCCCAATCCGTCCTTCACTGCCATGGTGTTTTAGCCCTGCGACACGGTCCTTGGACTCCAGCTTGGACCGAAGCGGGGCAGAACGAAAGCCGGCTCCAGGAGGACACGAGCAGGGTGGCAGTTGGCAATGCAGAAACGCAGGAAAAGTCAAGGTTTGGAGCTAGTTTCTAGTCGGTTCAGAAAGTGACGTTTGGCAGTCTGGGATACGGGCCGCGGGCCCAATCCGGCGGGCCCAATCCGTCCTTCACTGCCATGGTGTTTTAGCCCTGCGACACGGTCCTTGGACTCCAGCTTGGACCGAAGCGGTGCAGAACGAAGGCCGGCTCCAGGAGGACACGAGCAGGGTGGCAGTTGGCAGTGCAGAAACGCAGGAAAAGCCAAGGTTTGGAGCTAGTTTCTAGTCGGTTCAGAAAGTGACGTTTGGCAGTCTGGAATACGGGCCGCGGGCCCAATCCGTCCTTCACTGCCATGGTGTTTTAGCCCTGCGACACGGTCCTTGGACTCCAGCTTGGACCAAAGCGGTGCAGAACGAAAGCCGGCGCCAGGAGGACACGAGCAGGGTGGCAGTTGGCAGTGCAGAAACGCAGGAAAAGTCAAGGTTTGGAGCTAGTTTCTAGTCGGTTCAGAAAGTGACGTTTGGCAGTCTGGGATACGGGCCGCGGGCCCAATCCGTGCTTCTCTGCCATGGTGTTTTAGCCCTGCGACACGGTCCTTGGACTCCAGCTTGGACGAAGCGGTGCAGAACAAAGGCCGGCTCCAGGAGGACACGAGCAGGGTGGCAGTTGGCAGTGCAGAAACGCAGGAAAAGTCAAGGTTTGGAGCTAGTTTCTAGTCGGTTCAGAAAGTGACGTTTGGCAGTCTGGGATACGGGCCGCAGGCCCAATCCGTCCTTCACTGCCATGGTGTTTTAGCCCTGCGACACGGTCCTTGGACTCCAGCTTGGAACGAAGCGGTGCAGAACGAAAGCCGGCTCCAGGAGGACACGAGCAGGGTGGCAGTTGGCAGTGCAGAAACGCAGGAAAAGTCAAGGTTTGGAGCTAGTTTCTAGTCGGTTCAGAAAGTGACGTTTGGCAGTCTGGGATACGGGCCGCAGGCCCAATCCGTCCTTCACTGCCATGGTGTTTTAGCCCTGCGACACGGTCCTTGGACTCCAGCTTGGACCGAAGCGGTGTAGAACGAAAGCCGGCTCCAGGAGGACACGAGCAGGGTGGCAGTTGGCAGTGCAGAAACGCAGGAAAAGTCAAGGTTGGGACTCTGGAGCCGCAGAACAAAAGCCGGCTCCAGGAGGACACGAGCAGGGTGGCAGTTGGCAGTGCAGAAACGCAGGAAAAGTCAAGGTTTGGAGCTAGTTTCTAGTCGGTTCGGAAAGTGACGTTTGGCAGTCTAGGATACGGGCCGCGGGCCCAATCCGTCCTTCACTGCCATGGTGTTTTAGCCCTGCGACACGGTCCTTGGACTCCAGCTTGGACCGAAGCGGTGCAGAACGAAAGCCGGCTCAAGGAGGACACGAGCAGGGTGGCAGTTGGCAGTGCAGAAACGCAGGAAAAGTCAAGGTTTGGAGCTAGTTTCTAGTCGGTTCAGAAAGTGACGTTTGGCAGTCTGGGATACGGGCCGCGGGCCCAATCCGTCCTTCACTGCCATGGTGTTTTTAGCCCTGCGACACGGTCCTTGGACTCCAGCTTGGACCGAAGCGGTGCAGAACGAAAGCCGGCTCCAGGAGGACACGAGCAGGGTGGCAGGTGGCAGTGCAGAAACGCAGGAAAAGTCAAGGTTTGGAGCTAGTTTCTAGTCGGTTCAGAAAGTGACGTTTGGCAGTCTGGGATACGGGCCGCGGGCCCAATCCGTGCTTCTCTGCCATGGTGTTTTAGCCCTGCGACACGGTCCTTGGACTCCAGCTTGGACGAAGCGGTGCAGAACGAAGGCCGGCTCCAGGAGGACACGAGCAGGGTGGCAGTTGGCAGTGCAGAAACGCAGGAAAAGTCAAGGTTTGGAGCTAGCTTCTAGTCGGTTCAGAAAGTGACGTTTGGCAGTCTGGGATACGGGCCGCGGGCCCAATCCGTCCTTCACTGCCATGGTGTTTTAGCCCTGCGACACGGTCCTTGGACTTCAGCTTAGACCGAAGCGGTGCAGAACGAAAGCCGGCCCCAGGAGGACACGAGCAGGGTGGCAGTTGGCAGTGCAGAAACGCAGGAAAAGTCAAGGTTTGGAGCTAGTTTCTAGTCGGTTCAGAAAGTGACGTTTGGCAGTATGGGATACGGGCCGCGGGCCCAATCCGTCCTTCACTGCCATGGTGTTTTAGCCCTGCGACACGGTCCTTGGACTCCAGCTTGGACCAAAGCGGTGCAGAACGAAAGCCGGCGCCAGGAGGACACGAGCAGGGTGGCAGTTGGCAGTGCAGAAACGCAGGTAAAGTCAAGGTTTGGAGCCGCAGAACGAAAGCCGGCTCCAGGAGGACACGAGAAGGGTGGCAGTTGGCAGTGCAGAAACGTAGGAAAAGTCAAGGTTTGGAGCTAGTTTCTAGTCGGTTCAGAAAGTGACGTTTGGCAGTCTAGGATACGGGCCGCGGGCCCAATCCGTCCTTCACTGCCATGGTGTTTTAGCCCTGCGACACGGACTCCAGCTTGGACCGAAGCGGTGCAGAACGAAAGCCGGCTCCAGGAGGACACGAGCAGGGTGGCAGTTGGCAGTGCAGAAACGCAGGAAAAGTCAAGGTTTGGAGCTAGTTCTAGTCGGTTCAGAAAGTGACGTTTGGCAGTCTGGGATACGGGCCGCGGGCCCAATCCGTCCTTCACTGCCATGGTGTTTTAGCCCTGCGACACGGTCCTTGGACTCCAGCTTGGACCGAAGCGGTGCAGAACGAAAGCCGGCTCCAGGAGACACGAGCAGGGTGGCAGTTGGGAATGCAGAAACGCAGGAAAAGTCAAGGTTTGGAGCTAGTTTCTAGTCGGTTCAGAAAGTGACGTTTGGCAGTCTGGGATACGGGCCGCGGGCCCAATCCGTCCTTCTCTGCCATGGTGTTTTAGCCCTGCGACACGGTCCTTGGACTCCAGCTTGGACCGAAGCGGTGCAGAACGAAGGCCGGCTCCAGGAGGACACGAGCAGGGTGGCAGTTGGCAGTGCAGAAACGCAGGAAGTCAAGGTTTGGAGCTAGTTTCTAGTCGGTTCAGAAAGTGACGTTTGGCAGTCTGGGATACGGGCCGCGGGCCCAATCCGTCCTTCACTGCCATGGTGGTTTAGCCCTGCGACACGGTCCTTGGACTCCAGCTTGGACCGAAGCGGTGCAGAACGAAAGCCGGCTCCAGGAGGACACGAGCAGGGTGGCAGTTGGCAGTGCAGAAACGCAGGAAAAGTCAAGGTTTGGAGCTAGTTTCTAGTCGGTTCAGAAAGTGACGTTTGGCAGTCTGGGACACGGGCGCCAGACAGAACGAAAGACGGCCATCCAGGAGCGACACGAGCCAGGGGTGGAGCAGGTTGCAATGTAGAAACGCGGGGAAAAAAGTCAAGGTTTGGAGCTAGTTTCTAGTCGGTTCAGAAAGTGACGTTTGGCAGGCTGGGTAGGGCGCGGGCTGGGCCAATCGTCCTTTCCCTGCCATGGTTGTTTTAGCCCCTGCGACACGGGTCCTTGGACTCCAGCTGGGACCGACGCGATTGCAGAACGAAAGCCGGCTCCAGAGGACACGAGCAGGTGGCAGTTGGAAGTGCAGAAACGCAGGAAAAGCCAGGTTTGGAGCTAGTTTATATCGGTTCAGAATGACGCGTTTGGCAGTCTGGGGTCCTTCACCGCCATGGTGTTTTAGCCCTGCGACACGGTCCTTGGACTCCAGCTTGGACCGAAGCGGTGCAGAACGAAAGCCGGCTCCAGGAGGACGCGAGCAGGGTGGCAGTTGGCAGTGCAGAAACGCAGGAAAAGTCAAGGTTTGGAGCTAGTTTCTAGTCGGTTCAGAAAGTGACGTTTGCTCCATTAGGACACGAGCAGGGTGGCAGTTGGCAGTGCAGAAACGCAGGAAAAGTCAAGGTTTGGAGCTAGTTTCTAGTCGGTTCAGAAAGTGACGTTTGGCAGTCTGGGATACAGGCCACGGGCCCAATCCGTCCTTCACTGCCATGGTGTTTTAGCCCTGCGACACGGTCCTTGGACTCCCGCTTGGACCGAAGCGGTGCAGAACGAAAGCCGGCTCCAGGAGGACACGAGCAGGGTGGCAGTTGGCAGTGCAGAAACGCAGGAAAAGTCAAGGTTTGGAGCTAGTTTCTAGTCGGTTCAGAAAGTGACGTTTGGCAGTCTGGGATACGGGCCGGGCCCAATCCGTCCTTCACTGCCATGGTGTTTTAGCCCTGCGACACGGTCCTTGGACTCCAGCTTGGACCGAAGCGGTGCAGAACGAAGGCCGGCTCCAGGAGGACACGAGCAGGGTGGCAGTTGGCAGTGCAGAAACGCAGAAAGTCAAGGTTTGGAGCTAGTTTCTACTCGGTTCAGAAAGTGACGTTTGGCAGTCTGGGATACGGGCCGCGGGCCCAATCCGTCCTTCACTGCCATGGTGTTTTAGCCCTGCGACACGGTCCTTGGACTCCAGCTTGGACCGAAGCGGTGCAGAACGAAAGCCGGCTCCAGGAGGACACGAGCAGGGTGGCAGTTGGCAGTGCAGTGTCGTCTCGGGTCTCTTTAGGGTGCCATTTAAAGTTTCATACTGCGGTTACGAACGGGGGCTTCGGGTATGGGTCTTAAGTGCTAGAGCAACCCTTTAGGTCCCCAAGACACCTGGCCAATGACGAAAGCTCCTATTTCTTGAGCCATGAAAAAGTGTCAGAGCACATAGTTGTGCGTGTCATCCTGCAGGGGTCCATGCTGCTTGCATGTGCACAGTGCCAAACGCACATACAAATGGTTTGTTTAGGTCAGTTTCTGGTTTCTTTAGGGTTCATTTCATGCTTACGACACAGAGGCAGGCATGACCCTCCAGTGTCCAGGGGTCGGCGGCAGAGGGCGTAGCCCTTTAATATATATATATATATATGTGAATATATAACTAACTATACCATATATATATATACATATATATATATATATATATATATATGTATGTGTGTTCTCTGGTTATATATGGTCTAGTATGATTACATATGAGGTATAGTTAGTTACGGTCATCTAATGGTCATTTGATATGAGTCTATCAACTAAGAAAATAGACGAGTCCAAACATATGAGCCGATGAGGAGCATCTTCGCATTGTCACGGCACCTTTGCAGATGGACAACTCTATATATATATATATATTGTAGTCCAGTGTATGAATGAGATATGAACGGAGACTTAATGGTGTATAAATCACGATTTGTATAGTCAAAGTGGAGATTTGAATAAGATCACTTGCGACGAACCGGGCACCCCTTTTCGATCCAAAGGTTGGGCTGGGGCAGGGTGGGGTGGTTAGCAAAATCTAAGGAGTTACAAGCGAACATCGCCCTTATTAATCCATGTATATATATATATCCATATATATCCTTATGTAAAGCACGGTGTATAAACTGCTGGTGAAAGCGCCGTTTTTGGTTGACAAACATGGAGAACTCACGCAGAGTTCAGGGTCAAGCCCTCCCCACATGACCTGAGGATCATCCCGCGAATCGGAACTGGTTAGTAACTGGGGTGCGAAAAGCCACTTATAAGTAAATGTAATCACTTATGTATATATATATATATGTACTGTATAGTTATATATAATATATATATATGTACTGTATAGTTATATATATGTATGTACTGTATAGTTATATATATATGTACTGTATAGTTATATATATATGTACTGTATTTATATATATATATGTACTGTATTTATATATATATATACTGTATAGTTTTATATATATATATAGTCAGTTCTTTATATATATGATAATGGGACAAGCCCACAAAATGGAGAACTTGCTAACCAGGGTTACTCCGTCAGGATCGATTGATCTGGGCTTGAAACTTCTTCCGTGTCTCCAGGCCGAAAGTCATCAAACTGGATCTGAAAATGGGCTACAAACTTCCCAAATTATCCCAGGTAACCCTGGTCAATCATAGCCATAGCCATTTGCGTGCAGAAATGATGACAAATATATAAACATGTGGCTATCCTATGGCCATTTGAATGAAAACATCATCAGATTATCTGATAAAAAGCGTGAAAAAATAGCGAACATACTGTGGATGGTTGCAAAATCCTGCACCAGTTGGTGTATGGCTTGTCCCCTTATGATCCCACTATTCAATTATTTACAATGTTTCATGGGTACTGGCAGCCCATTTTCAGACCGCCCAAGTGGGGCAAGCGCCGCACTGTGCCTCTTCATCGCTGGAGGTGGCCACAAATAGAGCCGTGCTCGTCCTGAGGCGACGAGAAAGCAGAGATGCAAAGAGAGAATTTGCACGGAAATGAGATATTAATGGGGAATAATGGGGATTTAATGCTGTGTAGAGTTGTGTATTATGTATGTATGTATGTATGTATGTACGTATGTATGTATGTAATGTAATGTAATGTAATGTAATGTAATGTAATGTAAATGTAATGTAAATGTAATGTAATGTAATGTAATGTATGTATGTATGTATGGTCACCGACAGAATTATGGAAAAAAAAAAACGTTCAACTTAGACAGGCGGCGCCTGCGTCTGATTTTTCCGTAATTGGATTTTTCCCCATAAGGGTTCAAAATATCCCGGAAGTGATCCGAACCTTTTTTTTTCCATAATTCTTGGAGGTGGCCATTATTTCCATAATTGATTTTTCCTGTAAAATCAGGGGGCTAGGGCAGATTGACCGGTTTTTCCATAATTATTTTTTCCATAATTATTTTTTCCATAATTAATGTTTGGGGCTCCACCTGTTGGACATGTCATGGATCCACAATTCAAACCCGTTTTTTTTGGGGGTTATGGAAATATGTATGCAAATGCAAGTATGTAGTATCAACCCAATATTTCTATAATTCAATATTCCCCCTTAAAATGCATTCAAATTGCGAATCGATGGTAATACAGTCACCGACAGAATTATGGAAAAAAAAATAATTATGGAAAAAAAAAGGTTCGTAACTTTTCTATCATAGACAGGCGGCGCCTGTAAATTGAAACGTTTTTTTTTCCATAATTCTGTCGGTGACTGTATGTATGTATGTATGTATGTATGTATGTATGTATGTATGTATGTATGTATGTATGTATGTATGTATGTATGTATGTATGTATGTATGTATGTATGTATGTATGTATGTATGTATGTATGTATATATATATATATATACGTAATTATATATATATATACAACCAACTATAGTCAACATAGATGGAAGAAATCCTGCACCAGTTGGTAACTACTACAGTAGGTATAGACAACTATGAAACACTGAAAAATCATGGGATTATAACCAACCGCTGGATTTCTTCCATGCACTGTATCACAAAGATGGACATGCGAGCATCGACAATTGGGATCTGAGGGAGAAAAATCCGGATATTTGCAAACAATTCCAGGCTTCATTTTAGGAGATCACGAAGAAATGATGGTGACAGTTCCATATGTATATGTACATATACATATACATATACATATACATATACAATTACATATACACATGTATAATGATAATATGTGTATATATATATATATGCGTAGCTATATATTGAAGAGACAACGAAAAAAAACATAGTGATGCTCGTGTTCCTTGCGGGAACGTTGGTGCAAAATTACTGGAACTGAAAATGAAGCTCCAAGATTGGACGGACTATTTAGAGATATATGAGATATCTAGAAGATTGAGTAAATTTGCAAAAGAACCAAAAAAGTAAATACTCCCAAGAAATTACATCTGTGGAGTTCCTTTTCCTCAAACACTGAGCGCCCCACTTCATCGCATATGCCTGACAATGACCAAGGACACGATTAGTACACCAGCAACACGCTAGTAGTGAAATGTTCCTTTTATTAAAAAAAAAAAAAAACTCACCCTGGTGGCGGGGAATATCTCAAAACTGGCAACTTGCTGCCTGATTTCCTTTCAAATTCAATCATCGGATGAGACATTCCAATTCTCCAACTGGATTTCTTGTCCCATTTTCAGGTGGTTCCCTCAATGTCAACATATCCCAACCATCCTTTCATCTTATCTTCGCATGGTGAGGTCGTTTCCCCAGGCTTCCCGTACCCTTTTTTGGTGACTATAGCTATGAAAAATCGCCATTGGTCACAATAACCATAGCTATAGTCAGAACATACTATAGAAACCTATTAATCCAAGAGTTTCAATAGTTGTAATTTCTCCATCTCCATTTTAACGGACCATTCTATTGAATCAACTACCCGGCCTGGTAAACGTGAACAAAAAACTATGGAAAGATCCACCATGCTATTAATGGGTAAATCCACTATTTCGACTGGGCCATTGAAAATATGTCGCAAACTGTTAGTCATTACCAGGCCGGGTAGATCATCCATTGGATTTACCCATTACCAGGCCGGGTAGATCATTACATATCATTACCAAACTGTTAGTCATTACCATAGCTTGGTGATTTTCCATAAACTGGTAAACTAACATAACTATGGAAAATCACCATGTTTAATGGGTAAATCCACTATAAATGGCCATTTTCCATAGCTTTTTGTTAACGTTTACCAGGCCGGGTATGGCTCTATGTGTCATGGCTTCACCGTCAAGCGAGGTCTCCATGCTTCGCCTGCGAGCGCTTGTCTCCAGCTTGTTGGTACAAGGCCCGGGTGCTGCGGCTGGCCCGCAAGGCATCCTCCTGCGAGAGTAGTGCTGGGTACAACAACACTAACACTGCTGGTTGGTGGTTGATCTACCCCTCTGAAAAATATGAAAGTTCGTCAGTTGGGATGATGAAATTCCCAATATATGGAAAAATAAAATTCATGTTCCAAACCACGAACCAGAATGATAATAATGGATAATAATGGGTATAATTGGTATCTTAATACCTATCCCAATGGGTATATTATGATGATGGGTATAAAAAGAAACAATCATAAATGGGTATAATCAATGATACCTATCAATATTCATGGATGTAATGATGCTATAAATAGGTATCATAATATATACCCTCTGGTAAACTAACATAACTATGGAAAATCATCATTTTTAATGGGAAAACTCACTATAAATGGCCATTTTCAATAGCAAACTGTTAGTTTACCGGAGGGTAATCCCATCCTGAAATCCTCCTAAAATTTCTCCATCCTGCGCCGATTTCGCGATTTCGCTCCTGTTCCCCTGTGCTCTTCTGGATCTCCGAGATGATGCTCCAACTCATCCCCTGGATCCCGATATGTAAACCAACGGTGACAATGGCTTTGGTAATATGATCATGGGCCATGAATAATGGCTGATTGTCCATATTGTATTATGATATATTATAATATATGTATTATTATGTATATTTTAGAATATATTATATATATTATAATATATATATATATTATAATATATATATATTATAATATATATATATATATTATAATAATATATATATATACTTATATATATATATATTATGATATATCATGAAGATGATACAGTATTAATAAAAATATAATGATTATGATATGAATAAAAAACAAGCCATGTCATCCTAATGTGAATTGATGAATGGAATTAAATTGGCACCATGGAATCGCCACAGGTTTTCTCAGCGGCTCGCCTCGCCCTTCTTATCATCCACCTGTCGGAAAGTCACCTGGCATCGCGTCGAGGGCGATCCAAAAAAGGTGGATCGTTAGCTGGAAATTGCGGGTGTGTCATATTTTTTGGGGAACTCAAACCATACATTTGTTTTGGTGGCATACCAATATTTTTCTTTGAGCCATTAGAATCATTAGAATCATTAGAAGTTCTTTGGCCAATTCTTGAAAAACATGAGGGCGTTTTCACTTTCACTGGTTTTTCATAGTCTTTGAATAAGTTCTACGGCGGAAAACTCAGTGATGCTGAACGAAATCGCAGATGACCCGGAGGGGGTGTCATCATGGCCGTGGCACCCGAAAAGCCGTGGCATTTAGTTCGATGATGTTCCCAGCGATAACCGTGGTCTCCATTTATGGTTGGGATTTTCCATGGCTAACTGTTAGTCATAACCAGATGGTATAAATAGTGGGATTCATTACAAATAGTGGGTTATATAACCATCATAATAAACTGTCATTTATAGATATCCTCCATTTAGTTTGGGGATTTCTATGGATTTCCCCAGCCACGTTTGATGACGCAGGAGGGTATCCATGACTGAGTCCTCTTCCACCTGCAGTCCTACCTGTGATCCGTTGATTTATGGTGACCACAATCCAATCCTATCCATCGAACTGGTGTTGGCCTGTATGGTCGCTATCATTCTTCCCATTTCTAATGGGAAAATATGGGAAATCAGCCATGATTAGATATCTGATTGTAATGGATCCATGTTCAAAACAGTCATCTGGTTGGTGGTTTCAACCCCTCTGAAAACTGTTAGTCAAATGGGATTATTATTCCCAATATATGGAAAAATAAAATTCATGTTCCAAACCACCAACCAGTCATGATTGACTATCATCTGCTTGGGAACCTCAAATCATAGTTCCAAGAGGAGAAGCCCATTTAGGGAAGATTGATGCCACCATAGCTCTGAAGCAATCCCTCACCACTGGATAGTTAGTCGATGATGATCCTCAGCTTTTGATGTGCATAACTTGGAATATAAATCTAATGGCTCCATTATCCTCCAAACGTGGCAGTGGACAATTCACCATTGATTCTTTTGCCAGCTATAAACCTCCACTTTTAGGGGATTTCCCAACCAGCCACGTTTCCAAAAGCCCCAACTCTTCCAGAAAAGCGGCCTGTGCTTCGCGCACGAGCTTCAAAGCTTGGCTGGTGTTTCCTATGCAGCTCGTCCAAGTGTCGTCGATGGGAGTTGAGGCCACCAAACCATAAGGATTTGATGATTTCTTCAATAGCCAATGGCTTGGTTTAAGGGGAAATATTAACCGGAAACCACGGTTTTTCCCACCAAACGTGGAGTTTTCCTGTAGTTTTTCCCTTAAACCAATCCAATGAATAGTTCTTGTGTGCTAGTAATGATCGTATGATAAGTGTATGAGAAAAGTGTCGCAGCCTATTGTCGACCATCCTTCTTGCGTCCGAATTCTGGATTTATAGATGAACAACAGAATCATTGCGATAATCCTCAATATTATATATATATATTGTATAGTACAACCCCATATAATCATCAAACAACAGGGGTGTTACACACTGCTCATATCAGTCCTTGCATCCTTTGCCCCATCCGCTTCCGAACCCGTCCCGGACGCCTGTGGCATGGTGAATCTGGGCTTCCGTCAGGATCGCATTGCCCTTGCGACGTAACAACAGATCCATTGGATGATCTACCCTCTGGTAATGACATACAAAAAGCTATGGAAAATGGCCATAGAAATAGTGGATTGTCCCAGCTATAACATGGTGATTTACCGTAGTTTTTTGTTAACGTTTACCAGAGAGTAGTGACTTTTGTGGCCAGCAATGTCACAGGACATTGCTAAAAGAACACTGTTCTTGCAGGGAAAAAGACTTCAATGGCTTCTTTGAACTGCCAAAAAAGATCATGATGTATCATCGGATCATTTTGCTTCTTTTCCATTTGCAAACCCAAATGGCTATGGAATGCTATGGATCAATAGCTACAAATACAGACCTGGTTGGATGAACATCCATGAATCACTGCGATGATCTGGCTTGGACGAGCCTCTGTCTTTTTTATCCGTGGCTGAAAGCTTCCCGAAGGAAATGGAGGTCATGGGAAAATCAACCATAAATCAACTATCAATGGTGGAATTCCTGGATGTTACGGGAAAATCCACCAAAAATGGTGGATTTCCATTGCCACCTTGGAGGGAACCCCTGGATCTGGGTAGCTTCAGCCCAAGCCTGTCGTGTAAGACCCCCTCAAGAAGAAATCCGATTTTCAATGGGATATAGTGGGATATCAAATCTCATTCCATGAAATGGCTTGCAAAAATACAGGAATTCTGAAGCAACTCACTAATATGGGCCCTGGCCTTGTGGCGGCCCTGGCCTTGTTGCGTATCGTGCACGTAAAACAAAAGCAGTCAAGGATTCACAGGTCCTCCCCAGCTGTGTCTCTGCCTCTTTGGAGGGCTTCCCTAGATCTTTGGTCAGTCGCCGAATCTCTTGGGCAACCTCTAAGGCGGCACGCACGTCCCCCTGCGGCAGCAAGGGAAATCAAGATGAAGCAAGTCCCAACCTCGGGGGAATCCCGAAAAATAACAACCATCTAAGGGGGGTGATGTTTCAAGTAGTACCTTGCCGAATTATCATATTTCACCTGCATTCAGGCCACGCTTGGGAAATTTCCCCTACTAAGCATCATCTTGTAGTGACAACCTTCAGCCTTCAGGGCCTTTGAATTCAGCGAGATTCGCTAGATATCTCAGTTATTTCCCATGAAATCTCATGATGAATTACCATCTATGTCTGAATTTACCAGCCAGATTTCAGACATTTCTAGAAATATTAAATGGCTATGATTCCTATATGATGAAATATCTATCCCAGCTAGCTAAACTTCTGATATTTCAGCTATTTCTTCCATAGACGTAGTTGATATGTTGATCCGATCCGCCTTCACCATCAGGATTTCCACTGCGGTCCTAAGGTCCCAGCGGGGTTCTTCAGATGGTTTTTGTTCACCAGATGGATGACTAAAAAGTTCCAGTTCAGAAAACATGTGATAAAAATGTGATCAAAACTCACAGATTCACACTGTATACTTTGGTCATAACTATATGTAACCTATACAGTAGTATGTATGTATATATAATTATATATATATATATTATATATATATTATATATATTATATATATTATATATATATTATATATATAACTTATCAGTTAACGATTTTGGGAACACATGAAAAATCATATGGCGCCAAGGGGCTGAAGCACCTCGCAGCGCTGCGACTGCTCTCCCAGGTCATCCAGGCTCCTTAAAGCGGAGCGCCACATGGAGGTGTGAAATAACATTGGTGAAATTATGGGACATTTAGGAGAAATCCATGGGAAATATATATGGGAAATATATATGGGAAATATAGAACTATGGATGAATTACAGGAAACTATGGAGAAATCGATGGGACATATACATACCATCTGGTTATGACTAACAGTTTGCCATGGAAAGATCCACCATCTTTAAGAACGGTGAACCATCTATTTCTATGGGCCATCTATACCATGGCTATGTTAGTCACAACCAGAGGGTGTGGGAAATGTATATGGGAAATATATGGAGATTATGAACTATGGATGAATTATAGGAAACTATGGAGAAATATATTCAATGGCCATTTCGGGAACCTAAATTGGAGGTACCTATCATATATAAGGCCTATGTAAGGCCTATGTAAGGGAATATCCCCACAGAATATGCCCTTATATGGTACAGTACCTCCAATTTAGGATCCTGGATTTCCCATTGATATATGGGACATATGATCAAAAGATCAATGTGAGTATATGGGGAAATTCTGGCAGTCAATGGCATTGGAGGTTTCCAAATCATCCCAGTCGCGGATGACCATGTTAGTATTGAAACAACCATGGTTCACTTGGTGATGCCCCATTTTAGGAAACCTCCACATGGTGGAGGCGGTTGAAGTTACACTCTGGCTTATTTCACATAGCTATGGAAAATGGGCCATGTAGAATAATCTATCGATTTTTTTATCTACCAGTCATGATGTTCCATGGCTATGTTAAATGGCCAAAAGTTGGTATCCTTGAAAAAAATGTTGTTTTTGCAATTCAATAAATCATCATGAATGTATTGTCACTCGTTGATACCTACGTCCACGAATAAATGATAATTTTATATCATGATTAATGAACTATATTCACGAATGATCAACCCATTAATTGATTATATAATCAAAATGAATTTGCGGATCATGTCATATCCATCCGAAAGATCAAAGGATCTTCAACTATCACTAATTCATAACTACATCCATCCAAAATATCATATCACTCATTGATAACTGTATCATTAGTTAAATCCCCCGTTTTTGATGGTTTTTTACAGTTTTCATGCCGAAATGCCCAAGAAATCTCCTATGTTTCATGGTGAAAAAAAAATGTGAAAAAAAAACATAGATTTCTGAGGTTCAAATCAGCCAAAATCCATGGTGAACCATAGTGAAGCACCATTTTCTCACGTGTCATAACCATAGCTACTGGTTGGTGATATACCTATAATAGAATAGATTGGTAATTTAACATCGCCATAGAATATCCATGGTTTATGGTGTTAATAACCAATTCTATGGTTGGTGGTATACCTACCTACCCCTCTGAAAAATCATGGACTGAAAGTCAGTTGGGATGATATATTATTCCCAATATGATGGGAAAGTCATAAAAGTATATAAAAGTCCATGGTTCCAAACCACAAAAAAAACGATTTTTTCATGGTTAAAACCATAGAAAACCCACCATTTTCGCTGCTGAAATCCACCATGTTGGGCCAGGCACGTGGAGCTATTGGTGACCGCCTCGAGAGCTTCATCGACACGCCGCAACCTGGGTGTTTTTGATGTCGTAAACAGGATCTTTTTAGATGGTGTTATATGGTGGATTTAGATAGCTTTCTATGGTGTTTCTGGGTGGGTTTTAGGTTCTTTTTTTTGTTGGTGTTTCTGGGTGGGTTTTAGGTTCTTAAATTGGTGTCTAGCATGGTTTTTGTTGCTTGCTTTTCTGTGGTTTGTATGGTTGTGTATGGCTATGTAATTATGCATATTATGTTATATGGTTCAATAGGGATGTGGAAAAAAATGGGATGAACATGGGATAAACCTCGAGGATTCAAGCACCAATGGTTGAGGATTCAAACATGGCAAGCTGGAAAAAATCCCCACAAATGGAGGGACGTAGCTGGGAAAATCATCCATAGATGGGGAACTGTCCATTGCCATGTTTGACTACAGGAGGGGAAGCAACAGTGATTCTCTCAAGAAAAATGCTGGCATAGGCCGGGAGACATTTACACATCTGGTGACAATCCTGATACTAATATAACTATAATTGATTCTAATTATTCTAATTGTTTATAATTGATTATCTTGATCTCAAATGGTATCAAAGTGATCACCATATTATCACCAAATTATCGGAGCTTCAGCCATCCCGCCTGATGCTGGCTTGCGCCAGACTGTGAGACATCGCAGCTTCCCAGCGCTTGTCCTGGCTTGGAACCCCCTGGGGGTCGCGGAGTTTCGGAACGTCAGGGAAGACCGGGGGATTTTTTATGGGATTCTTGGCTGATCTGCCATCAACATGGAATGATACCCTCTGGTTATGGCTAACATAGCCATGGAAAATCCCTTATAATGGAGGTATTAATGGGAAAACCATCTATAAATGGGCCATTTTCCACGGCTATGTTAAATAACCAGATGATATGTTCTTCCCATGAAAGGAACCCCTAATGTACTGGAATAGAAGATGAATCCCAGAAAAACTGGAATAGAATATGGATATGTTGAATCTTCACATTCCATCCTCAGAATCTCAACTGGGCTGATCTATTGATCTACATTGAGGATGTGGAATATCAATGAATATCAGCTATCAACAATCACTGCCCGTTTTTGGTGGGCTCCAAAGGCATTGCTTCACGTGGAAGCTATGAGGCTGACGCGTGAGTGTTGATACTTAAACACTGATAGTGTTGGTGATCATCCGAAATTTGTGTCCTATCATTCTGTTGTTGGATAAACAAAGTTCACGGTACATGTTCCGGCTTATTTTGAATGTTTTCACCATTTCTGTTAGGAAAATACGGTTTCGGCACGTCATCTCGGCTATCTCTCTTTTTTGGGGGGATAATTCATGATAAATCCATGTTGTTTTGTTCTTAAGTTCTTAATCCCAAACAATCTGACTATTTAATTTCTATTCTTTGATTTGCTTAAACTCCCAAGTCTTATTGGTCGAAACTCCGAATCCTTTGCAAAAACTCCTCTTTCCCCCGCTCCTGCATCTCCTTGCAGAGTGTCAAGCCCTGCTTGGCCGCCTCAACAGCCTCCTCCAAGTTGCCGCTTTCGTACATGCTGTCCAACTCCATGTTCAAAACCACCTGAGACACTCAAAAAAAAGCTGCCGAGAGGTCATGGGCTAGATGTGTTGGAAATCCTATCTACGCTACTGAAAAATCCCCTGTATATTGCCCAATGAAACCAGGTTTTGTTTACCATCGTCTGGGCAAATTATACCAAAAAAATTACCAGAAGTGTCCATTTGTCAGTCCCCAGTATATAAGTTTTCATAAGGTTGGCAATAAGTTCCACAAGCGTCCCATAATTTTCTCATAAGTTCAATTAAAATGTCCGTGCACAATACATTTACCATAATTTTACCATAACTTTCCCACACGTTTGAAGAAGTTTTGATTCCTGGTGCTGAAAAAACTTATGGTACACTTCTGGGAAAGTGTCGTCCCTTTGAGTTCCCATTTAAAAAAAAAAAAACATTCCCTGAAGTTCCTATAAATTTCCCGTGGTTCCTAATAGGAGTACCCAGAATCATGAATAATCATTGGTAATCTCATAATTCCCTTAAGTTCCCATAAACTATACCAATGGAATAGTCTCATAGAATTCCCATATGGGTGACCATATAGCTTCAGGACAAATCATAGGTTTGATGGTAATCAATGATTTTACCAATGGTGATAATAAACTAAACCTGTGAATCATTGATCAAATCATCATTTATCATCAATATTAATCGTAATCTACTATCATCATTGAATCATGGGAAAATCATTGGTGGATCAAATCATCGATAGTAGATTCAACTATTCCACCAATGACTTACTGTTGCTAAACTACGTAGGGTTGCTGGATGGGTTGGGAATGGGGTTGCTGGGATGATTATTACATATTATTACTAGGGAGCCAGTGGATCATTCCCATCCATTCCCTACGTAAAACGCACCAGTAAGTGTTCCCTATCAATTCTCATGGAGAAGCTCCGGCCTTAGTATCGATGGCCAGTAGCTGCAGTGCTGGCTCCTCTCTGGCTGAAGTCTGGGCGTCCTGATGTTGGCGGACGCTACGACGCTACGCGGACCTGGGGATGTTAAAAACATGGGTTTTACACATGGCAAAAATGGGAATTTGATATGGATATATATATATAATGGATTTTAATCAGATGAGATTTATTTGTACTGTAAATTTAGCAAATCAGCGAATTTGGGGGGATTTCAAGTCAGATTAGTTTTTAGGGATTTGAATCAGCTTGCTTGAACTCGCAAAATCTGGGATTAAGCCGGTATCTGGTTGCTTAAACCCAGTTAGGTGGGATGATGATGATGATGATGCTGATGATGATGATGATGATGATGCTGCTGCTGGTGGTGGTGGTGGTGGTGGTGATGATGATAATGGGTGGATATTCAACCCTAAGCGTGGGATTTTAAATATTTATATAGTTTCTGTTCATTCTAAGTTATTCCTCAACAAGACAGAAGAGTTTCTTGATTATAAACATAGATGTTGTCAACATTGATTATTCTTGTTATGTTGTCAACTTCGATTATTCCAAAGATGATCGGTCAAGAATAGGTGTTGTCTATGTAACTGGCCGCCAAACCCCCAACCGCCCCAGGTTTCCGCCCCATGGAGGTTTCGTTCGTGAAAATCATGGAACTCAATGGCGAAGTTAGCGAAATTACCGGAGGCTAAATGGTGTAATGTTGGTAACCCAATTTCACACCTATATGGTTTATAATGGTGTTATAAATCACCCCCAATTTCACCATAGGTGCTATGCTTACCATTCCCAGTCATAGGTTTGTGGCATTGTTTTACCCCCATGAAGATTTCACGTCATTTCCATGGAAAAATGGGAACAATCCCTGCAGGATGGGGCCCCCAAGATAGCGTTCAGTTGGTTTATAAGTGGCTGAATTCAATGGTTTATGGTAGATATAACGAACTAGTTAATGGGGATTATTTCATGCTTTATAAACATTAAATGGTAGATATATCCCATTATAAACTATTTATGGTAGGATTATAACTGGGGGGCCTCCCTGTGCAGATGTTCCAACATCGTCCTGCGCCGCCTTTCGGGCTCCCTTCACATCGGCCAAGCTCAAGCGCACTCGACACCTCGATGCCGGCGATGGGAAAATCCATAACTGGAAGGGAGAAACCCATGGAAAATCCCCAATAAATGGAGGGTTTTGAGTGGGAAAATATGGGGGAAATCATGGAAAATCATCTGTAAATGGAGGGTTTGAGTGGGAACATATGAAAAAAAAAACTACAACTGGTTGATTTTCCATTGAAAACCTCTGGAAATGAAACGTTCTATGAATGTGGCTGGCTGGAAAATCCACGAACGAAATATCTATATAGAAATTCTGTTTATAGGGAAAATCATCTAACCATGTGGCTGGGGGATTTTCCAAAGCCGCCATTACTTTGATTACAGCAAGGTATCAACATCCATCAGCGCTAAAGGGGTTCTGTGAAACCTAAAATTATCCAATGACTTGGATGATGACTGGGTGCCCCCATGACTTCGGAAAGCTCCATATCTGAAAAAACCACTGCAAGCATGAGAATATGTGCCACAATCAATGGGAATTCCAGGATCCTAAAATGGAGGTACGTTAGTACCATATTTCTGGCCATATTTTGTGGGGATATCCCCTTACATAGCCCTGAAAAATAGGCCTTATATATGGTAGGTACCTCCAATTTAGGTTCCTGAAATTCCCATTGACACAATGTATCTCTAAACCAACCCATGGATATATCATACACCAAGCATCTGGGTTTTTCGAATGTGGGGTCTTGAACTTGACACAGCACGGCACGGGTCAAAATGAGGTTCCCAAAAAAGTAGAAAGGAATAAAATCAACATGAAGAATTCATCCATTCATGGGGGTCCGACTGGTCTGACATTCCAAAAATTGTGCATCTTTTTCTGATCTGGTGCCTATTTGCCAGTACCCTCTGGTTATGACTAACAGTTTGCCATGGAAAATCACCATTTTTAAGTTCGGTAAACCATCTATTTCTATGGGCCATTTCCCATGGCTATGTTAGTCATAACCAGAGGGTAGATTCCAAATTCCATTCGTGGCTGAGACTGGGAAACGCAACGCGGGATTGACGGCCCATCACGATACGGATCACAGCATGCTGTGTTTTTTATGGATCACGCAGGCCTGGAAATTCCGAAAAATTCATAAAATCTATGTGGGCTTGTCTTGTAGCGGGCTTGTCTGAAACTATAGCAAAAAAATCTATGTGGACCCCAAATTTTGATGCTTGGTCCACACTTTCATGATAATGTCAATGGATTGGTTGAAGGGAAAATCTACAGGAAACCATGGTTTTTACGATCAAATATAGGGGTTTCCTGTAAATTTTCCCATCATCCAATTCTATGATAATGAGCATAAATCGGGGACGACCTTTCAGCCAGGAGACAGGTGGTGTAGTGCCTCCTGTCGCCAGTCGGAGCTTCCGATCCTCGGTTGCTTTTGGAATCTGGGATGAAATGGAATTTTGGGCCAAAAAAACCTGGTACCCAAACTTCATACCCTAGGTCATAGCTGGAAATCATGGATAGAGTATGATGTTGAGTTATTCTACCTATGGTAAGAATAGGTAACTTGACTTCCATCCCCAAATCACAACGTCTCCATGAATTTCATGGCCTGAAGGCCTGAAGTATCAGCTTTGAGATGGGTTTTTGCTGGACTGTTTTATCATGATTCGGCCGGCTGAAGGGGGATAACGAACAGCGGAGACAAATGTGTCAGGCCAAAGAATGTATCACTGCAGATTCTGAGCAAAAGAACATGTCTTACTGTTCTTCGCAGCTGACATCTAAACTGTTTTTGAAGACTGTTATTGATTAGTCATGAATAGTCAATCATGTCTTATTGAAGACTAGTCTTCTTAGTTAATCTTCAGTTTAGTTGATATTGAAGACTGTGAGGCTGTAATGATTGACATGACACTGGTCATTCCTTGTTTTCGCAGGGCTGTGGCTGGGACATGGCCGGGTGGGGAGCTTCCACACCTTCAACACCCCCCAAACAAGGTGACACACCCAACGATAGCTGGTGAATCAGCCCCGCGTTTGTGGTTGTTAGTTGTTGGTTAATAAGGTCTCAATAAAGAAGAATCAATATTAATAGGGTCTTAATAAACAAAAACTAAACAAGAACTAGACAAGAACTAAACCAACAATGTGTTTTTCGTAGTGGTTCAATCATAGTTCTTAGTGTTCCAATTAGGAAGATGTGATGCCAAACCCCGGCTGCACAAAAACTGCAGCAAACTCGGAGGCAAGGGGCTCGGTCAGGAGTTGCAGGCTCTCCTCTCTGGCCATGGTTTGCCGGCCCATCCAAACGACAAGCCGAAGATGATACCCTCTGGTAAACTAACATAGCTATTGAAAATCACCATTTATAGTGAGTTTTCCCATGAAAAATTGTGATTTTCCATAGTTATGTTAAATTACCAGAGGGTAATACAAGTTACAAGATGCTACAAGTACTGCAGATGCTTCCAGAGCATCTGCAATGTGAAGTGACTTTCCAAGCAAAGGTGGCCCACTTTGTCAACCCCCAAGCCGGTCCCTGGCGGATTGCATGGCATCTCTACCGCGATCCATCTGCAAGCTCCACTTTGACATGGCCAGACCTCAGGGAAGGAAAGTGGGGCTCTCAGATCCACAACCCAAATTCAATAAGGAAACCCAACAATTGTTGCATGCGGTTGCCTCAAAAACACTACAGATCACTACAGTCGCTACATCCCAAAATGTGGCCAGAAACCCAAGATTCTAAGTGTCCCCAAGGATAATAAAGATTGCAAGCCCAAAATTTGTTGGCCTCATTGGCTATGCTATATTTCAAGGGTGTGTATCCCTCTTGCGCCAGATCTGAGACTGTCATGCTTCCGAAAGCGCTTCCGAAAAGCCTCCCTTAAGATATCCCAATGAACTGCTGCTGGAAGATGAGAGTGTGAGAATCTGAAAAGAACTGCTATAGAATCTTCATCATCAGTTTTCCCATCGTTTCAATGGCCATGACTCAGGAACCAATAAAAATTGCAGCTACCTACCATCAAAAAGGCCTAAATTTTAGGGAATATCCCCATAAAATATGGTCTTATATGGTACGGTACCTCCATTTTAGGATATTTGCTACCTACCATATATATAAGGCCTATCTATATATATATATATATATATATCAGGCCTACATTTCAGGGAATATCCCCCCAATTCAGCCCCGGCCATTGCGCCACCCAGCTCCGCCCAGGCGCTTTGGATGGCCAAAGCTTGGTGCCATCCAAGGTGGCGATAGTGCTGTACGGCCTGCCTCGGGGCATATCAAATCATGGAGATCTTTCTAGTGATAGTTATAGTGATAGTTATAGTGATTTATAGTGATTTATAGTGATTTATAGTGATAGATATATGATAATATGATATATCTCATATAGTGAGATATAGAACTGATTATTATATAATAGTTATATACATCCCATGATAGTTATATATCATGATGTACATTATTAATACATATAGTGAGATTCATAAAACTGTTAGTTATAGTTATATTCATATTATGATGCATATATGGGGATATATAAATGATGATGTATATCATAATAAATATGATGATGATGATGATGATGATGATGATGATGATGATGCTTATATATCCTCATATGTACATAATGATGCATACATATATATATATATATTATTATTATTATTATTACTATTATTATTATATATATATATATGGATATAGCTAAATATAACTATAACTAACTCAATTTTCTGAGATTTTTTCACTTTAATGGTTGGGGATACCCTCCGGTGTCATCAAACATGGCTTGCTGGAAATCGCTCATTTAGTTCGATGATGGTCCCATTAAAGCTCCATTTATAGTCAATTGTCAACTGCCATGTTTGACTACTAAAGTGTAGTGGAAAGACCATAGTTATACTATAATATTTGGAATTTCCAGTAGTCAATTTCAATTCCAAATAGTTAGTGAGAAATTCCAATTCCAGTTATAACATTGGAATTTCTCACTGGCTTTGTTTTTTGAGGGAAAAAATGTTGAATAAAAATCGCAGGGTTAGAACGGAAACTGGGTGAATCTTTGGGGAAGCCATTGCTATTATTATTCTTAATATCTTTGTGTTTAATGGCTGGGAAGATTTTATATAATGAAACTGGGGAAACATTTCAGGATTTTTGTTTGGAAAACCCTTTCCAATGTTTGTGTTTCTTGGTGCTATCCAAATTCGATAGAAGTCACATGTGTTGAATTGGAACCCCAAAAAATGCGTGGTTTTGTACTAAACATGACTGTATGGTTTTCATCGTAAACTCCTTTTCGGGGTGTCTAAATTTGGATATGAAATAAAAACTCGCTGCTGGCCGATGGTCTTTATGGTCTGTTGCAATGATCTTAAGCCACTTTGCTTCCCATAAGTGGCACAGGCGCTCTGGAGCTGCCATGGTTGGTTCAGGGTGAGATTCCTAAAAACAGGCAGCACTACCACTTACCCTCTGGTAAACTAACATAACTATGGAACATCACCATTTCTAGCTGAGAAAATCAACTATTTCTATGGCCATGGCTTCAATAGCAAACTGTAAACGTTTACGAGAGGGTAAAGCATTAAGAAGCCTTCTGAGCCACTTTTAAATCCCCAATTCTTAAACGTTGAAAAATTTAGGGTGAACTGGATGCCGTCCACCACGGCTTGTCATGGCGGCTAGAAACCTCCACCAAAAGGTCAATCTTCCGTGCAAGGGGGCTTATAACGAGGCTAAGCAGGATATATGGTAGATATATATATAATATATAGATATATAAAGATATATAAAGATATATAAAGATATATAAAGATATATAAAGATATATAATTATATATAATTATATAATCATATATAATCATATATAATTATAGTAATTATAAATATATATAATTAAATTATACATCTATAGTCTATAATTATATATATTGTATTAAACGGGTTTATAAACCACCTCACAACTGGGGCGCACCACCTTGTGAGAATCAGCTATATCCCCACTTTTTCATGGCACATGAATGAGGTCAAATCCCATTGTGGCTAAATCATATCAAATCCACAATATATTTATAGGTTCTTATTTTTTGTCCATACCCTCAATGATTATCAAATTACACCCTTGCCAGCATTTTTTCCGTGTGGCGGACAAATTACTCGTCCCTAATTTAGGTAGTGAAGGTTTTGCACACTCCGAATGTCATTCTGATTGCTTGAATCCCCAATCCCAATGTCAAATCATAACTAAATCATACTAAATCATGACAAATCCCCCCAAAATCCCAATTTCTCATGGTGAAATCCCAGAAAATCCCTATCAATTGCTGAAAAAAAACAAAAAAAACATCCAAAAAACCCAGCAGATTTCAGCCCTTCAAGTCGCTGGTGAAAGCGCAGGCCCTGCTCGAAGCATTCCTTGGAACTGGGCCCACAGCTGATAGCCACTGCACCTGGGAACTGGAAACTCAGCATGTTTTTCGAAGATGGGAAAATATGATAGTAAAAATTAATTATATGTGTGATAGGAAGATCATAGGAAGATCATAGTAATGAAACTTACCAACTCTTCTTCCATGGAAAGATCATGGGAAAATGGTGAAAATGATTGAAAATGATGGTCGTGTAGTAACCTTGGTAACCCCCAAAGAAATGCCGAAGAGTGAGAAACCTGGAAAAGTCCTGGCTCGTGTTCTATCGTTTTCGGGGCTACTATGATGTTATACATGTGATTGGAAGATCATAGGAAGACCATGTGCTTCAAAACTAGTTCACTCTTTCATAGCTAGTAATTGAAGTTTAAATGTGATACCCTCTGGTAAACTAACACAACTATGGAAAATCACCAATTTTTATAGGTAAACCATCTATTTCTATGGGCCATTTCCCATGGCTATGTTAGTCATAACCAGAGGGTACTTGGTTCGCTGGTTCCTGCCCGAAGGCCGCGCGGTTAGGACACATCCGAAAAAGGTGCTGTCACCCAAACGTGGGAACTATGTCCTGGTTTGTGGTTGAGCCACCCCTCCGAAAAATATGAAAGTCAGTTGGGATCATAATTCCCAAATATATGGAAAAATGAAATTCATGTTCCAAACCACCAACCGGATGTCTCAGAATCAAGATATCCTCACAAAAGGTCCTCCAGGTCATGGCATGCCAGCCAATCTGTGCACACAACATCTCACTATAAACCACAATTAAAAGGTCACAAGCTCAAGCAATGCAAGCAAACACTCCGTAGTGCACAAGTGTACAAGGACCCAGTTTTTGCATGCACCATGGCAAGCAAGGCGGCTTGGGCCGAACTCGCTCGCAAGAGATGCACACTTTTGAAGAGCAGTCCTGGTTCTCCCCAACATGGAAGTTGATTCTGTGGCAAGAGAGATTGAACCTTCCAGAGACACGCACGGCTACTGACCACAAAGGGGCTTCACCGTTTCCAAAGGAAGGACGTTTGAAAGCTCCTGCAAACACCTTCCAGCAAGGCAAAGACACATCACGATAACACCAACCACTCAAGATGCGCAAGATGTGGAGGCAAGTCCGTCACACTTGTTGCACCAGCAATATCCGTCAATATCTGTCAATATCCGTCAATGTGTCCTACCATGTCTTGCCGTGATCATGACATGCTGGGACAGTTGCGCCGTTAAATTTCAGCCAGCTGCTTTACGTCTTGTGCTTAGCAACCGCTGCCCCAGTCATCTGAAAGGATCCCTGATGGACTAAGCCCACTGACCATAACGGCCAATACACCCAGAGCACACCAGGCAACACATTTCAGCGATCTGCGGCGGGCGCAAAAGCTTCAGAAAATGGATTAAAGATTGCTGTCATCCTTGACGACACAACGTCACACTGCACAAGAAAGTTGCATGACAAGCGATGAAGAGTGACAAGTCCTCAAAGTGCATGCAAGCCAATCTGCGCACACAACATCTCACAATAAACATCAATAAACAACAATTAAAAGGTCACAAGCTCAAGCAATGCAAGCAAACACTCCGTATAGTGCACAAGTGTACAAGGACCCAGTTTTTGCATGCACCATGGCAAGCAAGGCGGCTTGGGCCGAACTCGCTCGCAAGAGATGCACACTTTTGAAGAGCAGTCCTGGTTCTCCCCAACATGGAAGTTGATTCTGTGGCAAGAGAGATTGAACCTTCCAGAGACACGCACGGCTACTGACCACAAAGGGGCTTCACCGTTTCCAAAGGAAGGACGTTTGAAAGCTCCTGCAAACACCTTCCAGCAAGGCAAAGACACATCACGATAACACCAACCACTCAAGATGCGCAAGATGTGGAGGCAAGTCCGTCACACTTGTTGCATCAGCAATATCCGTCAATATCTGTCAATATCCGTCAATGTGTCCTACCATGTCTTACCATGATCATGACATGCTGGGACAATTGCGCCGTTAAATTTCAGCCAGCTGCTTTACGTCTTGTGCTTAGCAACCGCTGCCCCAGTCATCTGAAAGGATCCCTGATGGACTAAGCCCACTGACCATAGCGGCCAATACACCCAGAGCACACCAGGCAACACATTTCAGCGATCTGCGGCGGGCGCAAAAGCTTCAGAAAATGGATTAAAGATTGCTGTCATCCTTGACGACACAATGCCACACCGCACAAGAAAGTTGCATGACAAGCGATGAAGAGTGACAAGTCCTCAAAGTGCATGCAAGCCAATCTGTGCACACAACATCTCACAATAAACATCAATAAACAACAATTAAAAGGTCACAAGCTCAAGCAATGCAAGCCAACACTCCGTATAGTGCACAAGTGTACAAGGACCCTGTTTTTGCATGCACCATGGCAAGCAAGGCGGCTTGGGCCGAACTCGCTCGCAAGAGATGCACACTTTTGAAGAGCAGTCCTGGTTCTCCCCAACATGGAAGTTGATTCTGTGGCAAGAGAGATTGAACCTTCCAGAGACACGCACGGCTACTGACCACAAAGGGGCTTCACCGTTTCCAAAGGAAGGACGTTTGAAAGCTCCTGCAAACACCTTCCAGCAAGGCAAAGACACATCACGATAACACCAACCACTCAAGATGCGCAAGATGTGGAGGCAAGTCCGTCACACTTGTTGCATCAGTAATATCCGTCAATATCTGTCAATATCCGTCAATGTCTCCTACCATGTCTTACCATGATCATGACATGCTGGGACAATTGCGCCGTTAAATTTCAGCCAGCTGCTTTACGTCTTGTGCTTAGCAACCGCTGCCCCAGTCATCTGAAAGGATCCCTGATGGACTAAGCCCACTGACCATAGCGGCCAATACACCCAGAGCACACCAGGCAACACATTTCAGCGATCTGCGGCGGGCGCAAAAGCTTCAGAAAATGGATTAAAGATTGCTGTCATCCTTGACGACACAATGCCACACCGCACAAGAAAGTTGCATGACAAGCGATGAAGAGTGACAAGTCCTCAAAGTGCATGCAAGCCAATCTGTGCACACAACATCTCACAATAAACATCAATAAACAACAATTAAAAGGTCACAAGCTCAAGCAATGCAAGCCAACACTCCGTAGTGCACAAGTGTACAAGGACCCAGTTTTTGCATGCACCATGGCAAGCAAGGCGGCTTGGGCCGAACTCGCTCGCAAGAGATGCACACTTTTGAAGAGCAGTCCTGGTTCTCCCCAACATGGAAGTTGATTCTGTGGCAAGAGAGATTGAACCTTCCAGAGACACGCACGGCTACTGACCACAAAGGGGCTTCACCGTTTCCAAAGGAAGGACGTTTGAAAGCTCCTGCAAACACCTTCCAGCAAGGCAAAGACACATCACGATAACACCAACCACTCAAGATGCGCAAGATGTGGAGGCAAGTCCGTCACACTTGTTGCACCAGCAATATCCGTCAATATCTGTCAATATCCGTCAATGTGTCCTACCATGTCTTGCCGTGATCATGACATGCTGGGACAGTTGCGCCGTTAAATTTCAGCCAGCTGCTTTACGTCTTGTGCTTAGCAACCGCTGCCCCAGTCATCTGAAAGGATCCCTGATGGACTAAGCCCACTGACCATAACGGCCAATACACCCAGAGCACACCAGGCAACACATTTCAGCGATCTGCGGCGGGCGCAAAAGCTTCAGAAAATGGATTAAAGATTGCTGTCATCCTTGACGACACAACGTCACACTGCACAAGAAAGTTGCATGACAAGCGATGAAGAGTGACAAGTCCTCAAAGTGCATGCAAGCCAATCTGCGCACACAACATCTCACAATAAACATCAATAAACAACAATTAAAAGGTCACAAGCTCAAGCAATGCAAGCAAACACTCCGTATAGTGGACAAGTGTACAAGGACCCAGTTTTTGCATGCACCATGGCAACCAAGGCGGCTTGGGCCGAACTCGCTCGCAAGAGATGCACACTTTTGAAGAGCAGTCCTGGTTCTCCCCAACATGGAAGTTGATTCTGTGGCAAGAGAGATTGAACCTTCCAGAGACACGCACGGCTACTGACCACAAAGGGGCTTCACCGTTTCCAAAGGAAGGACGTTTGAAAGCTCCTGCAAACACCTTCCAGCAAGGCAAAGACACATCACGATAACACCAACCACTCAAGATGCGCAAGATGTGGAGGCAAGTCCGTCACACTTGTTGCATCAGCAATATCCGTCAATATCTGTCAATATCCGTCAATGTGTCCTACCATGTCTTACCATGATCATGACATGCTGGGACAATTGCGCCGTTAAATTTCAGCCAGCTGCTTTACGTCTTGTGCTTAGCAACCGCTGCCCCAGTCATCTGAAAGGATCCCTGATGGACTAAGCCCACTGACCATAGCGGCCAATACACCCAGAGCACACCAGGCAACACATTTCAGCGATCTGCGGCGGGCGCAAAAGCTTCAGAAAATGGATTAAAGATTGCTGTCATCCTTGACGACACAATGCCACACTGCACAAGAAAGTTGCATGACAAGCGATGAAGAGTGACAAGTCCTCAAAGTGCATGCAAGCCAATCTGTGCACACAACATCTCACAATAAACATCAATAAACAACAATTAAAAGGTCACAAGCTCAAGCAATGCAAGCAAACACTCCGTAGTGCACAAGTGTACAAGGACCCAGTTTTTGCATGCACCATGGCAACCAAGGCGGCTTGGGCCGAACTCGCTCGCAAGAGATGCACACTTTTGAAGAGCAGTCCTGGTTCTCCCCAACATGGAAGTTGATTCTGTGGCAAGAGAGATTGAACCTTCCAGAGACACGCACGGCTACTGACCACAAAGGGGCTTCACCGTTTCCAAAGGAAGGACGTTTGAAAGCTCCTGCAAACACCTTCCAGCAAGGCAAAGACACATCACGATAACACCAACGAGAACCCATTCATGTCGAAGTGGATCCGAGGATGCACCCAACAAGTGAGGGCAGGTGCGGCAGACTTGCTGCACCAACAATATCCGTCAGACAGGTGCAGTCATGATTATTCAACGCCGGGACGATTGAGTGGCTATCACGAACTAGTATTCTATGGTTTATGGTGGATATCACGAACTAGTATTCATGGCTTTATAAACCAACCTATTGTTACATAGGGGTTTATATCACAAACTATGCCTATAATAGTTAACTATGGGGTTTCTATCATAAACCAACCATTCTATGGGTTTATATCCCTAAAAAAACATTGTCTATAATAGTTAACTATGGCTGTATCACAAACTTATCACGTTGGGGGACCTCACCCAGTCAACCTACAGATATTTGGTCTATAAAGCCTATAATCTATAGAATCTATAGATATTTTTAGTGAATGTTTATGATATTTCTACCATAAACATTCATAAACATCCATGAAACATCCATAAATCCATAAGTTATGTCTATGGATGTCTCAACATCATAAATATATAAATATCAACGTCTCTTGAAGTAGTTACTAAGTAATGGCATAATGGTATGGTACACCATAAATCCATATTATTAATAACTATTATCATAATTGAGGATGATATATTTAATTAAAAATTACATTTATAATAAACATCCATTAACATCCATTAACATCCATTAACATCCATTAACATCCATTAGCATCCATGAATTTCTATTCAATCCACCATGTTTGATGCTTAGATCCACCTTTTTTTTGGATGCTTAAATCCATAAACATACCATAAACATACCATAAATCCATATTCATACCATTACATCCATACCATAAATCCATAAGTATCACCCCAACCCACATCCCCAACGATCCACGTCTGCCACGGCACAGGCGTTCAAGGCCCGCGCTCGCTCCGGCGAGGCGATCTGCTCGTAGAGCTCAGCGCTCTGCTGGGCGAAACGGAGGGCCTCCGGGCGATGCTGGAGATAGAAGAATTCATGTTTAATAAGTAATAACCATAATAGTTAATAATAGATAATAATAGATAATTATAGTTAATGATAGTTAATGATAGTTAATAATAATTAATAATAGATAATAATAGTTAATGATAGTTAAATAATAATAGTTAATAATAGATAATAATAGTCAATTTAATGTTTAATGTAAATAATAATAATGGTTGATAATAGATAATAATAATAGCTAATAATAAATAACTAATAATAGTAATGATAGATAATAATGATAACTAATATCTGTTAATAATGATAAGTAATAACCATAATAGTTAATCATAGATAATAATAGCTAATAATAGTTAATAATAGTTAATGACCATAATTAACGTTAACCATAATTAATAACTAATAATAGTTAACCATGTATATATATGTATAGCAGTAACCATGTATATAATAACCATAGTAGTTAATAACCATGTTTAATGAATATGTCTAATAATAACCATAGTAGTTAATAAATAGTTACAGCACCCGACAGAATTATGGGAGAAAAAAAAACGTTTCAATTTACAGGCGCCGCCTGTCTATGATAGAAAAGTTACGAACCTTTTTTTTTCCATAATTATTTTTTCCATAATTATTTTTGTTTCAAAAAAAGGGGTTTGAATTGTGGATCCATGACATGTCCAACAGGTGGAACCCCCAACCATTAATTATGGAAAAAATAATTATGGAAAAAATAATTATGGAAAAACCGGTCAATCTACCCTAGCCCCCTGATTTTACAGGAAAAATCAATTATGGAAATAATGGCCACCTCCAAGAATTATGGAGAAAAAAAAAGGTTCGGATCACTTCCGGGATATTTTGAACCCTTATGGGGAAAAACCCAATTATGGAAAAATCGGACGCAGGCGCCGCCTGTCTAAGTTGAACGTGTGTTTTTTTTCCATAATTCTGTCGGTTACCATAACCATGTATATATATATATATTGATAGTTGTATGGTTATTGACATAGTTAATAAGCATCAATAACCATATAACATATATATATAGTAACTATACCATTGGTCATTTATAAAATATTTATATTGACTATCTATAATTGATTATAGTTAATAGCTGATAATAGTTACTTTAATGTCTATATATAGTTGATAATAGTTAATAATAATAGATAACCATCAATATCCATCAATGGGAACTATATATTTATCTTTACCTATCTATCTATCTATCTATCTATCTAATCTAATCTAATCTAATCTGATCGAATCTTATCTAATCATATCTATTCTTATCTTATCTAATCTTATCTAATCTTATCGAATCTTATCTAGTCTTATCTAATCTGATCTAATCTGATCTTATCCTATCTTATCTATCTATATATCTATCTGTCTATCTGTCTATCTATCTATCTATCTACCTATCTATCTATATATGTGTGTATAGTGGCAGTTTTATGGTATAAAGTGATGACCATCACTGGGGGTACAAGACTAAGGTATTTATGGATATATATATAAGGGTGTATAACGATGTGTATATATATATATATATGTATATATATTATATATATGTATACATCATGCTGCTTTAAATGGTGATGGTATTGGATTTTATGATATTGCCGGCATTTCAACTGCTTCATGTCTTCTGTGGGTTTCCAGGGATTCACAGGGATTCGTTCCGGGGATATGATGGATGATGAAACAAGAAATACTGGGGATGATGTTTCGTACGGTTGGAATCGCCAGGAGATAGTACAAGCGGCAAGGATCGTTTCCTAGAGGTGGGACTTCAACATGTTGCGTCCCCCGTTTCCAGCTGGTGTACCCTCTGGTAAACTAACATAACTATGGAAAATCACCATGTTTAATGGGTAAATCCACTATAAATGGCAATTTTCAATAGCTATGTTAGTTTACCAGAGGGTATAATACCAATAAATACCAGGCTTTCCACAGCTTGACATATGGCTTTCCTCAAAACCAAACGGTCACCTTCGGGGCTTCGGTTAGTTCATCACCATTGTGTATATATGGGCAACCGTATATACATATAAATAATATTTATATATATATAGATATAGATATACATTTCTAATATGTAATCAGGCCATATGGCCATCATTCATGATTTCTCAACTCTTCTCAAAATGGGCTGAAATCTGGTTTGAGCAGGAATTGATTCATGGATTGGTTTCATGGGAAAACAACCTGGAAACATGGTCTTTAGCCCCAACAATCCTGGGTTTCCCCGGCGAATCTGTGGAACATATCGTGAGAGTTCGTACATATAACATATGTGATTAGCAAGAAATGTTCGGAATGTATGTCTGGGAATACTGGAATACATATATATATATTACAGATGATATGTAAATATAATTACTGGACTATATTATCAGTTCCAGTACATTGATGTATATATTATATATTCTATATTTATTAACATGTTGGAAATATACATATATATAATATAGAGCAATTAGGGACTGCCATGGAAAAGATGCCATCGACCTGCAGGCGCCGGCCATTCCGAAAAAAATTCCACCTTCCGAGGGTCGTTCTGGGCGAGACAAGTGCTGGAAAGGAGCAGATTGGCTTCAGCCTGGAGGGCCGCAAGCGACGACAAAAACGATGAATATCATTGATAATAGTAGTACTATTATGGTTATTATCGTTGTGATGATTATGATGATTATGATTTTTTTATGACTATGATTATTGGGATTATTAAACAGTATTATACATTGTTATAAGGTCTTACTATCATGATTGATGAAAATGATGATGGTGATGATGATGATGATGATGACGATGATGATGATGATGATGATGACGATGACGATGACGATGACGACGAGGATGATGATGATGATGATGATGATGATGATGATGAGTATTATTGATAATATTATTACTATTCTTACTATTGTTACCATTGTTACTATTGCTAGTCTTATCGGAATTATGATTTTACATTGTAAGATATTACTATCATTATTGGTGATGATGGTAATAAATATCATTGATAATACTGTTGCTATGTTGAGTATTATTATGATTATATCTAATGGTATCTTACATTGTTGTATATTACTATCTTAATTGATGTTGATGTTGTTGTTGTTGAAAATGATTATGATTATTATGATATGGTCTCCCGAAAAAAAAAAAATATTGACATGTCAACTATATCATCAACATGAAAATGTGTGGGAAATCACGCGTCCATGTTTTTCCCCATTCCTTTTGGAGTCAACCTGAAATAATCGCCACCCGAAAATATCATTAATCAAATTGGAGTCTTTATAAAGAAGAATATATCAAATGTCCAATAATGAATAAGTACCAAATATCATTACTAATAGTCTATAACCAAATATTGTGGGATTGTTCAGCTATGATTTTGTTGGCCTTCTCCAACCATCGTTGGAAAGGCATCTCATCCAGTCTGGAATTTCACTCCAGCCCATTTTGGGCCCGAAAAAGAGGAACAAACAAGAAATCCAAGATGTTTTGGACCTTAGATTCATCCTTTACATTCAATATAGACATTAGATTCATTCTCGTACTCATTTTTGCCATAATTTCATAATTCAACCCCATGAAATGCCAAAGAATGCCACATAAATCACCATGAAAAAAAACCAGGTTCAACAAATATCAATATTCGTCCTTTTTTTCACAGAAATTTCCCTCCAACCAATCCCTCGCTCGCCTCCCAGGCGATCTCCTTGAGATCCTGAAAGGTTCCAATGGCCTTCTCCAAGGACAAGCGCGCCTAAGGCCAGCGGCCAAAAAAAAAAAGGTGATGGCAATGGGGGATAGAAACCTATAGTTAACTAAAAACAAAGTTCATGGAATTTCTTGGATCTAAATATAGTTAAGTATAGTTAATGGATACTATAGTTAACCATAGTTAATGGATCTTAGTTACTATGTACTGTAGAATTTTTCACTTACAGATAAAGTTAAACAATCTGCCACTGCCCAAAATCAATCGGAAAAGGTGTGGGTAAGAAAATTGTACTTGCTATAATGAATCAATCCAAAAATGTTTAGCTTCGAAATCTATATATACTTACTATATATATATATAATCTACCCCGTTATCTTAGAATATAGAATTGAAATTTTGGCTTCCCAGGGCATCCCCATAATTGAACTTGAAAACAGTTACTTAGAATACAGTTGACGTTAAAAAACCTATACTTAGAATATCGTTGGGCCATATAAATTCTTTCACTTTTCCAGACGAATTCGTCATTTTTCCATAGAAGTTCTTCACTTTTCTTTATAAATCCTTCACGTTTCCATACAAAATCTTCACTTTTCCATATTTTTGCCATACAAATTCTTTCACTTGTTCAGTCAAATTCATCATTTTTCCATATATATATATTTCTTAATAAATCCTTCACATTTCTATACAAATTCTTCACTTTTCCATATTTTTTCCATATAACTTCTTTCATGTTTCCAGACAAATTCATGATTTTTCCATATAAATTCTTCACTTTCCTATAACAATTCTGCACGTTTCCATACAAATTCTTCAGTTTACCATATTTTGCCATACAGATTCTTTTCCATATAAATTATTTTCCCTTTTCAGTCAAATTCTTCACTTTTTCCATATGCGTTTCTTCATTTTCTCCATAAATCCTTCACATTTCCATAATCCCCGACACCGGTCGTGAGGGATACCCTTCGGTGAGCTTGAAAAACTCATTTTTTTAATTCAATATATAAAAAAAAATGATCATTTCGGGGGACCTGTTTTTTTGTTGAAACGTTCCAGTTTAGGAACTTCAGATATCCAGGATTGCTTCTACCCAAAGGGAATTACGTATATAATAATTATTCATGAAGGGGACCCTATTCCTTGCAAAACTACATACATAGAATATAGGTCCCCAGTGAAAAATATTCATCGGTTTTTTAAGGAATGCCACCTAATTCCATTAGTTTTCATTGCAAACTAGTTTTTTACTATTTTTTTCATAGTTCTCCGACACCGTTCGTGGGGGGTACCCTTCGGTGAGCTTGAAAAACTCATTTTTTTAATACAATATGAAAAGAAATTGATCATTTCGGGGAAGCTGTTTTTTTGTTGAAACCTTCTAGTTTAGGAACTTCAGACATCCAGGATTGCTTCTACCCAAAGGGAATTACGTATATAATAATTATTCATGAAGGGGGCCCTATTCCTTGCAAAACTACGTACATAGAATATAGGTCCCCAGTGAAAATATTCATCATTTTTTTAAAGGAATGCCACCTAATTCCATTAGTTTTCATTGCAAACTAGTTTTTTTCATAGTTCTCCGACACCGGTCGTGGGGGGTACCCTTCGGTGAGCTTGAAAAACTCATTTTTTTAACACAATATGAAAAGAAATTGATCATTTCGGGGGAGCTGTTTTTTTGTTGAAACGTTCTAGTTTACGGACTTCAGACATCCAGGATTGCTGCTCCCCAAAGGGAATTACGTATATAATAATCATACATGAAGGGGGCCCTATTCCTTGCACTTACCCAACCTAGACCATTTCCCATGGATCTCCACCATTCGTGGGGGGGACCCTTTGCGGTAGAAAAAAATCTACTTTTCAGAACACAAAGTAATAAAAAATCAAATTAGTATGTGAAAACTGCTTGAAAAAAAAAACAGAAACAGGCTGCATAGAGGTGTACAAAGGCTTCCAGAGCAAAGGCCAAATGGGGAGAAAACAGATGAGCACGAAATGTGGGCATATTCTAAGTGGAGTTTTGTTCGAGTTCAACTGCATAATTGGAAAAACGGATATTCTAAGATAACGGGGTTGATTATATATATATATACCCTCTGGTTATTTAACATAGCCATGGAAAATCCCTTATAAATGGAGGTTTCAATGGGAAAATCATCTATAAATGGGCCATTTTCCATGGCTATGTTAAATAACCAGAGGGTATATATACATAGTGAATCTATATGAATCTATCTTAGACTCCTTGGCTTTCAACGTTGACCTTAAACTGCCACCAGCACCATCACGCCGTTGATTCACCACGCCTCCTGGCGTTTCTTGTTGCCGCGACGTGTCTCAGGCAGCCTGGCGACGTTTTTGACCAACGATCAAATGGCAATACTCATGTCATACATATAAATAAAAAAGTAAGTAATACAGAAAAATAAAACATATAATATCATATAAGAAAAATAAGTCATATAATTAGCAAGAATCTTCCCAATCATTGGGATAGTCCCATAGTCCTTTAAAAACCTATGGCTTTCAGCTCCGCTTCGCCATGGCTGCGCTGAAAGCTCCCGCGCCTGCGGCTTTCCAGCAGCATCTCGACGGCCGACAGCACCAGGAGCGCCTCGCCCCGCAGGTCGTTCCTCTCCCGCAGAAGTGGCAGCTCCGCACGGCAGAGCTTCTCCGCCTCCAGGGAGCCGGTCATGGAGGATGGATGATGTGATGTGAATAGATATTAATAGATATATATATATATATTTATTTATTTATTTATTTATTATTTATTTATTTTCTATATACATACATACTTGTATTAATTAGTATTAATTATACATATTATATTATATATATACATATGAATAATGTTAATAGATGTAAAGATCCGAAATCATATGGAGTTTTTAGGTATTTTAAGCAGTAATTAAAGTTTGGATCAGGGCTTTTGATCATCAAATTGAGGTTCACAGACCGCAAGCAACTCTATCTTTTTTTTGGAAGTAGAGTTTTGGATGGAAGACATCATTTTACCCATATTTTCCCTATGCGTTCTATATTTTTGGAAGCCACAAAGACATTTGTTGGTGGGGATTTTCTCCAAAAAAACCTTACGGTAGATCCAACAGAAACAGCCAGATGCTACCAGGTGGTTGAGCTCGCCACCCCTCTGGAAAATGATGGAGTGAAAGTCACTTGGGATGATGACATTCACAATATATGGAAAAATAATCCAAATGTTCCAAACCACCAACCAGATAGGGGTGTTAAAACGATCATGAGGCGACTAAGAATGCTACGTAACTTTGGATCTAAGCGTGACATCGAACATTTTTGCAGATCCATCTGGTGATGCTGATGGTTGACTTGACCAAAACAGATCGAACTGAGATCGCAAATCCAGAGAGCATGTGTGCCATGGTCGACAGATGCTATCTGATTATTATGGCCATCCATCCATAATGGGAATTCGCTATATGAATTCATGGGAATCGGTACATGCTGGGTACATCCGTATTGATGGTAGTGTGACCATCCCATTAAATATGAGTATGTCATCATATATCATCCAACTTTGGACAACAAATGACCCAAACTCCAAATCTCCTGTCAATTGATCTGCGTCCCTCATAGCTATGCCATAGCTATGCCCAAAAAAACAGACATCGCCGCCTCGCTGAAGATCAGCTTCCGCCGGATGCTCTCCTGCGGACCATCCCTAAACGGGTGTCCATTTTCGTGATGGATCCGGATCCAGATTTTCTCACCAAAATCAATCTGGAACAAACGGCAAAAAAAAGGCTACCCGGCCTGGTAAACATACAAAAAGCGAACTGGAAAATGACCATAGAAATAGTGGATTTACCCATTAATAGCATGGTGGATCTTTCCATAGTTTTTTGTATGTTTACCAGAGGCTACATGTACTGATGCATTGTAATTTCATAGTCACAAAACATCCAGGGTCTATTTTGAGTCGACTTCTGTATCGATTTCTGCACCCGTTTCTTGGGACCCCTGGCATCCATATGGACAGTGCTACCATATGGGTCATACCCCTTGGTTGCTCCTAGGGGGGGTCCAACCCCTGAAATAGTAGTCTCCACTGGCTGTTTTCCAGGCGGGCCTGACCCCCCCCCATACCCATTTTGAGCATTTCTGAATGGATAAAATCTAGGGGCCCAAGTCTAGCAGTCTAGCATTCGTAAACCAAACATTTTTGCTAACACTCAACTTGGACAAGGGAACCAATACTTTGGAGCAATTTGGACGTTCCAAAATGGTCAAAGGTCAGGCCCCTCAAAATATTTTGGGCATGTTGTGAATATTTTGGACATACATGTTTTATCTGTGAATCTTATGAAACCATGGACCTCCTGGATTTTAGCCATAGTTCTTTTTCCCCCTGCATGCCACAGATAAGCTGGCCACTTTGAAAGGTTCTCAACAAAGATAAAATTGACAAACATGTCACAACTAACTGCCCAAGAAAACAATTTTTGCACACCTTTAATGCCAGTTGTTTTTAGAGGGATTCATCATTCACCTATCAAGGTTAGCGGATACAGATGTCATTTTCAGGTTTTCCCTCCAAGCTTCAAGAGCAAAGATTGGATTCGGTAGCCTTTTTTGGAATCAATTTTAGTGTTTGTCCTTCATGTACGGGTTCAAAAAACGGATTTCAGTGAGGAGACTTTGTTCTGGATTTGATTTTTTTACAAATATGATAAAGGTAAACATTTCAGCACCGTCCCAAGTAAATAAACTTAGTGCAAGTTTTTTGATGCTGATTTGCAGAGGGGTTGATATCTCAAGGTTGGGGACACAGGTTTTATTTCCTGCATTTCTGGTCTAGCACCCCGCTAAGTCGAAGCAGCTATCCGGGAGCTGAAGGTGGACCGGGTAAGACGTTGGTATCCAGGATTTGGTTGCGTGTTTTTTTTGGATCAAATTCAATATTTGTCCTTGATTTGAAAGCTCAACAAAAAATTGATTTAAAGAGGAGATAATATTGACAGGGTTCCGTTTCTGTGGTACAAAAGCTGATAAACATGTCCAAGAAATAAAATGTGCACCTTTGGTTGATGCCTGTTTTGCAGAGGGGTTCATCTATCAAGGTTGGGGACATAGATTTTATTTCTTGGTTTTTCCTCCAAGCTTGGTCCCGCTAGATCGAAGCAGCTATGCGGGAACAGAAGAAGCACAGGATTTGGCAACCTTTTTGTTTGGGTCAAATTCAATCTCTTGACCTGAAAATTCAAAACCAATAAGGTTTCAAGGTGAGGAAATGTTTAACGGTGAGTTTGATAAACATGGCAGCAATGCTCAGCAAAATAAACTCCATGCACCTTTGTTACAGTTTGATGCCAGTTTTGCAGGGGATTTCATCAATCAAGGATGTTTTTTTTTCTTCCTTTCCAATCAAAGGTGCAGGTTGGACCTAAATTGAAAGGGCTGACATCTGAAAATAAGATAGGTACCAAACGTCAAGTAGGATGAAAATAAAATTCAAAGAACCCAACTTTCCAAAGATAAAATCAAGGTGCCTGACATGAAATTGGAATGAGATAAAATCCAAGGGCTTGACCCCCCTTTGGGTCCTCTTTGGAAGCGAGTACCCTTGAAGTGACCTATGAGGGGTCTAGCCCCTTGGAATTTATCTCACACTTATGATCGAGATAAAATCTAGCATGTCTGCAGATAAAATCAAGGGACCTATCGTCATTTTTACTAAAAAGCTTAAAAAAAATAGCCATGCACCCCAGGGGCTGGAGCTCCTAGATCTCAGCTGGGAGCAAGCATCGGGTATATGGGTCAACGGTGGTGTTTCTGCAGTGATGCCACCTGTTGAGGTGGTCCTTTTGGCCTAAAGATTGATTTACCCATCATTGATACGAAGTATGAGATCCCCTTCCGCCCTTCCATCAATATATCGGCCATGATCGGCATATGGTTTCAGTGTGGTCTACCATCCAAACTGAATCAAATCAACTTGGAGACCCTGACTTCTGAGTTGTGGCTTGGACGACTTTCCACTCAAAATGGGCTCTCTGAATTCAGAGGATTTTTCTATCCCCAGTAATTTTCTATAGCCTTTGAGTTGCCAACACTACATTAATCATTGGATTGGTTTAAGGGGAAAATCTACAGGAAACCATGGTTTTTACCATCAAATATAGGGTTTTCCTGTAAATTTTCCCATCATCCAATTCTATGAATTAACCATCTTCGTTGATCCCAAAGGTCCCATTTCTTCCCCATGGACTCACCTTGTACCTGGGGCTGGATCCACGACAGCGTTCACAGAGCACGATGCTGCGCAGCCTGATACTGCCACCAGTGAACAGCTGGTTGTAACCAGCTAAAGGCAACAATAAATGGTAATAACAATAATATATTGTTAATATCTCGGGATATATTGTTATTAATAATATATTAACATATATTGTTAACAATAATATATAACAATATATGAATGTGCATGTTAATATATTGTTCATATCTCGGGATATACCCAACATTAGTAAACTAACATATTCAGTGTGGTTTTCAACCCAACATTTGTAGATCATTGTCCTAACGGGAAGCAGCGGTTTCAGCCAACAGGAACGAGTTGTGTTTCCTTCGCAGCTCCCCAGGACTGTTCAACGCTTGTCAAGCTGCATATCGTTGCAAAAATGCTCAAAGACTACATATATATATATACGTATATTGTGAATCATACCATTTGCTGCACGTTTAGCCCCTGTTGCATTGCGGAAGCCCAGGACATTCAACACAGTTTTCCATCAGAATGCCTCTGATCCAATAGCACCTTTACCGGCTCAGGGAGCCCCAACTTTCAGGTCAGTGGGTAGGGAAGGGATTTCGTGCTTGGCCATTTAGCTTTGGAAGAGCGAGGCGCTCTTAAAAGACTGACAGGGATCAGCGGCATTGCAAGGTGGCATAGAAGCTGGAAATCCGAAAGCCATTGCCTGGCTTGGGTGTCACAAAACCTTGGAGCCTTTGCGATCGAGGAAAAGGTCGCTGTGTTGAGAGGAAGCTGCCAGTGGGGCTGGACATTTTGTCAACCACACTGGTAGCGGAGCTACCGCAAAACCAGAAAGCCTGAGCGGACATCCGGGGAAAGACCTTTGTTGACCTTCGTTGTGCTGCCTAGGTGTGAACCAAAATAGACATGTCAGAAGCATCAGATGGAACTGAAGCTTCCCAGCCAATTTCGAACCAGTTGGCATCGTTGGTGCCCACCTTTGACTCAAGCAAGGATGACCTTCAAGTTTACTCTCAGAAAGTGATGTTGCTACTGGAAGCATGGCCATCAGGTAGGTACACAGAACTTGCCACCAGGCTCATCCTGAACTGCAGCGGCTCAGCTTTCAAGAAACTTCAGTTGCACCAGGAACAGATCACGAAGAATGATCGAAAATGCATCGCCAAGATCGTGGAGCTTCTTGGGGGACACTGGGGACAGATAGACTTGGAACAAAAATATGAACATGCGGAACAGGCGCTCTTCAAATGCCAGCAGAAATCTGATGAAAGTGCAGATTCGTATTTGGCCCGTGCAGACATCATGTGGACTGAATTGACAAATCAGCAACTGAAACTTGACGATTTGCAGGCATACATAACCCTCCGAGGGTCCAACCTTTCTGCAGATGACAAGAAACGAGTTTTGGTTGATGCAGATGTGACTGATGGTGGTTCGCTGACAGTCAAACGTGTCGGCGCATCCATTCGAATGTTGGGAGCCAGTTTCTTTCATGAGATGACACATGGGAAAAGGAATGCAAAGCTGAAAACTTATGATCAGACGGCACTTCTTGCCGACGCCACTGAATCAGAAGACCAGGAAAATTTCACTTTTGCAGCTGAACAGATGGAAGATGATGATACGTGGATCGACTCCTTAGCCCAAGAGGGAGATGAGGACGCCGTGTTAGTGTCAGATTTCGAAACAGCTGCTGTGGATCTTCTGCAATCTGATGAAGAGCTAGCGTCTGCATATACAACTTATGCAGATGCGCGCAGGCGCTTGAATGAGAAGGTGCGGTCGAGAGGTTTTTGGCCAATTCATGTAAAAGGAAAATATAAGGGGTCCAGTAAAGGGGTAAAGGGTAAGTTCAGCAAGGGTCATGGATCCTCCAGAAAATCCCTGCAACAGAGAATCTTGGAGTCCAGGTGTAGGATCTGCAACAAGGTCGGACACTGGAAGGCCGAGTGCCCAAATCGGACCGACTCTTCAGGATCCAATGCCAGGAGCTCACAAGCTCCTACGACCTTTGTGCAAAGCTCACAGATGGAAGCCGAAGAACTCAACCTTGATGCCCTGCCCATCGAATTCCTGAATTTGCCTCGAGCTGACATGGAAACCAGAGATGAAGCTCAGACTCATGTTAATGCACACATTTTCATGACCATGAATGAGGAAAATCCCAAAAGAAGACTCATGAGAACAGTACAGTCATGGCAGAACAACAATCATCGCAATGCCACCACTGCCAGGAATGACGACGACGTGACTGAGATCAGGACGCGCCTGAAACGTTTTGCCTCTGAGTTGAGACAGTCACGACCTGAAGTGCCTGTGGACCCTCCTGAGAGTGCATCGGCCCTCTTTGCATCACATGGTAGTTATGGGGTGGTAGACCTTGGGGCCACTAAGACCGTCATAGGAAGTCATAAGGTAGCTGAGTTAATCAACAGTTTAAATCCTTCACTTCGAAAACAGGTCACGAGGTGTGCTTGCGAGATCACGTTTCGTTTTGGCAATCATGGAGTTTTGAAGAGTCAACAAGCTTTGGTGGTCCCTATACATGGTCTTTTGCTGAAAGTTGCAATTGTGCCGGGCGCCACGCCCTTCCTTTTGTCAAACACCCTGCTGAGAGCAATCGGAGCCGTAATAGACACAGAGCGAAAAGTTTTGGTTTCTAGAAAGATTAACCGAGAAGTGCCTCTCGTGCTTACCAGCAAAGGGTTGTTTCTTTTGGATTTAAATGAGCTTGCCCACCAAACTGGTGATCAGCCGCAGTTCTCCGAGATAGCTGAGACACACACAACCACCTGTGTCTCTATGCCTGAACCGACATGCCCAATAGAAAGTGCCAAAACCGCCATAGCCAGTGAAGCTGAAGTCCCATGCACATGTCATGTTGAGCATAGGTTAGTAAAGAATCATGCGGCCGATGTGAAAACCTCCGTAATGCCACCACAGCCAGCCCAGAAAGACTCTGAGCCTCAAACAAATGCGAATGAGCAGCACTCCAGGTCCAAGAGCCCATATCCAGGAAACGCATCCGTGAAAGCAGAAAGCCATGTCTCTGTCCAAACGCCTGCAGAGAGTGCAAGAGAACCTCGAGCCCAGCAAGGAAGACTTCTCACAGTGGTCGATGGCCGATCTCGAAGTCTCGACCATAGACTTTGGGAAACAGCAAAAGGGCAAGACCTACGCCACAGTGTGGGAGGAGGATCAACCGTGGATCACATGGTTTGTCCAGCACTACGAGAAGTCGGGAAAGAGCTCTCACCAGAAGTTCTTGCACTACGTGAACCTCAAGGTAGAAAGGGCAGAACTCACGGGGACCAAGATCCCAGTGAAGGAGAAATCCGAGGGCTATTCGACCATCAGCCCAGAGCAACAGGTGATCAATCGAAGTCGAATGATGGCCCTGGCCAAGGCCAAGGCAATGAGCCGTCATGTGACTCAGCTCGAGTCAGAACTCTGGAACGAAGAGGAAGATCCCCTGATGTACGAATTGATCAGCAATCCAGTGGAGACAACGGGACCAGTGCCCGAAGAGCCGACTCCGTGCCCCAGCCAGCTGGAGATGCGGGTCATCAACATGGAAAATGCACTGGCACGGGTGATGAACTTCCTGGAGCAGAATCACGCCAACCAGGAGAACCTCAACTGAGCGGCTCTGAATGCCCCAGCATCACGGCTCAGATCTATGCAGGCGAAGCTTGTGCCGACTGTCTGCACGCTGAATCTCCTGCTCCTGAAACCAACAGAGAAAGGGGAATTTTCCTGAAACTATTACATCAATATTCACATGAACTGGAACAAGTGAATAGCCAGAATAGTCAAAAGGGAAAACTCTTGCCTCGGTTGGATGTTTTGGAAATGTTCTGCGGACCAAACAGTCAGTTAACTCACCAGTGTCACCAATTGGGGTTCAGAGCTCAGCGCTTTGGCCTGCAGCAAGGAGACCTGCAAACCTTTGCAGGCCGAACAGCATTGTTTACCAAGTTAGTCCAGGAACAGCCGAGACATGTCTGGGCCAGCCCCTCATGTGGCCCATGGAGTGGATTTTCAAACCTGAATGGCAGCAAGTCGTTAGCAGCTTGGGATGACTTGCAAACCCTGCGGCTCAAACACCTTAGTCACTTTCATTGGGAACAGCCGAGAGGGTCACTGATGTTCAAGTTGCCATACCTTCAGGAAATCTTTCATCACCTGTTAGCAGTTGATGTGGAGCTTTGCACGGCAGGTAATTTGCGAGATCCTTCCAATGGACTTCCAATTCGAAAACCATTGACAATTTTGTCATCATCCCAACACATGGTTGAGCAATTGTCATCACTCCGATGCCCTGGAAATCATGAACACCAAGTCATAGAGGGTCAAGTGAGGTATAAAGGGGAGACCATGAATAGATCTCAATACACGGAAAATTACCCTCGCAAATTTGCCAGAAGATTAGCCAATTTCATGTGCAAAGTGAAGTTCCTGAAGGAAGTTCCGTATCGCAGCCTGGAATGTCAAGTGTTTGCAGCCGATCACCCAGAAGAATCCTTGCCAAAGCGACCCCGCCTGTCGCAGACGTACAGGCCTAAGTTGAGCCGTGCCCGAGAGGTGAACTCTCTGCCCTGGGGAAAGAGAACCAAATGCACAGGTAAGACCACTCCAGTTGATGCTCAGGGACAATGGACCGAATTTTTTTACCAAGGTAAACGACATGTTGCCTCGTGTAGGAAAGATCCATGTCACTCAAAGTTCGGTTGTGAATGCCATCCAAGTTTTGGTACCGCACATGGAAGTACAGCATGTGGTTGCATGTAGGGGCTCCAGTAGAACCATTGCTCCACCACCAAACATGGTAAAAGGAGAAGCCCCTTTTCGCCGTAGCATCTTTACTGAAAGGAGCACTGGCAACTTGAGGGCTGAGGAAGAATGGGAAGAATGGGAAAATCTTGCAAAAAGGAATCTCATCCGACCATCACATGCATGTAGGATCAATATTACCCTATTTGCCCGAAAGAGTCAAGTGCCCCGGTCAGGGAACAGAGAGTCTTCAGACCTCACGCGCGCAGATGTCGAGCCCGTAGGACCAACTGCTGAGCCAAGTAATTCAGACAGCCTGCCCGATCATGAGAAGGTCGAAGAACCTTCCCAGGAGCTGTCAGGGTTGCCACGTTTGACCGATCCAAGTCCAGGAGCTATGCTGACACCCTCACAGGCACAAGACCTGAAGAATCCAGAGCAGTCAAGTCGGTTCCTAGCTCTATCAACGGAAGAACGAAGCATGTTGCTTCGAGCTCACAAAAACCTGGGACATCCTAGCCCGGAAAGATTGAGCACTTTGCTTCGGACACAAGGGTTTCGCCCTGAGGTAACACAAGCTGCTCTGGACATGAAGTGTTCCGTGTGTCAAGCGCAAACAGCACCCAAGATCGCCCGTCCGAGTGCCATCCGAGACGAAATGGATTTCAACGATCGAATTTGTGTTGATGGGGTAAAGTGGACCAACAAACAAGGGGTTAATTTCCATATGTTCCATGTGGTGGACTGGTCAACCAGTTTTCAAGCGGCCTGTTGTGCGCCTGATCGATCCTCTGGAGCTTTTATCCAATCACTGATGCAAATGTGGTTTAGCTGGGCTGGGGCACCAAGTGAAATGATAGTCGATGCAGCCTATGAGTTCAACTCCGAAGAGTTTTCCACTTTTGCACAAGCACACAATATCCGAGTGACAACAATCAGCACTGAGGCACCATACCAAAATGGCAAAGCCGAGCGACACGGTTCAATCCTGAAAACTATGCTATCCAAGTATGAAGCGGAACACCCAATCACCACATACCGGGAACTCCAAGAAGCCCTATGGTGGCGTGTTCAAGCCAAAAATGCCTGCAGCCTAAAACGGGGTTACGCACCAGAGGTCCTAGTTTTGGGAAAACATACCAGAATACCTGGGGCTGTATGTAGCGATGAACTTTTGCCTGCTCACCTTCTTGCAGAGTCAGAGACGGCACATGGACTCCAATTCAGAAAGCAATTGGCTTGTCGTGAAAGCGCTCGCCGAGCATACCACCTTGCCGATAATGATGCGGCACTCCGAAGAGCCATCCTGAGAAGATCCCGCCCAGGTGCCATAGCATATAAGCCTGGGGAGTGGGTCATGGTATGGAGGCCAGGCAAAGGAAGCTACCCCGGAATTTGGTCGGGGCCTATGAAGGTGGTAGTTCAGGAAAACCAACAGACCATATGGACCACTGTAGCTAGCAAGTTGTTTAGGAGCTCACCAGAACATGTCCGACCGGTAACTGCGTCAGAGGCCAAAGAAATTCCGATGACTCAGAATGAACCATCAGTTTCCATCATTGCACAACAAATTCCTCAGGGAGCACGACAAGGAATTTCCCGAGCCATTGATGACCATCAAGAACTTTCCATTAACATGCCATCCCAGAATAACGACTCACCTAATCCAATCCAAAATAACCATAACCTGGAAAATGACAATACATCTGAAGTACAACCAGACCTGGAACCGGAAGTTCCATCCACACAGAATCCTGATTCTAACGCCAGTGAACGTGATTCCCAAGAGACACCACAAAACCCTGAAGCCATTCCAAATAACCCCGATGAAGTCACTGATCCCGCCATCACAACACCAATTCCTGATGAAGACAATGATGATGACCTGATATGTGACAGCCTGCTGTGTCATGACCTGGACCCATGCCTGTTCTCCGACCAACATGACCTTGCATGGCGCCTGGAAATTGATGTTAACCAAAAGGACATCGATGCATGGCGACAAGAAGAGGTCCCACAGGACATGGCATTCGTTGTTTCGGCAGCCAAGAAACAACGATCAGAGGTAAAACTGTCCTCACTCAGTCCAAAAGAAAAAGAAGCTTTCCAAAGGGCAAAAGAAACCGAAATTGAAAACTGGATCAAAACTGGTACAATTTCCAAAGTCTTGCGGGAAAAGATCCCCTATGACCAAGTACTTCGTTGCCGATGGATTTTAACTTGGAAAAATGTAGACTCTGATGATCCCAAAAGAGTAACCACCCAAAAGGCCAAGGCAAGACTGGTGATCTTAGGATATCTCGACCCCAAATTAGAAGAGTTACCTCGTGACTCACCAACGTTGGGCAGAATCTCCAAAATGATCTTGTTACAGTACATTGCCTCAAGAGGATGGGACCTCAAATCGTTTGACATCAAGGCAGCGTTTCTCCAAGGAAAGACCCAAGGTGACCGAATCCTTGCAATTGAGCCAGTACCAGAAATCATTCAAGCCATGAACCTGAAACAGGGTGAAATATGCAAACTGGAAAAGGGAGCATATGGCCTGGTGGACGCACCATATCTTTGGTACGTTGCGATCACCGAAGAACTGCAGAGATTGGGATTCATTTCAAGTCCTTTTGATCCATGCATGTTTGTGCTAAAGCATCCTCAAAGCGGTACCGTAGAAGGAGTTTTAGGATTACATGTTGATGATGGAATTTGTGGGGGCACCCCTTATTTCACTTCAGTATTGGACAAGCTGGAACAAAAGTACCCGTTTGGCACCAAGAAAATGAAACAATTTACTTTCACCGGGATTGAGATGCAACAATTACCAGACCACAGCATTCACATGAGTCAATCCAAATACATCAGAGCCATCAATCCTATTCAAATCCCAGCCGAACGCAAAAGAAGCCCCAATGCAGAGGTGACCGAGAACGAGAGACAAGATTTGCGTGCCCTGATCGGAAGCCTACAGTATGCCTCAGTACATACTAGACCCGACCTCTCCAGTAGGTTAAGTAACCTTCAGTCTCAAATCAACAAATCCACAGTGGAAACCTTAATTCAAGCTAATCAGACCCTTCACGAAGCCAAGAAATATCATGATACCACCATCAAAGTCCAATCAATACCTATTGCAGACTTCAGGTTCCTTGCCTTTTCAGATGCCTCGTTCGCTTCGAAAACAAATCCAAACTCCCATACTGGCATGTTGATCATGGGGACTCATAAAGACATCGAGAACAATGTCTCTTGTCCAGTGAGCCCTCTTGCTTGGGGATGTAAGAAGATTCAACGAGTGGTAACAAGTACGCTGGCTGCCGAGACCGTGTCGCTGAATTCAGTCCTGGACCAACTGTCATGGATGAGACTTTTCTGGGCGTGGATAAATGATCACACGACAAACTGGAAACAACCTGCACAAACTCTCAAGTCATTACCAAATACAATTTCCACTTCAACTTATAAAGCACAGACCATGACCGACAGCATCACTGCCACAGATTGCAAGTCCCTATATGATTTAGTTACCAGAACTGCGATGCCAAACTGCTCAGAGTACCGTACTCAATTGAATGCCAGATCAATCAAAGACTATCTGTCAGAGGGTGTTTCCCTTAGGTGGGTTCACAGTGGAGCACAACTGGCCGATGGCCTCACGAAGATCATGGAGAATGCATTCCTCAGAGAAACACTTCAATATGGATATTACAAATTACATGATGAACTGGAGGTTTTGCGAGACCGTGCAACGACTCGCAACAGATTGAAGTGGCTGCGCTCAGGAAACGAAGAAATCACTGACGGCAATTCAAAGAAGGAAATCTCAGGATGCGACGTTGGCCATGTGCAGCAAACTGGATGAAATTTTTGTTGTCTCAAAATTTTGGAATTTTGGGAGTGTGAATCATACCATTTGCTGCACGTTTAGCCCCTGTTGCATTGCGGAAGCCCAGGACATTCAACACAGTTTTCCATCAGAATGCCTCTGATCCAATAGCACCTTTACCGGCTCAGGGAGCCCCAACTTTCAGGTCAGTGGGTAGGGAAGGGATTTCGTGCTTGGCCATTTAGCTTTGGAAGAGCGAGGCGCTCTTAAAAGACTGACAGGGATCAGCGGCATTGCAAGGTGGCATAGAAGCTGGAAATCCGAAAGCCATTGCCTGGCTTGGGTGTCACAAAACCTTGGAGCCTTTGCGATCGAGGAAAAGGTCGCTGTGTTGAGAGGAAGCTGCCAGTGGGGCTGGACATTTTGTCAACCACAGTATATATATATATATGTATATACGTATATATATATACCTTAATAGAACAAACACATGCATCAGATTCATGAAGAATTGGTTTCTTGATATTGATACTTAAACAAATACATATTGGGTTCAACATCAACTTAGATTCATCAAACTCACGCGATCTTTAGGCCCCCGGACGCATCCACTACGACCTCTGCGGCGAACTCGGTAAAGTTTGGAAACGAACAACAAACGAACCCACAGAGATATGGTAATTATCCAACAAAAAAAAACAGTGTTGAGGCGTTAAAACTTATGTTAAAACCGGTTTGGTGTTGATCTGATCACTGATAGTGATCGGTTTGGTGGAGTTCTTTGGAGATCGAGACGAGGACATCCAAAGATCTTAGATCAAAACAGTGCCCCAAAATTGGGGCATCAAATGCTGTTGAAGTTAAATCTGTGATAATATGTGCAGATTTCCAGTTGACTAAACTTAGAAAGTCAGTTGGTAACACTGCAAATACGCGCACGGAAAAATATATAAAAATATCACATGATCATACTGTCAAGCAATATTGTGATATTCACGAACTTGAAATGATATCAGGGTCGCTGCTCTGCCGGGTTTCCGATCGTTAAACACGAGATTTCAAAGGCCAAACACCTGGATTACCCCACTGATGTAAATGGTAAGGAGGTTATAACTTCTGGAGAAGCCATTCAGAAGGGACGATTTTTATGGGACAGTTATAATCTAGAAACCGCTAATAGATTCTGGAGAACTTATAATCTATTAAAAAATGGATTACCCTCTGGTAATTTAACATAGCTATTGAAAATGACCATTTATAGTGGATTTTCCCATTAATCATGGTGATTGTCCATAGCTATGTTAAATTAATGAATGGGTTATAAGTTATCTACAAGTCATCACCTCTCTTATAACCCAGGCATGGGATGATGGAGCTATTTTTGGGGGACTTCGTAAGCAGGGTTATTGAAATCTCATTGGTGAATGACTTATATATATATATCCTTATAAATAGATCTACTGTATATGTTGTGTATGTGTCTATATAGAGAGAGAATCTATATGTGTTGTATGTCTATATATATATAGAGAGAGAGAGTACTGTAACCCCCAAAACGATACAAAACGTCGAATTCACCACAATAACTTAGCAGGGGGTCACCCTAACTTAGCATCTTTTCGTCGGTTGCTGTACACGCATGATCAGCCGTATCAACCCGTTACATAACCAGTTTGCAAAACCCGGAAATTTCATGAACCGTATCAACCAACTGATATCAATATCTGTATATGATGCAAAAATGATAAGTGATACCCTCTGGTAAACTAACAGTTTGCTATTGAAGCCATGGCCATTTAGTTCGTTGATTTACCCACAGAAAAATATAAAACAAATGGTGGTTTTCCATAGTTATGTAGACGTTTACCAGAGGGTAGCTGTTGATGTTCCATCCTTTTCCCATGATTTTTCCATGATTTCTAAGTGATATATCAACCTTCTTCAGCATATCAGGTCTCCCAGTTGGGCCTTCGCATCATCCTTGCCTCGAGCATCGCTGAGCACTTGCTCCGCCAGTCGTCTGCCCTGGCAGCGGTTTGGAAAGTCATCGACCGGTCAACTATTCAACTGAAAATACCCTCCGGTGAACTAACATAACAATGGAAAATCACATTTTTTAATGGGAAAATCCACTATAAATGGCCATTTTCAGTGGTTATGTTAGTTTACCAGAGGGTAATGACATCAATAACCAGCATAGAGAGAATAGAAATACCGAAATACCATATTGCGAAAAAAAAAAGAAAAGATATTACGAGAGGCTAAGAGGCAGTAAGGATGCTACATTCGGTTGCTGCTTGCGCTGCGCAAACAAGGGCCCATTCGGTCACTGTATGTTTTATGGTCATCCCATATTGGAAATCCATTCACATCATGGTGATATTTCCAATACAGCAATGTGGTTGAAACAATAATAAACGATCCCCCAAATCACTATAAATAGATGGTATAACCTCTATAAACCATCAAAAATGGGCTGGTTTATGATTGTTTTAACCACAGTATATATATATAACATACACATTTTTCTGTAGATCTCTGAAAATGCATTGAAGTCTCCATTGGCATAGGATACAATCATCCAACTGCAGATATGGATCTTCGACCGCATGAAACACTCCTGGCCGCCCATCCAATCCCGAAAACAATCCCCAGAGCATGGCATCTGTGGGAAATGAACCATCACAAATGGTAAATCACGGATCATTAACCATCAATGGGATGTAATTGGGACATGCCTTTATAGTCAACATCCCGTAACTTCGAAAATAGTTGGGAAAATGGTTTTGTATATGTTTGCATGGTCACAAGTTGGATTAAAGACTAACGGTCTTAGTTTCTCCAATAAGAATACCAGTGTCACACAACTTCAACACAACATTGTCAAACAAAACATCATAATGGGATATTACCATCTTGTTATTTAACATAGCCATGGAAAATCACCATTTTTAATAGGTAAACCATCTATAAATGGGCCATCTATACCATGGGCTATGTTAAATAACCAGAGGGTACATATTACCTAACATCCCCTGACCGTCCATTGTCTAAGCTGTTTCCAACAATAATACCATATACCGCTGGAAAATGATCTACAGTCAGGGTGGATTTTCCACATCGAACTGTTAGTTTACAGGATGGTAAATCCTCATTTATTGCTACTGTTTTTCCCATTCACCATTATCAATATAATATACATTAATATATATATATAACCAATATAATATTGATATCAACATTATTGTAAATAATTGGTATATTTCATTATAGATCATATTGATATATTTTAAATCCCATTCTCTAAGTTGGCACCTGCTCAAAGTCTCCGGTAGTCACCAGAAGCTCCTGAACCTTGGAAGTGGGGAATTTTTGTTGGGGAAAAATGAGCTCCCAACCAATGTGATTAGGTTATTCTTTATCTAAGGTGCAAAGGAAGTTTAGAATATCATGATATTCTATGGTTATCTATAGTTTATCTAATTTTCGAAGCTTCACAACCATTGATCTGCGGTTGGGATCTCCGGTTTCAACACGTCGCGAGAAGATTCCCAGGTTGACCAAGACGAATGGTTGGTCAAAGATATCTTTTTGGAAACATGTACCCTCTGGTAAACTAACATAGCTATGGAAAATCACCATTTCCAATGGGGGTAATCCACTATAAATGGCAATTTTCAATAGCTATGTTAAATTACCAGAGGGTACTGCATGTTTGCCTATTTTGCTGGTTGAATCCCACCTGCTACTGGACTACAACAATCCTAATGTGTGCTGGTTGAATCAGAAGATGAAACCAGACGAAGTCCTAATGTTTGCTGGTTAAATAGAATCAATCGCATATTGGAAAAAAAAAAACTAAACCCTGGTCAGGTATTGAATCTGTTCGTTTTTGGTGCCCATTTGGGAAGCGTTTATATGATGGGGTGTTGGTGATTCTGCTCAACATTCTAGTATAACCAGTATCATTGGCCATTCTTGAACATTCATATATATATATATATAATTATATGTAATATATATAATATTATATATATTAAGACCAAAAGTGGTCTGTCAAGCATCATCAACTATGATTCAAAAAGACCACTCTTAGCCAAGTTTCGGGATCATCAACCATTATCAAATATAACATAATATAACCAGATAACCAGCCTGCGCCAATATAAAAAACAAGATTGGCACAGGACATCCTCAATTGGAGATCCAGAAACTTTGGACAGCTGCTTCTCCGGATCCATCGGACCATGTCCGCCCTGGCGGTTCACAAAGCTACCCTTGGGGCGAGGCTTCACATTCCATGGAGCTCCAAAAACAAGGTACCCTCCGATGTCATCAAACATGTCAAGTTGGGAAATGATAAATGGAGAAACCTCTGGGAAAATGAGAGCTAAATCGGAGATTGATCAACAGCAAGCAGCGTTCGATTACCCGAGGGTATACTGAAATGTGATGGGAAAAAAAATAGATTATGATGGAATACAATGGGATATGTATGGGTACCATCTGATTATTTAACATAACCATGGAAAATCACCATTTTTAAGAACGGTAAACCATCTATAAATGGGCCATTTTCCATGGCTATGTTAAATAACCAGAGGGTATATGTAATATAGCTGATGTTTGCTGATTTTGCTGCTGGTTGGCTTGATGGTTACATATTTCAGAACTGGGGACGATACTAAGAACCTAGCCACATATAGGGTAATATCTCCGTTTATGTGCTGCCAAAATCGATCAATCCATGCGACTTTGTCTTAAACGTTTTGCACGCACCAAAAAAACGTGAGTTGAAGTAAGACACAGTAAGAACGTGATGATCGATTTTGATTTTTTTTGGGTACCCTCTGGTAAACTGACATAACTATATGGAAAATCACCATTTTTGATGGGAAAATCCACTATGTCAATGGCCATGTTCAATGGCTATGTTAGTCATTACCAGAGGGTAAATCCCATTTGATCACCATTAAACCACCATAAAATCACCATTTTCCTATGGTTTTATAGTGGTTAAATTACCAGGCCGGGTAACCTATTTTCAGACACCAAAATCAGTGATTCTTCGTACCAATGGTTGCCGCCTCCTGGGCATCATCGATTTCGATCTGAACAGCGACTCGAGCCACAAAGGTCCAGCAGAGTCGCCACGTGTTTCTGGGGGTTTTGGGGAATTTTGGGGAATTTTTTGGGGGATTTTGGGGACTTTTTGGGGATTTGGGGGGATTTTTGAGCAATCTATGAGCAATCTATGAGCAATCTATGAGCAATCTATGAGCAATCTATGAGCAATCTGAGTCTGACATAGACCTAGCAATGTTGCCGATGTTGCCATTGACCTCCCCGACCTGGGCAACTCTCTAAACACAGAAGGTGTCGTGGTGTATCTGCCATATATTCATAAGAACATGTCTAAGCGGTAAACGGTCCACTGTCTACTTGCCCACGAGATCCCCACCATTGCATCCCTGAGATCAATTTCGAAATAAATCGTGTGTCCGAACCATGATAGAAGCTTCCAATTTCATCCCAAACTGCAATAAACATCAATTTTTCACACCATCCAAAGTTGTCCATCAGTCAATTCCACATCTTCAACTCATTTTACCGAAAAAAAAAACATCAATTTTCCATCCATCCCCACCCATCCCCAACCATCCCCAAGCGCCCCAGCGCCATCCCAAGCGTCACACAGCCGCCTGCCAATGCATCCGTGGCGCTGTCCATGCGCTGCGCCTCCAATAGCTCTGCACGGCGCAGCGCGCTGCCGCTGTTGGGAGGGCAGCTGTGCCTGGAAATCCTATGGAAATCCTATGGAACTTGTGAGAAATCCATGGAGAATATCTATATAAGAGGAATTTATGGTACCAGAGGAAGTGGAACTTTGAAAGATCTAGAAATTTCAATGATTGAATGGAGAAATTCACAGTTCGACCCTGAACATTTTAGCAATTTTCAGTGGAAACTCTATATATAATCTTCCACTATCAATGGAGAATGTCATGGTATCACCCTTGTCTCATGGAATACACCATTGAGATCCAAGAATATCACATTGTGTGAATGGATGTTAGCTATAAAGTTGATATCCATTTTTGTTCAAAAAAAATATGCCACTTATGCCATTAATTATGGTACTGTTTGGAGTGTTGTACATATATAAATGAACCTGTTTGGAGTGGTTCTCCCCACCAAAAAAATGACCATTAGTTTATGGGAATGGTTTCACCGCCTCCAACCAGTTTCAAATGGTATATAAGTGGATATAAATGGATATAAAGTCTATACAATTTAGATACCATTTAGAATCCATTGGTGTCATGTAACTAAAGGCGGTTTCCCAATATTTCCCATGAATCATACCATATGTGTATATATATATATCCCATTGTGCGCCCTTGCCTCCATTAATGCCATGAATTCAAGGTGGAGCCCCCGAACGTGATGTTGGTTTGTTTATAAAGCCCATCAAAAATTACATATATCTAGCATAAACTCAATAATTAAGCTAGTGAACTCTTCGTCAACTTCGCGATGTCGAAAATTTTGGGACCCTAAAATACTTGTACCATTCATACGGAGATGAGATGCACTTGATATGCGATATAACCAGTGATTAGCATGGATGTCCTATATCTTAGTGATTTTTCTATGGATAGACATCCCAATAAAACCCACTTTTTCTCATATTTGGATCGCATGGATTAGCATGGACATATAATATGGCTTTTATTGGGATGTGTATCCATCAATGATGGGCCGGTGCCGTGGAGTGGGATCAAGTTCTGCTGGAGCAACATGTCAAGAACTAAAGGAACCCTTGGGGCTTAGGGCTTAGATCTTCCCCATACCTGGACATGTCCATTTGCTTAAATGAGTTCATACAAATGGTATATATAAATGGTATATAAGTGCTATATATAAATGGTATATAAGTGCTATATATAAATGGTATATACAAATGGTATATATAAATGGTATATACAAATGGTATATATAAATGGTATATACAAATGGTATATATAAATGGTATATATAAATGGTATGGTACATAAATGGTATATCACTACTATATCTCATATTTGGATCGCCGATAGCGGCCAAACCCTTGGTGAAAATTCACAACCGCCGACGCCCGAGAACTCGGACGTGGCGAGTTGGCCGCCGGTCCGACCGGTACTCGCGGCAAGGTAAAGCCATGAATACATGTTATATCATTTTAATTTTATGTTGTTTATAAAATGTCAGTTTCACAATTACCATAAACATTAAATATGGGTTCTATGATCTAAACATAACATGACATCTATTGGTTTTAGATCATATTATGTAGTTACATCATGGCACATAAAAACCATCATAAACCCATCATAAAACCCAAGTCAGTTCACCACAGTTCACCTCGGGGCCACGGAATCTCAGAGTTTGACCTCCGTTTTTAAACCGTCCAAGGAACACCGACTGGGCGGACCATGGCCGAGCCTTGGAGATGCTTCATAGAAATCGATGAGTCAAATAGAATGTCTTACCCTCTGGTAAACTAACATAGCTATTGAACATAGCCATTTATAGTGGATTCTCCCATTAACAATGGTTAATTTTCATAGTTATGTTAGTTTACCAGAGGGAAATTTCTGTTAATCTTACTGTATCCTATCACATGTCTGAATACTGGTTGGTACCCTCTGGTAATTTGTGAGAGTTTGCTATTGAAATCACTAAAACATCTAAGTTCGGTCAATCTTTTCGAACTAAATGGGCCATGGCTTCAAGTTCGCAAACTGTTAGTCATTACCAGAGATGAGTTCCCATCATGTTCCCATGTTTTTCCCATGATTCACCATCATTCGTAAGTCCCCTACATTTGGGCTGTCCACGACTCCGGCTCCAGGCCGCGCTCCGGCGCTGGCCTCAGCAATCCCAGCCCACTTTTGAAGCCCTAAAGATGTGTATGGGAGATATATATATATATATATGTGTATATATATATATAATTATGTATATAAATATATATAATTATGTATATATATATAATTATGTATATATATATATATATAATTATGTATATATATATAATTATGTATATATATATGTATATAGTGTCACAGCTGCTGATGATGATGATTGTCATTTAGGCTTGTGAATTATGAGTGTGATACCACAAATGCAATGGCTTATACTTAGACATATATATATGTGTGTGTGTCCATAATGTTGATGTTTGTGATCATTTACATCATAAGTATCAAACGCCAATTGTGGTTATGATAGGTTAGATATTAATAAAACATGGTTGAAAAAATGGGAGATGCAAACCTTAAGTGAAAAACCATAACTTGTTCTCATCTATGATATCCATTTAATAAACCATAATTACAGATATGTATGATACGAATGATAATACAATAAACCAAGCAATATCTTGGATCTTGTTTGGTATTATACACATGGTTCTATCTTAAATATTATATATATATAATCTGATCTATCGTTATATATGTATACATATATACAATATATATATATATCATTATATTATGTGTATAATATATATATAGAGTCTATAGAGAGATGCGTACAATACCTATGTTAATGTTTTGTCAAAAAATGATGACGTCATCTTCCGCCCGCTGGCTCGGCATTCCTTTTGGCCGCCCAACCGGTCGGGAGCGCGGCGCACTGGGAGGCCTTGGCACCAACCTCAGGCAGCGCCCTGGGAGCCCTGGGAGCCCTGGGAGCCCTGGGTGTTGGGTCAGCGATGAGTATCCTCTGGTAATGACTAACATAGCTATGGAAAATGGCAAAGGAAGTTCAGAATATCATGGTATTCTATGGTTATCTATAGTTTATCTACCCTCTGGTAATTTAACGTAGCTATTGAAAATGGCCATAGAAATAGTGAGTTTTCCCATTAAACATGGTGATTTTCCATAGTTATGTTGGTTTACCAGAGGGTATCCTCTATGGAAAATCCCCTAGAAATAATGGGGAATCATGGGAAAATGTGGAAAAAATTTCCATAATGATATGCTGTTACCTGGTTGGTGGTGCAATAAGCATCTTGAAAAATGATGGAGTTCGTCAATGGGAAGGATGACATCCCATATATGATGGAAAATAAAAAATGTTCCAAACCACCAACCAGATTACTAGTGGGAGAATATCCTCTATTATGGAATATGGGATTATACCTGGGTATTAATTATACCCACTAATATTCTCGAACTGATCAACGCTTATCAATGACATATCAATGGGTGTTTTGCTGGTTGAGTTTTGCTGTAACATGTCATCCATTCACGCAATGAATGAATTATTTCCATTTATTTCCCTGATTTCCCATTGCCAGTGCCAGGTTGTAACCTTTTGTTGTACCATCTGGTAAACTAACATAACTATGGAAAGATCCACCATTTTTCATGGGAAAATCCACTATTTCTATGGTCATTTTCCATAGTTACGTTAAATTACCAGAGGGTATCCTCTATGGAAAATCCCCTAGAAATAATGGGGAATCATGGGAAAATGTGGGAAAATCCCCAAGATGTGTCGCTTCCCCCATGGCGTTCGCGCTTGCCGTTGGCCAAGCTGTTGTGGTACTGCGCCGCCGCCAGGTGCACCCGCGCCTGGTCGGCTGGAGGTACGATACCAAAGTTTCCGGGTCATTGACATGTCAAATATGTCATAACTGGTCATAACATTAGTCAGAAGTTATCTATGTTTATCTCTTTAGTGACTTTAGTGTTGTCAGAAGTTATCTATGTTACTTGCTTTAGTGTTCAAAAAAACTCAAGCTGCGAAAAACATCGCCCCACGTCGCAAAAGGTCAGGTCGTCGACGTCCCGTTGACCTCCACCAAATCAAGGGACGGCACTTTGGTCCTGAAATGGAAGGTGTACATGCCGGAACAATGTGGAAGGTGTAACACCGAAAAAATGACAAAAACCAAAAACCGGGAAGATTTTCTGGGAAAAGTCATGTGGAGTTGGGATCTCCAAATGTGGAAACAATGTGGATCAAAACTAGTGAAAACATGGGAAAGATCTCCAACTCCAATGGTTGACCATCAATGGGCCCCAGAAAATCTAGGGGAATTCCATGGTTCTATGCTAAATATGTCAGGAAAAGTGGGTGTGTCCACAAATGGGGTACACCTAACATCCAGTTTTGTGTGTGTGTCATACTTTTCCCTCTTCAACAGGGTAGGGCACCTTTTTCATCCCAGATACATTTTGGGGACCAAAATCTAAGTCATAAAAACCTCCACCGGCGCTTGGAGCACCGGCGTGCGCTGTCATGCTGGGATGATCGGATCCTACGAAAACTCTCCCAGGACATGACTTTCGCAGCCCAGCCGTAAGTATGCCATTCACGTGGTTGGTGGTCGAGCCTATAATAGAATATATTGGTAATTTAACATCGCCATAGAATATCCATGGTTTATGGTGTGTTAATAACTAATTCTATGGTTGGTGGTTGAGCCTACCCCTCTGAAAAATATGAGTTAGTGAAAGTCAGTTGGGATGATGACATTTCCCAATATGATGCGAAAGTCATAAAATTCCATGGTTCCAAACCACCAATCAGATAAGTATGCCGTGTTTGTATCCCAAGTCTCAATTCACTTGCCGACCCACCCAAACCGCATTTTGCACAGTCCCGTCTTCTTGCGACATCAGCGTTCTCGCCGTTTTCTAAGCATGTCATGCGATTTCAGTGTGTGAAGATGTGGCAAATCCTTTGGTGGCCTGTCTCATGTCCAGTGTCTGTGGCATGGTCTTTGCTTGTGACTCTGTGGATGTGAAGATCTAGTTTACCTCTGCCAAAGAAGTAATACACATTGTCTCAAATCAAGAATGCAACTCTCGGCTATGTCATGTTTCAAGGATGGCAAGGCCACACAATTCCTGCAATCTCTTCACTGGGGTTCCGGGTTCATGTCGCACCATTGAGCTGTTGGAACCAAACGCTGGCCGTGGTGCAATCCGATCAACATAATCTATGGATGAAGTGAACAATTGCCAAATTCACCATAGATTATGGTGTCATCCCATTAATAATTATAACCATAGTCCCATTAATTGTCCCATTAATATTCCCACTGTCCATGTCTAAATGATCCATTTATATCTATTTATGGCTGGTTCGGCTGGTTGGTGGTTGAGCCCTACCCCTCTGAAAAATATGAGTCAGTTGGGATGATGACATTCCCAACTGAATGGAAAAATAAAATTCATGTTCCAAACCACCATTCAGATGGTGTCATCCCAAGTCCTCAACTGAACTAAACAATACTAAACAGCTCAAGACAGGCAGCACACATCATGAGAATTGTCGGGAAGCTTCGCATCAGCCCTCCAGTCAATACACCTCGAACCCAACTAGAGGCACTGCCAAACTTGAAAGCTTGGCTGCCCAAACAGTTGGATGAAACAGGCCTCCAGCCTATATCCTTTATCAACATATATCAACATCTCCTTTTGCAGCAGTCAAAAAAATCGTGCCTTTGTCTTTCTTTGTGGAGACTCTGGAAAATCTGTTTTACTCCCCAAATCTTCGGTCCATCCAATCTAGTCCATCTGAGGCTGTTCTACTACCGATGCTTCCCCATCGGCCCATCATCTACCCATCGAAGGCTAAGGTTGGCCAGGGTTTGCCTCTGGTACTGACTCAGAGCGTTTGCTAATTTCGAAATCACCATTTTTCACAAGAAACTGATCGAACTGAATGAGCTTTTCCATAACTATCTTAAACTGTGGCCGTTGTACCAACCACCACAATTTTGGGCAGTGCGAGTTACGTGCCTTGTCGGAAGAAATATGAGCATTCACTGACCTGAAATAAGCTACTTGTGGATATTTATCATTATCTACCCCAAATAACTCAACCATCACTGCGGGGCTACGCTACACGATTTACAGCCCCAAAAACGTCCTCACTCCGCTGCCCTCCGAAGGCGATGCTCGGCCGCACGTGCGGCGGCGGGATGGGAAAGTGGGACTCGGCGCAGGGCTGTTGGATGATGATCTGGGTTGAAACCAACATCAACCAACATCAACCAACATCAACCAACATCAGCCAACATCAACCAACATCAGCCAACATCAACCAACATCAACCAACATCAACCAACATCAACCAACATCAACCAACATCAACCAACATCAGCCAACATCAACCAACATCAGCCAACATCAACCAACATCAACCAACATCAACCAACATCAACCAACATCAACCAACATCAACCAACCAATGATAAGTGGATGAAATCCCATAGTAAAACTATGGACCAAAATTCGTTCCTCTGACTGTCTGGTTGAGAATGTTGAGATACGGTCCATCACAATGTAGAGGATCATCTCCAGGAGGGAGATGGAACCATTGGCTAACCAGCTGGTTCTCTAAGATGCTGAACACATTGATAGTTGTCAACCCGTTACCAATGTCTAACATTGCCATTGAAACCACCTTGGTTCTCTGCAGTAAGCTATCGTCATGGCCAAGCCGAGCCGCCAGAATCAGCTGCCGCGGATGGTTGTACTTGGGATCAAAGCCCATGCGAATGCAATCCCTGGCGTCGGTCGTTGGAACCTGTTGGAACCTGCCCCATCAACCAAAAAAAGGTACTGTAATCCCTTCCAGACTCATCAATACCTTCGAAGCCATGCTTTGGTATTTTTTCAGGGTCCCTGATTCTGGTGTGACAAAAAGATCCGGTGAGTGAGGGTACTCTGAAAAAGATCTTGCACAATGGATATCTAAGATATCTATTGTGACAGCCACGCAGCCTCAAGCTGGGATAGATGACTTAGATGATTTTTAACTATCACTAGAACCCTGCACCTAGAAATATATATATATACACATATATTATATATATATATGTATCCACTGCTATCCACTGCTATTAAGGATTCATTCAGATTCTCAAAGCTTTGCAATTCGAGCAGGCTGACTTCCGTTGATCCCTCAGGGTTCCCAGGCTCGTCGCTGATGCGATCGAAGATCATTTTCGCCTGCGACGATGTCCAGCAGGGAAAAGAGTCCGGAAGGGATTTCATGATGAATGAATATGATACCCTCCAGTAAATTAACATAGACCCTGGCAGATAGGGGTTGGAAGACTAGTTTCCATTAAAAATTGGTGATTTTCAGGGTCTATGTTAATTTACCAGGGGGTAAATCAACAGCAGATTCTCTGATTCTTTGGAAATCATCTCCATTTGGAATGTGGGATTCTGTGAAAACATAATAAGCATGATAGTGGATGATAATGAGACTTAATAGACCTATAAAACAATGGCGATCATCATCCTCATCATCGTGATCATCATTAATGTCAATATCAGTATTGATAGTGTATCAATCTATCAAAACATCAAGATATCAATATGTATAATACATAATTATATATATACATATTATATACATATCAATATTGTCATCAAAAGGGGCGCCAGAATGTTGAGTTCCCACAATAACCTCCCGATGTGCACCCAGTTGCCAATCAGTGATGCGACCAGTGGCGCACGCCGAAATCTTTGCAGTTTGTTGCTTCACGAAGTTCACAAATGTAGTACAACCTAAAATAGACATTGATAATGTTGATATGTTTAATTACGTTTATATGGATTACCCTCTGGTAAATTAACATAACCATGGAAAATCACCATTTATAGTGGATTTACCTATATAACATGATGGATCTTTCCATAGTTATGTTAGTTTACCAGAGGGTAAACCTCCATTTTCCTATGGTTTTCCTATGGTTTTCCTATGGAGATCCCACGGGATCCCCGAAACATCTACCAGGGCACCAGGTCGACCAATGGCTCGCCTCGCCTCTTCCGCCGGCATCTTCCGCTTTCGATCCACTCCCGTGGCCTGCGTCCATTGGATGTACATTGGATGTTGATATTAAGATTACTATGATGATTGTACAATAACAACATATAGGATAAACATTGGATGAACAATCAATATTAGATGTACATTGGATGAACAATCAATATTAGCAATCATGGGATTATTGATATGTTGATTCTTATTAAGATTACTATTATGATTGTTGTTGATATTTTAAGTTGTTGCTATGTTGTTACTATGATTAATGGAACGTATCCCAATGTCAGGATGCTTCAAGCATATTCATCCAGATTCAACAACCGAATGTTTGATGGTTAGCCCCACTACCCTCTGGTAATTTAACATAGCTATGGAAAATGGCCATTTATAGTGAGTTTTCCCATTAAAAATGGTGATTTTCCATTGCTATGTTAGTTTACTAGAGGGTATTACGGATGGCTTACGTACCAAGAGCCTTAGAACCCATGCGACCTGATCTCCTTCGATCTCAGGAAAAGCTTGGTAGAGTTCCTGGAGGCCCAGCGATGGCACGAAACGCCCGGGATGGACAGCTTTCTGAAAGAGGGATAGATTTTTGAATGGGGAGATGATAGATGATATACATGGCCATATAACTATATGACTATATGATATTAATATTAATTTAATATATATATATAGTGATCCCATAATATCATGATATATGGTTATATCACATGGTTGCTTATTAACCACAATAATATCCCTGGGGCCATAAAATCTTATAAGCAACCATATGATATGAATATGTACATACCCTCTGGTAACCTGGTAAACGTTTACAGTTTGCTATTGAAGCCATGGCCCAGTCGAAATAGTTGATTTACCCATTGAAAATGGTGGATCTTTCCATAGTTATGTTAACCTTTACCAGAGGGTATATATAACTATATATTAATCTGGCATTCAGAAGTGGGATTCGTGGCCCCCAAACACACAACTCCCATTTTGATGGTAAAAATCCTATACAAGCAGTGAATTTTTGGTGAAATGGGGATGGTAAGTTTATGACATTGGGTGAATCCCTACATGACCTGGTGGAAAATTGGGGAAAAACCATGGGATGTGGGGAGATAATAGGCTTGGGTAACTTTTAACCCACAATATGATAAAAATGGGTTTGGGTACCTCAAAATGATGAAACAAAAACACACAACAATGGTTTAGACGCTGGTTTGCACGACTCTGTCAGGCCAGAAAAATGGGGCTACACACAATTTTCAAACACACACTTTTGGGCATCATTTGGCTGCTGGTTTTAGCTTATCTGTTTTTTCATACCCTCCAGTAATCAAACGTGACAATTAGAAATCCACCATATCAGTGGATAGAATCTACTAATAGTAATAGTTACTATAGTATTTATGGGATGTACCCTCTGGTTATTTAACACAGCTATGGAAGCCATGGCCCTATAGAAACAGATGCTTTTCCCATGTTTTCCCAGCTATGACCTCCATTTATAGGAGCTATCGATTGGATGTCCCAGCGTCAAAAATCAATCAACCAGCGGGATTTTAGATGGAAAAATTCGGACACAACGGTAGTTATTTTTGTATCTCAGCAATTGGTAACAACGCTAGTTATATATAGTTATATCATCCCACAACAAAAAAACGTGTGAAATCCCATGGTTGCCATGTCCCAACCATGGCTAGGCCCAGGTGCAGTGGTGTCTATGAAATATCTCGGCTGCACGTGCCTCGGACTGGCGCACGCTGGCGTCATTGTTTCAGTCATCATATTCTCATAGAAAAATCTGCCAGAATTTGACAAAAATCTCGGAAACCCATCTTATATCATCTTATAGTCAAGATGTTCTAGAGATATCTCTTCGTATCTCTTGATATCTCTTGATATGTCTCTCAATCTTCCCTGTAATTCTCTTCAATCCATCAATATTCGACAGCCCTGGGGCCACTGACCCACAGCCACCTTTCAAGTGGACGCCCTCGCCTGGCAGAGTATGGGTTTGATCCATCCCCCTTTTGTCCATTTGCTCTACCCTCTGGTAAACGTTTACATAACTATGGAAAATCACCATGTTCAATGGAAATTTTCAATAGCTATAGTCAGTTTCAATAGCTATGTTTACTATGTTTGTTTACCAAAGGGTAAATAATTTGTGGAAAAAATTGGACATAACTTAATTTTATCGGGTAAATCATGTGTGACTAGTGGGACACTATTCATGTGTCAGGATGCGTCAGGCTAAATGAGGGTTTGGGGATACCACTTTTTTAGGAAACCCCCAAATAATGTTTGAAGAATGGGACATAACTTAATTTTATTTAATTTTATCATGCAACATCAACCAACCAATTGGCTGTAAAGTCGAAACAATGTCGATTGCTTTTGCTGACTAGTTACGTTGGCATGTCCCGGCAAGAATCAAACAGAATGATTCCCATGAGAACAGATTCCAGCCAGCTGGCATCCCCCTGATTGTTGTCAGACAAGGCTTTCAAAGTCTCATTGATGATTTTCAACTCTCCAAGTGTTTGTAATGCAGGGCTGACAAGTAACATACCTGGACAAGTAACTAGCAAAACAAATCATGGTTACCAAGAACCACCGAAGAACCACCGAATTTGGTCATTGAGAATCTTAATCACTACGATGAGGACATTCACAAAGACAAAAACTGCTACTCAAATTGACCAAAATTTTGCAGAAAGGGACCATCTATGAACAAACAACAGCTGGTTCAGAAATATGTACCCTCCCACAATCAAACACAGGTTGCTGGAAAATCCCCATGAAAAAAATGATGTTTTCCCCGCGACAATCCATTTAGGCCACGGGGAGAAATCCCAGCCTTCGGCATCAGGCACCTCAAGGGGTCGAACATCGCTGAAAAATCAGTGGATATCAGTTATAGCATCATGGGGAGATCTACTGGAATATAATGGTGTATATATATATATATTATAATTATACATTATATATTATATATTATATATTATATATTATATATTATACATTATATATTGTATATTATATATTATATATTATATATCAAATATTATATAATATATTATATATATATATTATATATATATATACATACTGGAGATTGTTGGAGTATAAGTGGATATTTCATGGTGTTTTTCTAATGGTCTGCATGACCTCTGATGTTTTGGGGGGTATTTTCCACAATGTCAGGCTAACCACCCATGGCACATGACTGGGAATGGTTTCATTGTGACTGGGGGCTGGTTTATGACATTGTTTTACCCACATTGATTAATGGGGATATCTAATGGGATATCATGGTGTGTATATATATATATACATACATACTATGAGAGGAGTCAGGAGATGGTTACCTGGTTGGATATTACTGGGACATATGTTGGATCTGTACAATATCGGCTTTAGGTCGGGATTGGAATATACCAGTGGCCATCAGTTTAATGGGACCAAGATCAACCACTGGATTTTGGGACGAAAATTTTGGCTTACCCTCTGGTAAACGTTTACATAACTATGGAAAGATCCACCATTTTTCATGGGAAAACTCACTATTTCTATGGCCATGTTCAATAGCTATGTTAGTCATTACCAGAGGGTAAGGTCTATGGCCATTTTCAATAGCTATTTTGACATAGCCAGAGGGTAAGGTCACCCCAAATTTTGCTTCCATCCATGGCAGTGACTTCGGCAAGATCAACCACTGGCCTCCTCCTTGACATTGCAGACACGCTTGGCGCGGCAGCACAGCATCACCGCCTCCAACGGGACGATTTTCATGGTCCCATGGTAGGATGGGGTGTCCATGATATCCCAGCTTCCCTAAGGGTTACTTATCTCGTTTATATCATGGAACAAAGGTTAGTATAAACATGTATAAACGATACCTGGGGGGTTTTGTGAACGATATAAACGATACCTCGGGGTATATAAATGATGTACACCTGGCTTACTTATATCATTTATATCTTTGTTGGTGGTCAATATGCCCATCTTTGATGTTGGAATCAGCGTTTCGGTCGATGATCTTTTCATGCTTGATGCCACATTGTGTCAGAACAGGATTCACAAAAATATTGGGTATATTTGATGGTAATGATCATCTACTATTTGCCAAAAAAAATATAGTATAATGATGGTAATTACCAAGTGGGTAATATATTTTTACAAAACCATGATTGGGTAATGATGGTAATTCTAGTCTATCACTGCCCAGAAAAAAGTTGTGGTCGCTCCGTCCACGAAGTCCAGATCTGACCCCAAAGATCCACAGGAACCTCTGGGATTTGCCGCCCCAGGTTTTTGGGGTCTCCACCGTTTTCCATACGTTTTCCTTGGGGTCCACGGGTCCACAAGCTGTCTGTCTCTGTGTGCAAACCCGCGTTTCCTGAAGCCGCTTCTTTCTGTTGATCAGCTTCATGGCATTCAACATCTTGAGATCCTGTCGCGCGTGTTGAGTCCAGTGGCGAATGACAATCCTGAGAAGGAACAACAAAACAACACATATGTTGAGTGTAGATGTGTTTGATCACCTTATATCACCTTGCTTTTTCAGGCCACCCTCCAGTAATCAAACATGGCAATGCAGAATTCCTCATTTATAGATGATTTTCCGCTTAAAACATGTTAAAATCTCCATTTACCCTCTGGTAAACTAACATAGCTATGGAAACTCACCATCTTTAATAGGTAAATCAACTATAGATGGGCCATTTTCAATAGCAAACTGTTAGTCATTACCAGGCCGGCTATATTGGATTTTCCTGCCACGTTTCATGACGCCAAAAAAGGTGCTGTTGCAGATGTCCTTACCGGAACAACCGTCGTCGTGACTTCTCGCCTTGGGATCCGCTAAGAGCTTGGAGCAGTTGTAGCACACCGAACGCAGCACGTTGTGGGTGGCTTTCATGAACCCCCAGTGGTACCTCGGACGGGAACTTGCCGCCGCAACAAATGCCGTGAACGCTATGCTTAGGGGAATCACTGGCGAACGGCTGTATTGGGTGTATCACCAGTAATATCCGACTATCTCCTATCATATTCTATTATCCCATTATATCCCATTCATCCATATCATAGTAAAACTGATATCCACTTATGATTGTATCTCCAATGATTTATGAATAAACCATTGATGATTTTACATAGCAAACTCTGACAAATTTCCAGAGGCTAACTCCCCTGTTTTGGCCTACTATTGGTTTAGTTTCACCCAGGTGAACGTGTAAAAGCCTTATTCCATTATTTCATACCCAGCCTTAAGGTCTATTTCTCACAGTTCACCTTAAAAAACCGTGAAAAACTCGTTGACTCCCCATGGCACGGCGCTCCGCCGTAAGGGTCCCATTTTACTTCGCATAGCACGCGCCCATTGGCTGATCCGTCCAGCGCATCATGGCGCTGCAGCGCGCCTTCCTCGTCACCAGCACCTCACGAAGACCTCGGAGAGTCCGGGAGAAGCGGAGATCTGGCAGAAACATGCTGAAGTGAGGTGAAATCCTTATGCAATATTAATATCTATATATATATATATTGTCATATCTACCATACATATATATATATAGAGTGTGTATGTATTTATATGTATATATAATTTATGTATGTATATATATATGTATGTATATATATATGTATGTATATATATATGTGTGTATATATATATATATGTATATATATATATATATATGTATATATATATATATACATGTATATCATGTGTATATATATATACCGTTTTCCCTACCATCTATTTCCCAAATCATTTTTCCATAGTTTCCCTATGTTAATCATCAACGTCCCCAAAAATATGTGATCATCACCAAATATAGTGATCGTCCAACAATTACCATCCATATAGATTATTAATATTTATATATATATAGGTATTATATAGTGGTTCAACAATTAACAATCTCCCTTTATATGATGTTAATGGGCTAATTATTATAGATATTCTAGATATTATATTGTCCAAATAGATATTAAATTATCCGACAATATTCATAGTCCCCTTTGCATATTATATATATAGCGGAATCAATCCCCCTCCGGGAGGAACGCACAAATGGGCGCTCTGTTTTCACCTGAGCCAGAGGTCCCTGCCAGATCGCCACCTGACATATGTTCATAGGCATCCATGGACTGGCACGTGTTGGATTCAACACTGCTCTCAATCTTTAAAACTGCGAGCAATGGATGAACCAGGGAAGCATCCGCCGGGAGTCTTGGCACTGACCATTTCTTCGTGCAACTTCAAGAACTCGACAAGGTCAGTAAAACGCGGATCTTTGGACTTCTTGGGATTGTCCTTCACCCACTTCACGTACGACTGATGTTCAGGAGCAGTTGACCCCACCAAGTCAGCATAGGACAAACCATCTCCTCCATAGCGGCCGAACTCAAGGCAGCACTTGGACCACTTTTCCAGCGAGGGAATGCCAACAGGCAAGCGCTTGGGATCCACTGGCATGCTGGGCAAATGAATCGACAGCGCAGGCTTGGACTTGGTCTTGGTCTCTGTGGTGCCTGGGGCTTCATCCACCATGCGGCGCTTTGACCCATCTGTCATAGCACCAAGAACATCTCCGTCCGTGATGACTTCAAAATCTTGGTCCAGCGGATGGGCACCGGAAGTCAACTCCGCAAACATCCCGGACAAATCGTCAACGCCAAGGCCTTCGCGGCTGGCTTGCTGCAAAAGCGCAGCCAACAGCTGACGACTGGACTTGCTCTCCGGCATGGCTCAGAGAGGAATCACGAACGTTCCAAGTAAAACCCGGATGTCAAACCCCGGAGGCGTTCACGACAAACGCAAGTTATGGAGCCAGGTGCTATGCGATCGATACACTTCGGCAATGAGTCGAGATGACTCAGCAAGGTTCACAACTCTATTACTCAAGGACCCCCTATTTATTGATTTTTCATATTACCCCACTTAAGTATATCTTGCAGTCAGGCAAAATGCACATGAAAGACTGTGAGATCACGAAAACATTAACAGGTTTGTGATGATCTTTTCATCACTCGGAACTTGGCTGAGGTTTCTGTTTGGCTTGTTTCCGTCTTTCCTTTTCCGCTGCTTGTCTTTCGAGGACGATGGATTCTGGTGCAATTTGATATTCGGAGTGTTTTAAACACACACGCAACGTTTCAACCGGTTCTCCAGCATCTTTTGTAAGACTGTCTGCTAACATGTGTGCTGTGGGAACCCATCTTACAAAGGCCTGGGTGGCTTTGGCACTTTCACGGATGATAATGACATCAATTGATGTCCTTCGATCTTCAATTGCTGTTGGAGACGATGGAGAAACCAAATGATCATACAGGCTCTTACAATCTGTCACGAACAAAGGCGGTCTCTTTTTCAGCATCTCGCGGCATTGACGAGCAGGAGTTGGTCCATCCAAAATCTCGGACATCAACAAGGCAAGCCATTCAGCTGTCCCAGTGGCTGTCGCAAGAGCTTGTGCTTCTGCTGCCAATGTGCTGCTGACAGCCCGTGGAAGGCGATAGCTACGCCAAGCGGCTGGACACCATTTGGACACCTTGCCGTCTTGAAGGGATTTTTCACAAAAGGCAACAATGTATCCTGCTTGCGTATGTGATCCTACATTTGCCCATGCAGCGTCTGAATGACACACTAAGGTAAGTTGTTGAGGATCAATGGCCTTGAAAGTGATACTCAAATCCCTATTTTGCTTCGCTCTTCTGACAGCATGGTTGGCCATGCGCAAGTCTTGAATTTTGGGCGTTGGAAACGATTGCTGACTCAAACTGGTCTGGGCCGACAAATCTGGCCGTGATTGAGACGACAACCAGTTCAAACTGCCATTCACCGCACGCAAGATCTTAATCTGGTGAGGAGCCAAAACTTGGCTGGGAGTTGCATCTTTGGGAACATTCACAGGACGTATCTTATCAACAAAGGACCCCATATTCATGGTTATGTTGAAATCATCATCTTGAGAATACCAAGCACCACAAAACTCGCCAGATTTTGTTCTCCATTTTCGGTAAGGGAATCTTGCACGCAAGCGTTGGACTGACTCTTCAAATTCTTCTCCAAAACCCCCAAGAGCTGTGTCATCCACGTGAACACCAAGCACTCCGATCAGCGCTTGAGACTTGCTTGAGCGGAGATGGAACAGACATGGATCATACTTGCTTGGCTGCCAACCGCACAGCTGGGCTTCTTTAGTGAATTCACGGAACCAAGAGGCTGGGGCATCATTCTGTCCATAGACATTTCCCAAAACTTCAATGACCGCATCTGCAGGTACACCTGGGATGCCGCCTGCTGGTTGCCTAGCATAAAGGGGTCTGTACTTTTCTTCTAGCGGTCCAGCTTCAAGAAACGCACCTCTAATGTCTCCTAGTTGAAGCAGCCATTTGTGGCTGGCGATCATCTGCATGAGCGTCATACGACCCAGCTGACTAAGGGTCGGTGACTTGAGACAGCCCGATTCAGCCTTTTCGGCCAAGTCAGGGTCCAGGTGTCCCTGCAGGCACCAGCGACCTTTGACAACAAAACTGTTGAGGTCATCAGGATTGACTTCTTCACCTTCATGACAAGCTTTCCGTGTCAACACAAACCTGCTACCAATGAAACGGTGGGCAAACTTTTCTTTGATAGAGGCTGCAGCTTTACCATAGTGAATTTTGATGACATTTGGCTTACTGAGCATTGTGTTCCATTCCACCTTTTTGCCTTCGTCTACCATGGCTTGCAGTTTTGGGGGGTTATTGCTATGCGGGAGCTCCTTTTGGGTTCGCTTCTGCATATATTCAGCAATAAAAACTTCATGGCTGGTGACATCACTCACATCAAACAAATGGTCGACGTCCTGAACGCTGAGGGTCTCATTCACTCTTTGGCGATGCCCGGCAGGGGATGGAACAGCATCCGCAGCAGGACCGGTGTCAGGCTGGTCACGCTTCGTTCCCTTTGTGGCCTCATCCACTAGGTGAGGTATCAGCTCTTGCATAATTTCCGAGAAATCTTCTGGCTGCATAGCTGGGGGACGCCACAAGGAAGGTGGACCATTCTTACCGGTTACTCTACGCCGCACGGGGCCATAGCTGGACTCGGCTGAGCCTGAACTGGGCAAGGACCCTTCTGCATGATCATGAGCCAAGGTCTGGACTGCAGGCTGTTCATCACTGAGACTGTCTAAAGGAGACTTATCTACCGCAGTAGGGGATGACAAGGGAGGCATGTCAACATCTGACACATCACAAGTCCTACCTCCTGCAGACGTTTCCTTGGCATCAGCGGAATCCCCTGCCGCAGGGACAAGAGGTGCATGTTCTCTGGAGTCAAGGCATGGCGTCTCCTCCGTAGGATAAGATTCAGGCACCAAATCAACAAATTGTTGGGACTTCAGTTGTCCTTTGTCAATTAAATCTTTAATACCCAGGAGTTCAGCCTGAGGAGCCGCAATAACTGTACGCTCCTCACTGGTCGCCGGACGCACCTGTTCGGGTGCTGCACGAATGACTTGCCGGCGATGCATGAGAACGATATTGCGACCCACTGTACCCAGCACGATTGCACAACCATACCATCTTCCCCCTTGTTGGAGTTTCCCCTTAACCCATTTTTGGTTACGCCAATAACATACGTAGTCTCCCGGTTGAAAATCTACAGCTTTGCGAGGGCGTGCATTGAGGGCTAGGCGGATGGCTTTGTCATCCTGCAACTCCACTACTGCTTTTCTGGCTGTGAGACGCAAGGCTTGGGCTCTGGCGGCTGCATCATCCATCAAGGATACGGTGGCTGGCACTACTTGGATTGGCTCATTGAGTAAATCAGACGGTACATGGGGGTTCTTACCAAACACGTACTGGTGTGGAGAGTATCCATGAACCTGCAACATCTGATTCTTTACGTGAGCATGTGAAACGCAAGTGAGCCATTCTTCTTGATTGTTAGGAGCATGTTCAACGATCAGCTTTTGAAGAATGCGGTCAAACCACCCACCATGAGACTCCGTCTTGCCAAGCTGATAGTGTGCACCAGCTGCAATGGGACGGATGTGAATTCCAAGGCTTTCGGCAGGGCCAACGAAACCTTCACCTAGGTTTGTTCGTGCAGGGTCAAGAACAATCTCCTTGGGTGGACCAAAAGGGGCTATCCAATGTTCATGCAAAACCTGGGATAACACACTGGAAGTTTCGGTCTGGAAAAAGGGCACTACGCGTTGGAAACTACTGGCTTGATCGACCATGTTCACTGCTGATACCTTCTGGCCACTCTTCCACCCTGTGAGATGCTTGACATCACATCCCAACTGATGGTTGAAATCGCAGACCCTGTTGGTTTGCGCTGGCAGCGCTACTTTGGGTCGAGCTTGGCTGAGACAAAAGTCGCATTCAAACTTCTTGGCAGCTTGCAGAGCCAGTTCGGATGCATTGGCATTTCTCAACACTCTCAACAAATCGTCTTTGGTCGGATGGCCTAGGTTCTTATGCAAACGGGCAATGATTGGTTGCAGATCAGCCATCGATACATCCTCATTTGCCAGGCATTCCTGACTGACAGGCTCTGAGTCAAGGAACTCGCAGGCAGACACAGCAACTGGCTTACCACACTGTTGGCGGTACCTTGGCACACACTGCAGCACGGCTTCCACAAATTTTGGTGGATATTGTCCTGCAAAGGCACTGATGGACGGAATCCCAGGATAGCTGCCAGCTACAACATCATGGTGCACATGTTCGGGATCATCTTTACCGGGGCATTCAAGTCCAAGGCATTTCATGTCTTCGTGTGACAACAGCAAACGTGTGCCTTTGCGGATTAACCTAGGGCTATCAGGCAAACGCAAACCGTAGCGACATTGATGCAACTTGACTGTGAAGTGGCGTCGCAGCAAGGTCCGCATTTCGTCATATCCCCAAACTTGGGACGGCAGGGAGTGTTCAAACATGGCCCGTCGGCCCTGTTGCACTTGAAGGCGGTACAGCTTGCAACACCAACGAATGAAACTGCGGCTCTGGGCTCTACATTTGAGGAACTCGGTTTGGGACATCTTGTGTCGGTTTAAATACCACCAACCACCTTCATGAGTGCACGGAGGGCACAGCACTAGCAGATCCGGTGGGTCTCTCACCAGCAAATCCTCCACCACTTGCCTGTGTTTGGCCGTGGACAGATCCCAACCCTGTTTGATGTCAAAAGACCTTCCCCTAAAACCTGCCGCTTCAGCTTGAGTGGTAAACCTGGGTGGTGAAAATACCTCCATGACCAAACATCGATTGGACAGAGGGGCAACCTGAGCACATGCTTTCACCTGTGGTTCTAACTGTCTTAATTGATGCACACTTGGAAGCCAGGGCGCATCGGACTGGACCTCTCGATCAGAAGCACATGTGGGCACCGATGGATCATCATGCCAAAACTCGGTCACCACATCCTGACAGGCGCGGGGCAAACGAAAATGCACTGACTGCTGGTTGCTCATGTGAGAGCACATGTCATCACGAATGATTTCCTGGGAGGCGGCGTGTCGGATGATACGCCGATGCACATGTTTCCACTTAGGTCCGTCACTACTCAGTTGAGGGGTTTCACTACTCCCAAAATCATACTGATACCAAACTTTGAGGGGCTCTACCTGGTCAGGTGTCTGAGGAGGCACCTCGCACTCTGGCTGTTGGGGCTCATGAGACACGGATGGACCTGGATCGGCTTCAGGGCTGGACATCATCACTTCCTCAAAGTTCAACGCTGAAGACGGAGCAGTCTTGGCACTGTCGGGCACTTCAAGCACATTCAACACATACTGGCCAGCCTCATTTATTTGCAAGGGAACTTCACGGCGGTCCTCAAACAGAGTGACCGTGTTGTCAGAGAAGTTGAGCTGGGCCTTGAGCGCTTGCAATGCGGATCTGGAGATCAGCAACGGCGCAGCACCCTTCACGATAGCAGCTCAAATCTTCCCACGTTTTCCGGCAATCACCATTGGCATAGACACTGACATTGTCGAAACTTCGGTCTGCCCATTTCCAAAACGAAAATGATGAACCTCAGCAGAACGTTCGGCTGATGGTATCTTGGCAGCCTTCCACAATTGCTCAAACTCACGAAGTGTCGATTCACCAATGATGGTACGGCCACAACCGGAATCCAGGACACCATATCCAGGGCTTGACACCAGTAAAGTCTCCAGCACTGATGAGTTCTTGAAGCCTGGATCAGTTCGTTGTTGCTGCAGCTGTCGGAGTTGTTGCAACATCGATGGCACTGGCGTCACAGCAGCCACAAAATCCTCAAAGGGTGCAGGAAGCACGGACACCGTAGCCGCCCCCGAAGTGGAAGAGGACGACGATGCTAGAGCAGCTTTACCAGTTCCCTTAACACCAGAGCTGACGTTTGACCTGCATTCACGGGCCCAATGCCCGATCTTTCCACATTTGTTACATTTTGTTTTCTTCTTGAGCTCTTCAACCTCAATGCGGAAACTTCGACGAAGGTCAGTGTTTTGATTAAACTTGCGGCCCTTCTGAATTTTGCTCAGCTCTGATCTACGCTCTTTCCAGGAAAGGGCAAGGACTTCGGCAACGTCCGCCTCAGCAAAGGCCTCAGAAAAATCTTCACCGGCACCAGCTTCCGGATGATCCTGCAACAACTGTTGTACGTCTGAAAAATCATGTTCTTCAGCTGTTTCATCACTCAAATCGTGTTCAACAGCTAACAGTTCTTCAGTCAAAGCCACTGCAGATCGCCGCTTTGCGACATAGTCGGGAAAGCATGACCGTAAGGAGGCTGCGATCTTGTCCCTTTTTAAAGAGCCAGTTGCCCTAGCTATCACTACAGCCCGTTCACCATCACTCAGGCCAGCACGGTTGAGCAGCAACCATCCACGGGCCTCATCTGGAAAGGCTACCCCAACTTTTCGTTGGCATCTGTCCAGGAGTTCAGTTGCACGAGCCGTCCATTGCTTCATGTTCTCCCCTTCATTGATTTTCAGCGCAAACACACCGCCGAGCACTTCGGCCATTTCATCAGCAGTTTCTTTCTGAGGAAAACGAGCGTCCAACAGTTCAAACAGAACTTTCTCTCCATCCTTCTTGTAGTAATCCTCATGCGGCAAGTGTTCAACGGCCTCCAAGGCTTTTCCAGACAAGAGCGTGTATATGTATGGTCCACGGGCTTCAGCACTAAGTTTGTCCAGGGTGACCAGTTTGTTTTGCGTCCATGTCTTCCAGCGCAAGTATTCTTTTCCGTCTTCAGCTTCTCCAGAAAAGTACCTAAGGCCTTGTTGGCCTTCCACAGACGTCATGGCACGTGTTGTCTGGATCTTCTCCTGAAGATCAAAGGCACTCCATGGCTAGGGAGCCTGCCGAGGCAGGCTCCGCTACCAATAGCGGAATCAATCCCCCTCCGGGAGGAACGCACAAATGGGCGCTCTGTTTTCACCTGAGCCAGAGGTCCCTGCCAGATCGCCACCTGACATATGTTCATAGGCATCCATGGACTGGCACGTGTTGGATTCAACATATATATATATATATATTCAACAATAGATAGATAGATAGATATATATATATATATAATGGTCCAAATACTGTATATATTATTCTATGGTCCAAATAGATATTATATAATCCCCCCTTTGAACCAGGCATCTGACCCCACCAAGCCACGTAGAGGTGCTCCCACCTCCTTGGTGAGACGCAAAACCAGGTCGGTCATCCGGCGCCACTCCCCCTGCACCATGGGGGTTTATATAGATTGACAGGTCCAAAAATTGGGAAATTCTAGGAAATTCATGGATAAATGCTGGAATGGTGGAATTGTCCACCATTTTCTCACCGAAAATTGTGATTTTAACCATCAAAAATTGTAATTTTACCCATTGAAAATGGTGATTACCCAGACGGGTAAACATACAAAAAGATGTTGTTTTCTTTTCATTTGGAAAATGATCCATGCTGGGTAACTTGCATGTCTATGTTAATTTACAGGAGGGTATAACTGATATATATATATATCTGGTTGGTGGTTTCAACCCCTCTGAAAAATATTAGTCAATGGGAAGGATTATCCCATATATTATGGAAAATAAAAAATGTTCCAAACCACCAACCAAATATATATTGGCATGGTATGGTTTTGTTGGGATGGAACCAAGATTGCTAGAATTGGGATTTTCTCACGTGATTTTTCACAGGTATATAACAGGCATACATGACGCCAGTTTGTGCCAGGTTGCGAGCTGGAAAATCATGGCCCGACTTTTCACGGCTATGTTAAGTTACCGGCAATGCCCAAAAATGGTGATTCACCAATAAGAATAGAGTTTTGTCGGGTTTCTATTTTGTTTTGATATGATGATGATGATGGTGGTGATGATGAGGAGGAGGATGAGGAGGATGAGGATGATGATGATGATGATCATCATCATCATCATGACGATTGTAAGTGTGGAGCAACGTCCGGGTTGGGGCGAATATGTTTTAATGGTGATGGACCCATACAGAGGTAAAACACCAAAAGCAATGGTGACATTCCATCTATGAACGGTGATTTGATGGGGATATAAAGGGACATCAGTTGGGTAGTGTCATAGCCTTTGAATGTTAATCCCAAAAATTGGATAGGCAGATTTGTACAAGGTGAGGGTTGCAAAGGATAGCTAAGTTGACGCACAGAACTTGGTTAACGTTTGGGTTTGTGGAGGATATCACCAACTACTTAGTGGATTTATAAACCAACAAACAGAACTGGAGGGCCTCACCTTCTAATTTATATGCCAATCCTCAAAAAATGTTGGAATCCCCAATTACAGACATAATCTACAATCGGATATATTGAAATATGATGAGGCTTATATCCCCAATTTATATACCCACTATATAAATTACAAAGTATCTTATAAGTATGTCCCATTCGTTGATGGTAATTAATGTTCTGTGACATTCTGGTGTACAACAATATACAATATATACACGCACATGATGCGGATATGTTTTAATGAATATCATGAATGGGTAGAATAAATTGTTGTTTGGGCTTGTCGCGATTTGTTTTTAGCTAAGTTCATCTCTCGCTTCCATCATGCTCTATGGATTTGCCAAGTCGAAATCACAGCATCAAGCAGTGCAACCAATGCGCTGATTCTAAGCCTAGTTCATGTTACCTCCGTATGTTCGTCATTATACTCCACTTATTTGTTAGCTTTATATGTGGTAAACGCGATAGTATACCATCCTCAATTTTGAAGTGGATGGCGAATCATCCCTTCCCAATATTTAACACCCCTCCCCAAAAAAAACAATGATTTAGTACGGGCTGAAATCAGATATTTGAGACCCTACTGTGGGGGTCTTCAAACCCAACTCACTATGATAGTTCCCCAACTTCTCCATAGTTTCCCTGTATTTTCCACATGTTTACCACATCAACAAACGTTGTGGACGCGCTGTTTCCATCGTCCTCGGCCCCGCCATATCTTTTCACTGTGCGATTTCCTGGGCACCGAACATATTGTGGTATTTGTGATAGCTAAGTTGACGCGCCTTTGCCTTGGTTTTTTCGTTTATGTTGATTGGAAGGAGATAGCTATAGTTAATGGGACTATAAAGCAACAAACATAACTGGGCATAGAATTCTTAAAGCATCAAACTCCTCTACCAATAATGACCCCGGAAAATGGAAATTCCAAGTTGCTTGGGTAGCAAAGTTGCATGGAAGTTGGAAAACCAAGGAGAGTGTGCCTCATCCAAGAGGAAAATCTGGCGTTTTTGTGTACCCAAAATATACGCCCAACATCCGGACTGGTGAGAATGCTGCAAAAATCCAACTCTCATTGGTGTGTATATATATATACACATATTATATACACACATATTATATATATAATTATATATATATATACAAAGTGGGGCCCCCTAGATAGCTAAGTTGGTTTATAACTCCAATAACTATGGTTTATGGTACTTATAACTATAGTTACTGGGGTTTATAAACCAATTTATAACTGGGTGGCCCCACATTGTATACATCTATATCTTCAAATCGTTAAAAATAAAAAATAAAAAAAGATACTGTAAAACATGATTCAAGTGACAATTGTATGCATGGCCAAGAGGTTTCACCATTACCTGGGACCTGGTCGGATCCCAAACACCCAAAAAACCTCATTCGTGCTGATTCGTGACGCCCATATTTCGATTTATATCATTCTATATAGATCTGAGATCATCTAAGAATCTACAGGTATCAAACTGACAGCCATATGTTTGCGGGGTTGAAACCAGCACCCTTGGCGAAACTGCCCAAAAATAGTTCATTGAACTAGTCTTGCTTGGGATGTGTAGTGTAGACCTACCCTTTTTGGCCCACCAGCCATGGCATCACCAGATGTTCAAGGTCCGCTTTCCAATCACCAGCATCCCAAGAGTCTTTCGACAAACTCCTTGAGTTTCTCCAGGTTGGACTTCGTAGGAGAGCTGTGGCACAAGATCAGCAAAATCTGCAGGTAATCGTTGCCAAGCCTCCAAGGTCTTGGGATCTGGCATTTGTCCCACATAAAATTGGAAACACAACAGATATGAAAACACAACAGGGATCACATGTACCATGTGGATCTGAGATCCGGAGATCTGTATTCAGGTCTCGCCGGCCTGTAGGACATTTTATCGGCCTGGCGCGACCAGGAGAGGTAGCTCTTGAAGGTGCAACAAATTGGTTGAAAACAGATGGGTGGATATGGATGGTTAAGCATGGTGAAAGTGGTTAAGCACTGAACATTTGCTAGCGACTTTAAGTTTTGCACATTGACATGGATGTTTGACACCAAAAGTTATTCAAATCTCTTTGGATTGTTGAAGGTCCGGAAATTGTTTCGCGGTAGTTGGTCAGCCTTTCTGGGACAGACGGTTTCAAGAGGTTCATCATCCGGAAATGGTGAGTTTCCATTTGCAACGGTTGATGGTTGTGACTTCTTTGGTCAATACACCAACGTTAGTATCTACAAAAAAATGTGTGCGTGCATAAAAAACCATCTAATATATAATAGTAAAAATCAAATATATTAAATAAAATATAATATATTCAAAATACTACACTAGATAGAATATAGAATATAAAATAAAAAATGAAAAATATAATAAGATATATATGATATTAAATGGCGAATAAGGTATAATATATAATATTAAACAATATATCTATTAAAAACAATACAATATATGGAAAAAAGTTCTATAATATATAAAGAAAAAGAAATATACAATATATATAGTTTTAACAATTAGTTTTTTAAAATGCAATATATAATATTACACCATATATAGAAACAAAAGATGAAAATTAAAATATGTATTTATCATAAAAGTTACGTATCTATAATGTATAATAAATGAAATAAAATATCAAATAAATTATGTATAATAGAGAACATATAATATTATAAAAACATAGTGGCAAATATAAAAAAGAAAATATAATATATATTTCAAAAAAAAATGTAATATGTATTCTACACAAAAAACTGGAGAGCGGCTTACCATGGGGGGTGGAGTGGTCAAAGTATTGATTTTGCAGTTTTTTTGAGATATGGAAATGGTTTGCACATGAAGCCACAATCTTATCACGCAATGATGCAGCAAATGCAACATATGCTCTTGCAGCAGCCACTTTTTGACAGACACAGCTGGGTGTCAAATAGATGGTTCATAGTTTCACCTCACCTCTGCGATGGACAGTCTACTTCTTCTTGATGTCTACTTCTTCTTGATGACCTTCTTCATGGCCTTCTTCAAGACTGGGTTGTTGGTGCAGGCATATGACTTGGATTTTTCTTGTTCTTGGCCTGAAACTTGTTCAAGTAGACAGCTCTCTTGCAATCAATTGCTTTATTGTGCTCCTTGATGAAGTACAGGACTTTGAAAGCATGCCGGAGAGGTCTGGTTTCATTGAGCAATTTGGCACAGTTGCGAAACCAGCTGAGCACCTGTTCAGCTGCTGACATATTCATGCCCCTGAAGGGCCTTGACAAGAGTTTCACGCACAACAGGGTTGCTCTCGGGCGTGCCCATGCAGCTCACTGCCAGAACGCGCAAATTCGTTGGGTTGACGAGCATGAACCAGCCATTGCCATAGGGCTTCGCGATGCCATTTTTTCTAGGTCGACCCTTGTGCTTTGGAGACGAATGGCAGGCGCATTTGATATGCACCTTGACACGACCATCTCCCACAATCTCATGAACTTGGGCTCGTCGATGCTTGGAAGGAGGGAAGACTTGATCATGTAGATGCTCATCAAATATGCACGCAGGGATTCGGGTGTCAACTCCTCACCAATGACAATCTCTTTGTGCAAATCCAGGACATACAGTTTCTGCAGCAAACAGGATGATTTTAAGCAGACAGTGCAAGACATGCGCGTTTTTACAATGTGCACGCCTTCACCCCCCCTCATCCTCCCTTCTGAAAATATAGATATGTATCTACAATAAACCAAAAATGTATCTATAATGTAAAATAAAAAGAATATAGTAAAAAACAAATAATATATAATATACAAGATGAAGCCCACGAACCCGAATGCTCACACGTATGTTAATGGTACAGATGTCAAAACACATGGATATGCAGTCACGCACAACACTTTTCTGCAATAGTTTATTTGAACTGTCTTGTACATATATCCCCTGTTACCAGTCTGCAGTGTGGAGTGTAAAGTGTGGAGTGTGGAGTGTAAAGTGTGGAGTGTGGAGTGTAAAGTGTGGAGTGTGGAGTGTAAAGCGTGGAGTGGGGACTGTAGAGTGTGTAAAGTGTAGAATGCGAAGTGTAAAGTGTAGAGTGTGGAGTGTAAAGTGTAGAGTGTGGAGTGTGGAGTGTAGCGTGTAGAGTGTGGAGTGAGGAGTGAGGAGTGTAAAGTGCAAAGTGTGGAGTGTGGAGTGTAAAGTGAGGAGTGTGGAGTGTAAAGTGTGGAGTGAGGAGTGTAAAGTGTAAAGTGTAGAGTGTGGAGTGTAAAGTGTGGAGTGTGGAGTGCGGAGTGCGGAGTGCGGAGTGTGGAGTGGAAAGTGTAGAGTGTGGAGTGTAGAATGTAGAATGTAAAATGTAAAGTGTGAAGTGTAGAGTGTAAAGTGTAGAGTGTGGAGTGTAAAGTGTAGAGTGTCGAGTGTGGAGTAAGGAGTGTAAAGTGTAAAGTGCGGAGTGTGGAGTGTAAAGTGTAGAGTGTGGAGTGTGGAGTGTGGAGTGGAAAGTGTAGAGTGTGGAGTGTGGAGTGAGGGGTGTGGAGTGTGGAGTGTGGAGTGGGAAGTGGGAAGTGTGGAGTGTAAAGTGAGGAGTGTGGAGTGTAAAGTGAGGAGTGTGGAGTGTAAAGTGAGGAGTGTAAAGTGTAGAGTCTGGAGTGTAAAGTGTGGAGTGTGGAGTGAGGAGTGAGGAGTGTAAAGTGCAAAGTGTGGAGTGTGGAGTGTAAAGTGAGGAGTGTGGAGTGTAAAGTGTGGAGTGAGGAGTGTAAAGTGTAAAGTGTAGAGTGTGGAGTGTAAAGTGTAGAGTGTGGAGTGTGGCGTGTGGAGTGTGGAGTGTGGAGTGGAAAGTGTGGAGTGTGGAGTGTGGAGTGCGGAGTGTAAAGTGAGGAGTGTGGAGTGTAGAGTGTAGAGTGTAGAGTGTGGAGTGAGGAGTGAGGAGTGAGGAGTGAGGAGTTTAAAGTGTAAAGTGTAGAGCGCTGAGTGTGGAGTGTGGAGTGTAAAGTGTGGAGTGTGGAGTGTAAAGTGTGGAGTGTGGAGTGTAAAGTGTGGAGTGTGGAGTGCAACGTGTAGAGTGTGGAGTGTGGAGTGTGGAGTGGGGAGTGGAAAGTGTAGAGTGTGGAGTGTGAGTGGGGGATGTGGAGTGTAGAGTGTGGAGGGAGGAGTGAGGAGTTTTATAAAGTGTAAAGTGTAGAGTGCGGAGTGTGGAGTGTGGAGTGTGGAATGTGGAGTGTAAAGTGAGGAGTGTGGAGTGTAAAGTGTGGAGTGTGGAGTGCAAAGTGTAAAGTGTAAAGTGTGGAGTGTGGAGTGTGGAGGGTAAAGTGTAGAGTGTGGAGTGTGGAGTGGAAAGTCTAGTTTGTGGAGTGTAGAGTGTGGAGTGTAAAATGTAAAAAGTGTGGAGTGTAGAGTGTAAAGTGTAGAGCGTGGAGTGTGGAGTGTAGAGTGTGGAGTGTGGAGTGTAAAGTGAGGAGTGTGGAGTGTAAAGTGTGGAGTGAGGAGTGCGGAGCTTTCCCCATAGACACGGCGACGCCACAGGAAATCCAACGACTCGAGACGAGACACGTGGATGCAAAAAAAACAGCATTTCGTGCAAGACTTCCGCCAATTTTGATATTTTCCACATGTTATCAAACAGGTTGGAATGTCACAAAGTGCCATGCCTGCCACGCAAAACGACATGACAACCTGCTTGGAAACATTCGAAAAGGACACGTTTTCCAGCTTCCCCCATAGACACGGCGACGCCACAGGAAAACGAGACACTTGCGACAAGACACGTGGGTGCAGAAAAACCAGCATTTCCTACGAGACTTCCTCCAATTTTGAAATTTTGTGAACATCATCAAACAGGTTGGAATGTCAGAAAGTGCCACGTCTGCCACGCAAAACAACAACACAGCCTGCCTGGAAACATTCGAAAAGGACAGGTTTTCCAGCTTCCTCCATAGACACGGCGACGCCACAGGAAAACCAGCGACTCGAGACAAGACACGTGGATGCAGAAAAACCAGCATTTCGTACGAGACGTCCTCCAATTTTCACAGTTGGCAACATGACAAAAGGACAAGTTTTGCAGCTTCCCCCATAGACACAGCGAGGCCACGGGAAAACCAGACACGCGAGAAGAGACAGGTGGGAGCGCCAAAACGAGCATTTCGTGCGAGACTTCCTCCGATTTTCACACTTTGTAGCTTCAAAATCGACGTTTTCCTACGAGTTTTCCTTAGAACGTGAAAATTTGCAACCTCAAAATCGATGTTTCGTGCGAGGCTTCCGTCAATTTTCAGCACATGTCAGAAAATGCCACGCCTGCCACGGAATTTGCACCTTGTCACCACTTGACGCAGCCCTGCCAATGCGATTTGCAAAAAACACGCAACATGACACGTCTAAAGTGCTGCGCCTGCCACGAAAAATGGCGATGGACACGTCCAAAGTGCTGCGCCTGCCACGAAAACTGCAACACATCTTCTGAAAACGTCGCAAAAGTATTGCGCCTGCCACGCAAAACGACTTTCGACACGTTCCAGAACACGTCTGAATGTCACGAAGTGCCACGCCTGCCACGCGAAACGAAGCAACGACACGTCTGAAACCTCCAAAAAGGACCACCTCTGTAAAACTTCCCATAGGCACGGCCATACGGGGATCGCGCGAACGGTTGCGAACGGTTGCGAACGGTTGCGAACGGTTGCGAACGGTTGCGGACGGTTGCGACCACAAACGCAACGTCGAGCAAACACACCCTCAGCCCCCAGACCCCCAGAGTGAAACGGGAACCCTTGCTACGCATTCGGGAAAAATATATACTATATTACAAACTACAATATAATAAATATATATATAATATATATCATATTTCGCATACAATATATCATATATAAAATATGTCATATATAGAATATAACATGAATAAAATGAAATACAACAAATAATGAAATATTGAAAATCAAACATATTTACCTATATATAATATATAAAATTCAAAATACTATATAATACAAAATGTGGAATATAGTATATAATATATAGTGTAAAAGAATACAATATATAACTTTTAATAAATAATGCAAGTTATATTGTTATATAATGTATACAATATATGACATAAAATAGTTCATATATAAAATATCATGAACAATATAAAATATATAAAACAAAATATGTAAAAGAAAATATGTAATAGATATTTATATGTTGATTTATTATACTACATATGTATATATATATGTATACTCATATAATCATACGTGTAGGGCTAACATCCCAACTTTTGGGGAAATCCCAATAACCCAAGAGTGTGCGATTCCAAAGTTGCCCTAGTGGTGGATAGTCAGCTGCCGTAAGATTGACAAGTCTGCATCCCACAATTTCCAAACCAAGCTTGGGCACTCATCTTCACCATACCATATAACCAGGACCTGGAACATATATACATATACATATACATATACATATACATATACATACACATATATATATATACATATACATATATATATATATTATTATTATTATACATATACATATATATATATGTTATATATATATTATATTATCTATGTGTACATATATATATATACATTATATTATATTATATTATATTAAATTATATTATATTATATTATATTATATATTTTTATTATCTATGTGTACATATATATATATAAATAAAAAAATGTGGGATCCCCAAGTCACCATGCTTGTTTCAATACAAGCATGGCCATCCATGGCATGATTTGGGGCATCCCCATGAGGAAACGGCACCTCGCCGGCTAGAAGCTCCTCCGCTGAAGTGAGGCGCCCTGCCATGAAGTATGCCTCGCACACGGCACGCCACGCGCAACACGATGGTCATCACAATACATGGGAGATGATGGGAAATTTTATAGTGATATAATGGAATATAATGGTGAAGAATCATGATTACCCTCTGGTAAACGAAGAGTTTGCTATTGAACATGACCATAGGAATAGTTGATTTACGCAGCTTAAAAAACGGTGATTTTCCATAGTTATGTAAACGTTTACCAGATTTATATACCCACAAATCATGGCCATGAAATAGTAGAGAAAAGAAACCAAATGAAAAAGATCTTCTCACCATCAAATTGCGGTGCATGCCGTTTTCCAGATAATCTTCTATGACTTCAGGTTTTGGGAAGAGGCCCGCTTATTCGCCTGCAGTGGATGGAAGGATAATGAAAGGTCCAACGAATCGATGAAACATTCTTAACGGGCTGGTAAAGAATGAAAATATAAACCTGCTGGGTGCGAAAAATAGTTGCCTTGTATTATACTTATATACTACTACTACTATTGTTATTACTATTGTATATCTCTGTAAAATATCATTGCTTTAGATTACTACGGTAGTATACTATTGTTAGTATCATCTGTCAAATCACACTCTTTCGGCAGGATTTGCAAAAAAAAAACGAAACCCGGCCTTCGCGAAAGCCCCGCGCGCCAGCAGATTTGGCTCCACGTGGAGGCTATCCTGGGGCTGCACCCTGCAAACAAAAAAAAAAAGAACAACCTGAGCGTATTTATCTCTTTATCTGTGTATAAATATATATATATAATAATATGTATCATTATTATTATCATTATTGTTACTATTATTGTAATTATTACTGTTATTGTTATTATTATTTTTATCTTTATTATATATTATATATTATTGTATATTATATAGTATTGTATATTATATATTATTGTATATTATATAGTATTGTATATTATATATTATTGTATATTATATATTATTGTATATTATATATACTACGGTTGTTATCATCCCATGATTTGTTCTTTTAATGTAGCGGATGCGAAATATGTTTAAATCTACAGTTCAATCGGGGAATCTTTGCAGATTAAACACAATGCCAACAGCTTGGTTTGGCTACAGCACTTTGTTAGCCCGCCAAATGGTTGGCCATGACTTTTCTTGAAGAAAGTGTAACCCTGTAACCGAAAGCAAACATGTCATGGGAAAAACACAACTCGGCTTTGGACCTGTTTGCAAGTTGTGTTACAGTAAACCCGACAAAAATCGCAGAGAGTTAGAGAGTGTATCCCCGAACCCACTAACAGTCACCTGTTTTCCCGCTTGCCACTTGCTGCTAGATGCAACTGGTGCGGCAGTCCAAAACGTACAGCCAGCAACTCGTTTTTTTCGAATTTCAATCCATGGAAGCAGAGAAAAGTTCCCAGGCCATATTCATGCCAATTGTTGAACCCACTCTTAGCCGTCATTATCCACTCGATTACCTACTAGTTAGCACGTGGCTGGGATGATTCTTACCCCCTGTTTCCATTGGTTCCCCTGGTGCGCCAAGGCTCAACGAGAATATGCCACAAGTCCTCCGCGCGTTTCCTAGGCGAAGTCGGGGGTTCCAAGGTGATGTGTATGTTTTTTCGCGTCTGGGTTTGTAGGGAGGAGACCATTGTGCCGTGGTGCAACAAGTGGACAACACATAATTTACATAACCCATAGGATCCATGGTGCTGCTATATATGGTAACATTTACCATCAATATACCCCAGTCATGTTAGCATATATACCATACATGGATCCTATGGGTAATATGGAAAAAATACAGATCTTGGCAGCAGAATGTGAGATTTGACAGAGAAACAGCGAGAATCGAACAACAAAGCCGCCAACTAGATCCAATTAGCGCACACTCGAAATCAAGAATGAATTTCCTGCAAGTTGTTTGCACACATCAAGAATGGTGGAAGAAGAAAGGGAAGAGAAACAATCTTTGGACGCGCAACTTGTAGACTTAAGATTGGACATCCTGACGGGCCCATGCTGCAATGACCAAGCTCCTGCCTGACGGATTTTTTTTGGGGATCTACTATCTGCAACTGGAACTCTTTCTCGGAAAGGATTGCGGCTACAAAACATGATTTCTATCTGGTCTGGTGGTGTCACCAAGTCCTCCTGTACAACCGCTCAGCAGTGTCTAAAACCATCACCTTTTTGGGGCCATCGCTTGGAGATAGTGCTTCCTTTCCATTGATAAATTAAAAGGAGTTAAATGCCCCCTCATAACATCTTATAACCCCAATATTCAATAGTGTCAAACACAAATCAATAAACCCTGGCTGCTTCCTTGCTATTAGTAGTTCTATACTCAAACTAATTCACCTGCGGTTTATTCATCCTGGGTTTCCATGATAGTAAGCACCACCTGTTGAAGATAAATGTATGGTAAGTGGCTTTTCCCTACCTACACTGCAGTTTCAATCCATTTGCTTAGGTCTCATACCTGCCAGGACCTTTCGATTCTGCATCTATAGAAATTTGCTGGAGTGTCCCCGCGCTTGCTTGGGAACTTCATATATGTTTTCAATCGCATTGCGATTTTTTCTCCGTGTTGGTGAGGATTTTTGTGATGTGTCCCTGCTGACTCCATGATACTCCATGTACATGTTCGGGGCTTGATCTTCATGCCTTGCCTGCCCTTGTATGTTTCACATGTTTCTAGAGATATATATATATATATATACAGTGTGTATGTATATATATATACAGTGTATATTATATATATACAGTATATATATATAACAGTATATATATATACAGTATATATATACAGTATATATACAGTGTATATATATATATATACACTTCTCTGACCGAAGTGTACTTGAGCTTGCTTGGGAGCCTTCCTTTGTGTGATGGTTTGCGTGATGCCTGAGGCATCATGTTATTTTTCAGCTTGGAAACATCTTCCTGAGCTTGCTTATGAGCATTCACGTGTTGCGATGGCATGAGTGGGAATTTCCTCCTTTTTTCAATCCCCTAGCTCAAGGATACCAGTGTTAATATAGCACTTGTCATGTTTAGATATTACCATGTAATATCCAATCATGAAAACATAATCATATACTATGGATAAATTATCATATCTAATAAGTAAATACATATTATATATAATTACGTATATTCAACTATATATGATATATATGTGTACATTATCCGATAGATAGATAGATAGATAGATACATACATACATATATATATATATATTCACATCAGTATTTTCCGTGGGACCCCAACATCTCCCAGCCCTGCGCCCTGCGCCCTGCCCAGATTCCAGTCCCGACGCTGCGCTGCAAGCTCCAACAAGGCCGTTAACATCCTGCAACGTGGCTCCGGTTTTCACAAGGCTATTATCAATGGATCGGTTTAATCAATGTTAATCAATGTTAATCAGTGTTAACCAATGTTAATCAATGTTA